GAGTTGGGCGATAGGTTGGACCTCTCCTCGTACCTGCTGAAGCCGATCCAGAGGATGAGTAAATACGCTCTTCTCCTCACTGATCTCATGAAGGAAGTGGGCGGGGCTCAGGAGGCGGAGCATGTCGCCCTGCAGGCCGCCACCAGCATGGTGAAGTTCCAGCTTCGCCACGGCAACGACCTCTTGGCCATGGACGCCATCCGAGACTGTGATGTAAGTCTGAACCCCGTCCTCTTCACGTGAACCTTAGACACAGGACTCCCCCTCTGACTCCGCCCCCTTTCTCTCCGTCCAGGTGAACCTGAAGGAGCAGGGTCAGCTGATCCGTCAGGACGAGTTCACGGTCTGGACAGGAAGGAGGAAATGTCAACGCCACATCTTCCTGTTCGAGGAACTCGTCCTTTTCAGTAAACCCAAGAAGATGGAGGGAGGGCTGGACGTGTTCATCTACAAACACTCCTTCAAAGTAAAACACTCCTTCAAAATAAAACATCCTTCATCTACAAACACTCCTTCAAAGTAAAAGACTCCTTCAAAATAAAACATCCTTCAAAATAAAACACTCCTTCAAAGTAAAAGACTGCTTCAAAATAAAACATCCTTCAAAATAAAACACTCCTTCAAAGTAAAACACCCTTTCAAAATAAAAAGCTTCATCTACAAACACTGCTTGAAAGTAAAACACCCTTTCAAAATAAAACATCCTTCATCTACAAACACTCCTTCAAAGTAAAAGACTCCTTCAAAATAAAACACATCCTCATCTACAAACACTCCTTCAAAGTAAAAGACTCCTTCAAAATAAAACACTCCTTCAAAGTAAAACACTCCCTCAAAATAAAACATCCTTTATCTACAACCTCTTCTTCAAAGTTAAACAGCCCTTCAAAATAAAACACTCAGTCAAAGTAAAAGACTCCTTCAAAATAAGACACACCTTCATCTACAAACACTCCTTCAAAGTACAAGACTCCTTCAAAATAAAACACTCAGTCAAAGTAAAAGACTCCTTCAAAATAAGACACACCTTCATCTACAAACACTCCTTCAAAGTAAAAGATTTCTTTAAAATAAAACAGTCCTTCAAAATAAAACACTGGTTTTAAAAACATTTTTTAGATTTCTCTCTGACTCTGAGTTTCTGATTCTTCTCCAGACGGCCGATGTGGGTCTGACCGAGTCCACGGGAGATAACGGGCTCCGCTTTGAGATCTGGTTCAGGAGGAGGACTTCGAAGAACCAGACCTTTACCCTGCAGGCCGGCTCCGCTGAGGTCAAGCACGCCTGGACCAGCGACATCGCCCGGATCCTGTGGACCCAGGCCACCAAGAATAAAGGTAGAGACGCAGCTCCTCTTCCTCCTCCTCCTCTCCTCCTCCTCTTCCTCCTCTTCTTCTCCTGACGTCTCCTCTCGTTTTTGCGTCTCAGAAATGCGTCTGAAGGAGATGGTGTCGATGGGCGTGGGAAACAAACCGTTTCTGGACATCCAGCCGAGCGACGCCGCCATCAGTGACCGCGCCGTTCACTACATCATGAAGAGCAGAGGTCACACACACACACACACACAGACTTTTCAAAATAAAAGCCTCATTTCACTGAAGTGTATCTGAACTGATCGGAACAATAAGAATCATTCATGTGTTCATCATTCATGTGTTCATCATCACTCAGGGGCCAGAACTCGAGCTTCCATCGCCGTCTCTGTCTTCGATCACTCCAACCCTTTCAAACGAGGAGTGGCGAGCTCGGACCCCGGCGCCTCTGGACCCTCTTCAACCAGCCTGCTGGGGCCGCTGAACCTGCACATGTACAGGTACGACACACACACACACACACACACACACACTGACATGATTTAAAACCATCAGTTGTTCTTCATCTCCTCTCCTCCTCCTCCTCAGTCAAACCCTCTCCTCCTCTCCTGCTGCTGAAAGCTCCTTCATCACCTCCTGCATCGAGGAAGACGAGCAGGAACATGAGACGAGCAGCCAGCCCTCCATGAGTACGTAGAGATCCACCGTGACCTTATTTCTGTTCGTCTGTTGAGAGTCCGTGTGAAAATCTGTGAAACCTTGTCGTCCTCTCAGCCACAGAGAGTTCAGGCTCATCGTCTCGCTGTCTCTCAGGCTCCACCGGCTCCGACAGCGGCTGCGTCTCCTCCCACCTCCAGGAGGCGCTACCAGAGGAGCCGAGCCCCACCAGCCAGCCCTCCTTCTCCTCGTCGTCGTCCTCCTGCTCCTCCTCCAACAAACAGCACCTCAACAGCCAGTACATTTCACCTGTGAGTCTGAGAGAGACGTAGATCGTGGTCGTCCCGCCTCATGAGTCCTGGTGTTAACCTTCTGTCTGTTTGTCCGTCTGCAGAAATCAGCTCCGGTCATCAGCCCCGCCACCATCGTCTGAGTCAGCTGACCCCGCAGACTTGTAGGTGAACGCCGCCTCGCTCTGAAACATCTCCAGTATTTACTTCAGTGGTTATTTACGACAGGTCTGATGTTTCTCCTCAGGTGTTTCTGCTGCAGTTTGGAGCTCCCTCGCCGTTCTGAAGCGGCCCGCTCTGATGGCGTCTGATGTTTGGAAGAGTCGTGTTCGTGTTGTTGAGCTCCAGTAGAGTTTGTTCTGTAAATACTGACCCTTAGAGTTTATTAAATCGCTTCTCTGTCTGTAGTTTGACTCCTCACAGCTGTTTTCTGTCGTCTCCTCTCCTCGCGCTGATTCGGCGTCGGTTTGTCCCTGTGGCTGTGAGGAGGTCAGGTTTGTGTCTGATCTGATCCAGGATCAGCTGCTGGAGTTCCTGTACATGTGTGTAAATAAACCCACAGCTGAGTGTCCGCTGTCACTTTTCTTACTTGAATAATAAACATGAGTTTGTTTCAAACGGATCAAATCTCAAGTGTTTCTTTGTGATCCAGACTGAACCCGCTCATGACTTCATTTTAACCTCAGACACCTACGATTTATCGTACTCTGCAGACAGAAGTAAAAAAATAATTATTTTCCTAAAAATAACTAAGAAGGTCAGATGTTCCTGGATTCAGTTGTACAATGCTGCCACCTGCTGGTGAGTGTGATTATATTTTAGAGCCCCAAAAAAGACTGATGGTTTTACGGATAGTGAAGTAAATATTTCAATATGTCATTAATTATGATAAAAAAAATTTCATAGAATAGAATTTTAAAAAGTAATAGTATAGTTTGATGAAAATTTGAATAAAAAATATGAAAATAGTACAGCATCATCAAAATGTGATAGTATAGTATGATAAAAAAAAAGTCATAGTGAAGTATGATAAAAAAATGTCATAGTATAGTATGATAAAAAAAAGTCATAGCATAGGATGATAAATATCATCGTGAAGTAAAATAAAAATGTTACAGTGTAGTATGATGAAGTCATAGTATATTATTTTTTGAAAAGGTAAGTGTATAGTATGATAGAAAATGTAATAAAGTATGTTAAAAAATGTCATAGTATAGTGTGCTAAAAAAGGCATTAGCGTAGGATGATAAACATTTTTATTGTAAAGCAAAATAAAAATTTCATAGTATTTAAAAAAAATTTCATAGTATAGTATGATAAAAAATGCTAAAGTATATTAAAAAATGTCAAATTATAATTAAATTTTTTTTTAAATTGTCATAGAATAGTTTGATAAAAATGAGATAGAATAGTATGTTTAAAAATTTCATAGTAGAGTATGAAAAATATTTAATAGTATCGTATGATCAAAATTTCAATATTATAGTATGATAAAAAAAATTGTCATAGTAAAGTATGACAAAAATGTTATAGTATTGTTGGATAAACAGATGTCAAAGTATACTGTGATTAAAAATGTCATGGAAAAAAAACACCAAAAAAAACATGTTTAATTATAGTATGAAAAAAATGTCATAGTATAGTATGTTTAAAACTCATAATATAGTGTGATAAAAAAATGCATAGCAAAGGATGATAAACATTTCATCGTAGAGTAAAATGAAAATGTCATAGTATAGTGTGCTAAAAAAAGTCATAGTATAGTATGATAAAAAAAGTCATAGTATAGTATTATAAAAATTATCAAAGTATAGTAAGTTTAAAATTTTTCTTTATATGTAAGAAAAAATATAATAGTATAGTGGGATAAAAATGTCATAGTATATTATGTTTAAAAAAATGTCAGTGTAGTATGATAAAAATGTCAGTAAAGTTTTTGAAAAAAGTCAGGACAGTATGGTAAAAATTTAATCCTATAGTATCTTCAAAATTTCAATTTAAAGTATTTCAAAATGTCACAGTAAGATTATAGTCAGATAAAATATGTCAAAGTAAAGTATATTAAAAAAATGTTTAACTATAGTATGAAAAAAAAAATCAGAAATTCTGCTGCCCCCCACAGGTATAAAGCAGAATGACAGGCTCAAAAACTTGAGATACAAAGGGAGAGCAGGGATCAGCAAAGTCAGCGTCATGAAACCAGTAAAACCGGAAATTGATAGAAAAGTTGTTTATTGGATGATCAGCTGACACTGTAATAACATCACAGAGCAGGAAATGGAAGACATGTAATAAGGCAAAGGTCAATGTAGGGGTCAAATGATTTTTTTTTTTTTTAATACAAATGACTGTAAACATCTGGCTCCTGTTCAGAGCCTTCATTTGTCCTCAGGCTCCCCCTCTTCTGTTTCATGAATCATCACTTTACAGTTTTTCTTTTTTAACAAAGTCACAACAAACCTGCAAATATGAAATCTGTCTGTGATCAGAAACGCTCATTTTGTGTCAAATTTCAGACGCAAGACTCATCAGAATGTTTTTTTGGATGTTTTCCTGCAGCTCGCTCCTCCCAATCCGTGCATCAAAATATTTCAACAGATTTAAAAAATAAAAAACTAACAAAAAGTGGTGATTATCATTTTGAATTTGCATAGCGATGTTTTATCAAAGTTAAAAGTGCAGAAAAAATAGATCAATTTACATCAAAACAAACACAAAGGTACAGATCAGAGGCCTCATGAATAATAATTATCAGTCTTTTTTTCAGGCGTGAAACAGACACTGAAAAAGAAACACATTAATGTGAGCGGAGGTGACACATCTTTGAAAACAAACGGCTGATTTGGATGGATTTAACTGATCGGTAACATTTAGGTCTCAGTCAAAGGGTCAATAAACACTTTAATATATAATAATTATATAATCTTATCTATAAAATGAGAAATAAAGGCAGAAAACAAAAAGATCAAAACTAACAGATGGACCATTTTTCCTTGAACTTGATGAGTAAACACTGACGGTATTGAAGGTTGAGTTTCTGTGAAAAAGGACGTTTTCTTAAAGCACCTTTTAGTCAAACACACAGAACATAAAGTGCAGCTGGAGGCGAGGTTAGTGACATTAGTCATCATGGAAATACTGCTGCAGAGAGGCTGTAAACAAACACACGGGAGGACAAACTTTAGCAGGACCATGTTCCTATGAAAGAGTCCGACTCAACAGCGGGTCTGAATCTGAACCAAGGCATCAGGACTGTCGGAGCGAAAAACCGAACCAGGAACACGGTCTGTTCAGCAAAAACTGTGACTGCTCCTGATACAAAATACTACGACATTTACTGCAGTTTTATGTGACTTTAAAAAGGAGGTGTCATCTTACAATCAAGGTCCTCTCCCATCAGGGCCGATACGTCATTTTCTAACATAAATATATGTTTTTATTAATTCATGAAAAGTGATTTTAGCGGATTTGATTTTGCTTTGAGGAGATTATTATCATTTTTAAAACGTGTGCTTAAGTTATTATTGTGGCATAAATGATAATTATTTGCAACAAATTTAATTGTCTTGCATGTACAGAAGTTGAAAACGTGCACAGACAGAGAATTGCATTGTGCACTCAATATTAATATCAGGGCCCGGCCAATTTTAGCCCGTTTGAAACTAATCTGTAATCGGCCAAAACTCACCGATTGTCGCCAATATTTTCCAAAATTAAAATGCAGAGAATAAGATTTCAATTCACTTTGACAATGTTCCGCCATTTTTTATAACTTAATAAAAAATTTAAAAAATCGGCCGATCAATCAGTAATTGGATTTTTTTCCCCCCTAATAATCGGTATCGGCACCGGCTCTAAAAAATCCATATCGCTCGGGCCCTAATGAATGTATCCATATATATATATATAAACTTTTCTACTTTTTGGTTCTTGAGGGTTTTTTTCTGTCAGTTTCTCGGCTTTAAAGACAGAAGTTACAGACTCAGTTCAGCCTGTTGAAACATAAACCTGCACATGGATCAATTAGATGATAAAATATCATCTTTTATAATATTTGAATAAATCTGCTTCTCCTTCTCATGTTGTTAAACTCTTTCATTAGAGATAAAAATTTAACTGTACGGTTATTTATTAAACCTCTAAAATGACAGTAAATTAACAGTCTCTCTATTGTCTAACTTGTTTTACCTTCATATCTGTGCAAATATATTCGACGTGTTCTTGCCTTCGCTGATTGACCTGTAATCTCATAAACCGGTAACTTTACATCTTTACATTAAAGCTGATCAGAAATCAGAGCTGTGAGTCTGGACGGACTGAAGCTGCACAAGAATGAAACTGTTTTAAGACACGATAGAAATCCTTCAGATACAAAAATAAGACTTTAAATGAACTTTGGATAAAAAAGCTTCAAAATGTTCAGAAAGAAAATCAACACAGTGCTGTTAGAGACAGCTGAGTGGTTTTTTTTTTCCCTCAAAGAAAGGAGATAAAATATAAAAATAAAGAAAAGGCATCGATAACTTCATCACCAGAGTCTCTGCAGCAGACCGGAGTCAGTCTGCTGCAGCTGATCTCCACACACACCGGACAGTTTTACACAGTGTTAGCGCGTCCTCGGCCCGCAGAGTTCTCATGAGTCCTTCGACCCGTTTAAGACTCAAACTGATTTTTGATTATCACAAACACAGAAAACCGTTAAAGTGAATAAATGAAGCCGTGAACCGGGACGTGTTTTTGTGTTTTCTGATGCAGCTCAGAGAAGAACATGAAAATAACATCAAACTGGATCATAAATCGATACATATATAATATTTATACTGTTTATATAGTTCTTTATATGAAGGTAGTTTTATATCAATATGATTTTCAGTGCTTAATGATTGAAGATTCACATTCATATATTTAATAACTATGAGTATTGCATTTTTACGACATGGACGACAGCCGCGTCAAGAAGAAACAGAAATTTACAGAAACAAAAGTTTGGAGGGAAAAAGATGAAGATTTATGAGAACAAATCATAATCTGAGGAGATTAAAGAAGTCACAGAGCGGGCGGTGATTAATCTGTGAGTAAAATTATGTCTGAAGGATATTAAAGTTTCGTTAAACTCGACAGCTGAGGTGACGCTTAATTATCATCTTGTAAATTTGTGACTATTTTCTACAACCTTCTTCTTGTAAACATTTCTTTTCTTACAGTTACAACTTTAGTCTTTTATATTTGTAAAGTTAAACCTTAATTATTGTTAATTTTAACAGACGTCTCTTTTAAATCTAAGTTGATGTTTTTCTCTTTTCTTCTGTAAATCTGTGTTTTTGATTCTTCTTGAACGTCGCTGTGATCTCATGTCAAACGTTAAAAAATAGAATTCTTACAATAACATCAAACTTTGAGCTTCATGAACGACTTCGATAATAAAGAGTCAACAGTAGAACAGGATTTTTCCGTTAATCTAAAGAAAGTTGGTCCAGTATTTGACATTTGATCGGTATTTTCTTGATCGACTTCTGATGAATTGATTATCTGGAACTAAAGACCGAGTGAGAGACGAGTTTCTGTCTGTTATCACAAATATATAAATAATGTCGCTGATTGTAACAGCCTCTGAAGATTCATCATCATCATCATCATCATCATCATCATCATCATCATCATCATCATCATCATCATCCGTGTTCCTGTTTGACTCTTCATCACTTATCTGATCTGATCCTCTTCAGTCTTTGGACTTCAAGTTTTCCTCAGACCTCTGCAGAAACAGTCAAAGACGTCCTCACACAGAAAGACGCCGTCCTCTCTGAGGCCGAGGACGTTTCTCTCAGAGCGGGAGAGCTACATACATAAAGAGGAAGAGGAGGAGGAGGAGGAGCAGCGGGAAGGAGGAGGTGAAGATGGAGGTCTGGGCTAAGAAGCAGAGGCGCTCCTGAAGGAGCAGATTCAATATGAAGACGTTTGACTCTTCATCTTTCCACAGGTTTGTTCCTCGGCTGAGCGGCGCTCCGTCCTGCGGCGGGTGCTTCAGTTCTGCAGCAGCCAGAGGAGGAAGAGGAGGAAGAGGAGGAGGAGGAGGAGGAGCAGGAGAGAGTGGGGGCTCCTCCTACAACAGTGTACACCTGAAGAAGCTCTTTCTTGAGCGAGACTCTGTGATTTTCACCGGCCCGCCTCCTCCTGCTGGGTTGTTATCGTTCTGCAGGAAAAGACAAAAAGACATCAGCACCTGTCCTGGTTACAGACCTCCTCCTGCTCCTCCTCCTGCTCCTCCTCCTCCTCCTCCTCAGTAACAGTAACAGACTTCTCTCTGTGATCTGAGTGTGAGCGAATAAACTCACCATCTTTCTGTTCAGTCTCGTCATGATGTCTCTGCCGAGTGTGAAAAAGGCCTGAGGAGCAGAAAGGGTTCATAAACTCTCGTTACAGGATCACGTGACGATGTTAGAAGTCGGATCAGGACTCACCTCCTCCACGTTGATGCTGGACTTGGCGCTGGTCTCTAAAAACTTGATCCCGTAATCGATGGCGAGCTGAAAAACGAGACGAGACAGAGTCAGACTTTAAACTCCGACACAGATTTAAAGGAAACATCTCGGCGTGTTTGGAGGTCCCGTTAGTTTAACAGTCTGTACGTGTGACAGCGTGACGTCTTCAGGTCACGACTGTCCTTCGACTGCTGCATGTGTGTGTCTGGTATTCTCAATGTTGAATGGATAAACGGTGCAGCCCTACAGACTTCAGACACAAACAGTGAACAGACCTTCTCTCCTCTCTCTTTGGACACTTGTCTCTTGTCGTTCATGTCACATTTGTTTCCAAGAACCATCCTCTCCACGTCTGCAGAGGCGTGCTGCAGAAAAAACACACAAACATGGAGGATGTAACGGACAATCTCTCATCTCACATTGAACTCTTTGTTTTTATAAACACCGTGTGACAACGAGGGAAAAATTCAATTTGAAAAATCTAAAAATGATCATTTAACCTCGACCTCAATCCTCAACCTCTTCATCTAAAAAACACATTTTTAAAAGCTTTTAAACTTCAATAAACTTCAGATCAGATCAGGAGGAGCTTCAGTTCATCCTGATCATGTAAAACTCTCTTTGTCCACTAGATGGCAGCACTGACACTGATATCAGACCTGAGCTGTTACTTTCCATCATGTTAAAAATATCATTTAATCACTTTCTTCTCCTGCTTCACTGAACTCTGCCTCAACCTAAAACTAAAGTAACATTTTGTGATGTCACATGATGTGTCCTAGGTGACGTGATTGGCTGTGAGGTCAGAGGGTCAGAGGGTCAGAGGGTCGGGTCGAACCTCCTCGATGTTGCGTATCCAGTTCCTGATGTTATCGAAGGACTTCTCGTTGGTGATGTCGTACACCAGCATGATGCCCTGGAGCACAAAAGACAGGAAGTGACTGCACAGGAAGTGACATCAGCTGTGACATGGGTACAGGAAGTGCCCGGCCAGCGTTTGACATTTAGCTGAAGAAGAAGAACGACACACAGCCTTGAACGCACTGCGAGTAATGCAGCGGTTTAAAGTGGAATAACGCAGTGAGATCACATGATCAAACACAGGATTCTGATTGGTCATATTAATCAGTGATTGATTGGTCGTGTCTTACCATTGCTCCTCTGTAATAGGCTGTTGTGATGGTCCTGAACCGCTCCTGACCCGCCGTGTCCCTACAACAGGAAGCAGACCGTGTTAAGACAGACGGCGCTGACCTCTGACCTTTTTGTGTCCGTCTTCCTTCAGACTGACTGAACAAACCAGCTCTGATCTCTAAGACTCAGGACGACACAAACTCAGAGTGAAACGTGGATGGACTTAGACTGAGTTTAAAAACAGCTGATGAGTTTGAGTCGTAGTTTTTAAAGATTCAGCAGCTCAGTCATGAAGTTTGAGTTTATTTTGGAGGACAGGACAGCGTAGGACAGAACAGGACACTGGGACAAAGAGGGACGAAGACTCTGTAGATGAAGCATAAACTCCCACCACTCAGCTGATAGAGCCACTTTAATCACAGAGGTCTGAAGTCTGCTGTCGGCTTGTTTGGTTGTTGTTTAATTATTTCCATTATGGTGATTATTTTTATTGCTATTATTAATATGATGATTAATATTATATAATATGATTATCTATATTTAAATCATTAGTGTAGGAGAAGGGGTGGGACTAGGTAAGTCTCGACTTCTTCACACTCCTTTTTGAACATTAATAACTTTCTGTCATTTGTTGTTATATTCTTTACTTTTTTATTATTATCATTATTTTTATTTTAATATTTTCAAAATGAACTTCAATCAAATCAAATCAAAAATCAAATCAAGCTTGTTTGAACTGGACGTCTGTATAGATTTTGGAGTTAGACTAGAGTAGATCTTTGTCTCAGTTAAAATTTGAGCTAACTCAGAACTTTTCAGTGCGACTTTTGGGTCGAATAAAGTTCTTTTAAAATCCTACCCTGAACCTGAAAAATACTGAAAAACAAAAATTAACAATCTTTTATTACAAATATAAACGCCAATTCAGATGAAAGCTGTCTGTATAAAAGATTCGAGGTGAGTTAGACGACCAAACGACGCTGGAATTAAAGGGTCTGTTTGTTTCCAACTTCAGCTTTTAAAGGTCGTTTTAAGACGTTTCTAGATCTTTGACACGCAGGATGTTCTGAAGAGACTCATGTCCTAAATGTTTCAACAGAAATTTAATTTAAGACGAGCCGACTGGTTAGAGGTCTGAAAAGCCGAGGGACAGAATGATAGTGAGAGAGAGAGAGAGAGAGAGAGAGAGAGAGAGAGAGAGAGAGAGAGAGAGAAAGAAAGAGAGGCTGCAGTAAAAGTGATTATGATTAATAAAAACACGATAATCCAGACTGAACGATGGTTAACCTCCTGCTGTGTTACCATAGTTACACCTCAAACACTGACTAAAGCAGAGCCTCCCTCTGTTCCTTAAAAGCAGAGCGTGGGTGTGACCCCTCCTCTAGAACAGCTCTCACTTTCACTTCATCAGAGGGTCTCGGATCGATGAGAGAGTTCAGGAACTTTTATCCAGTGGGTGTAAACGGACACTTTCATCCACGAACCTCATGATAAAATCTCTGACGCGTCGACATCGAGGATCTAAACTCACCAAATCTGAAGTTTGATCTTCTTGCCATCGAGCTCGATCGTCCTGATCTTAAAGTCGATTCCTGAAACAAAAGAAGAAGAAACACAAAGTCAGGAAACATAAACGATCACAGATATGACGTCATTAACGTATCCGTCACGTGGCCTTACACGGCGTACAGGGTGTGTTTGTTCCTCTGTGTGTTAAATCTGTCAGCTGACTGGGTGTGACTCAGAGCTTCAAAAGGAAGTGGACGATATTTTTAACAAACAAATGAGAGCGAACGCAGCTTCCTGATTCAGCGGAGAGAAAATCTGTTACCAAGAAGTCTGACAGCTGCGTTTCCTGACACGTTTTCCTGCTCAGAGTCGTTAGTGATGCCGGTTCAAATCCCTCTACTCCACCTCACACCCACCTCACACCCACCCGCTACGGCTCTGCTTCTCCATCTCAAACAAATCTGTCCATCAACTTTTGACTCTGAGCTGAATTCAGAGACTTCATTTCAACAACAGTCCCACATCTCTAAAAACAGAGCGGTGCAAAGACTCACATGATGAGAAAATCACAAACAACCAATAAAGTAATAACCAAGGGTGATAAATAGGACCATACATCTACGATAAAAGAGAAGGCGAGCACCTGTTGAACATTTTAAAGACCCAACAGGGAGCTGAGAAAAGGTGAGGACTCAAACCTTCATCTTACTGACAATGTGGAGACCATGAAGAGACTTCAGGATGTCAGCGGTGTGTCTTAGTTTATTCTCAGGGCTGTTAGGATATCAGAGTTTGATTTAATAATTATCATGACCATAAAAATATCATGATAATATTAATAATCCTGATACTTTCGGAAAAGTCCGTCAAACTGAGGAAAGGCAAAACAAGAAAGGAGGAGCGACACGTTACTTCATAAACTTTACTAATTCATTCCCATCTGTATATTTAGCATTTCATATTTATTACTCATTTCAATAAACCATGTTTTTCATATCTCACTTTTTTCTCTTAGGATGTTTAGTATTTTTAGTCTGCATTATACTTACTTCTTCTTATATTTAATTTTATTTTGTGTTTTTTGCTGCTGTAATGAGAATTTCCCAGTTTGGGATCAATACTGTATGTATATCGATGTATCTGTCTATCTATCTATCTGTCTATCTATCTATCTATCTATCTATCTATCTATCTATCTATCTATCTACCATTTCTGATCAAATTCAAGTTAAAGTTTTATCCACATCATCACCTCATTAAAAGATTGTCCATCTTTATTTACTGCAACATCAAACCATGCTTTTATTTTGAAGTTACTACTTCTGGTAGATTGTAATTTAGGAGGAAATAGAAGAGGAAATGTTCAATGATTAGTAACCTGAGGACCTGTGAGTTAAGACGTGTGTAAAGGAACGTGGAGTATCAACTCATGCCATCACCTGATTTTCAGAACAATATCTTTATTTTCTTTATCAGAAATACTGATCATTGCAGCGGTCGTAGATTGCAGCTTGCACTGGTTAATAATTCTGCTCACACTTTAGTAAAAGCTGTGAGACTGAATGTGAAAATATATACTGGATATCGAAGTAAAACTGACAGTAAGGATTGTGTGAAAAGTTTGAATATTTTTAGCATACGGGAGAGAAAAAGAGGAAGAGAGAGGAGAGAGAGAGAGAGGATTGATGAACAGAAACTGGATCGTTTTTTGTTCGTCGTGATAAAAAAAGAAAAAGTTATAAATATAAAAAAGAAAAGGGTCATAGTTCATGGATGATAACAGACTGAGTTTAGGTCTGAACTCCCAGCCCTCTCTCCGTCTCTCTCCTCTCTTCATTCTTCTCTCTCACCAGGAAGTGAAACCGAGTTACTGCTGGTTGTTACGGAAACGTGCAGCACAGCAGGTCAGTGACCTCCTCGTTCTCCTCTCTACTCCTCCTCCCTCCACAAAGTTAGGCCGCATCTTTCACTTCGTGTGTTGAATTGTTTTAACAGGATGTATTTTTGTCTCTGGATGTTTTCAGTCCGATCTCTTAAAGAACATTTACAGTTTACATTGGGCCAAATTCACCATTTCCTCACACAGTAAAACCAACGACTGAGTTCAGACACAGACCAACACATTAGTGGATAGATTCAGATTCAGCTGCTCTGACTCACAGGGCGACAGTCTCAGGTTTTCAGTCCGGTTAGTTTGTGTGTTTTTGTCTCTGAATGTGTCTTTGTGTTCGACGATGTTGTAAATCCATCCTGAAGTGTGTCACATCCCTCACATACATCCCACTTCCACGTTCTCTCCCTCACACACACACACACACACAGTCAGAGGTCAGCTGACTCTCACGAGACTCGGGCAGCGTGGTGACAGTGCATCCTCTGTCCGACCACGGCAGCAAAGAATTGTGGGTGATAATTTAAAATTCGTCCAGTTTGAGCAGCTGTGGGAAAAGGGCAGCAGATACGAATCTCTGCTGGATCACTTTCTTGTACTACACCTGCAGGTAAAGGTAATACGTAACAGCACATTTAACTGCTTTATAACTTACATGGGTCTGGTAGATACTGAGGCTGAGGGCGGTCACTTTAATCTGAAAGTTCACAGCTGAAAACTGAGTGAATAATCAGGTCTGAGTATTTAAGGACGAACACCGTAGACAGGAAGGTAAAAAACAAAGACAGAGCTGAATGTCGACTTTGTAGAGAACAGTGTGAAGCAGCAGCAGTCGAGACGAACGTTAAAATAACATTATCTAAAGTTAAAACCAAGACAAACAGTGAGGCGTGTGTGGAACAGCTGACCTGAAGACCTGAGGACCTAATCTTGGTGATTTTAAAACCAAACTGAAAACATCTCTGCTTTTAACTAAATCTTATATTGTTAACTTTAAGTGTTTTAGTATTTATCTCTTTCTAGTTTTAACGACAGGATCGTCTTTTATTGAGCTTTTTTGTTGCTCTTATTTTAGTTTCTTTTACTGTTTTTATTTCATTTTATTTATTATTTCTTAAATTTCTTTCTTTGTTTCTTTGTTTTTAGATTTTAAACCTCCATGTTTCCTTATCTTGAGTTTTAAAATGGCGTTTCCTCAGTGCGAACATTAAAGCCCTTTTTTGAGTTCATGCATCTTAATTCTGTTTCTGTTGCGTTTCGATCATGAGGTGGGAATGAGGGGTTGGGCTGGGGTAGATTTGGGTTTTCTTTGTTTCTTTTATTCTTTTTTCTGTGTAAAGCGCTTTGAGCTACATGGTCATGTGTAAAAAGTGCTGTATAAATAAAGATTGATTGATTAATTGATTGATTGATAGATAGAGGAGGAGATACCATGACAAGCCGCACAATGGCAAATGTTCGACCCAGTATTACTGCCTTTTTTATGACTCCATAAAAGTGCAATATATCTGAACCACATTAACACTCAAGCACTGAACACACACACACACACACACACACACACACACTGAACCACCACTTACTACTGTCTACAATCACCTGCACTTTATATCTATATTCAAACCTCATTTGCACGACTGTAAATACATCCAATATTAAACTACTGCATAATTAATCTGTCATATAATTACAGTTATAGTCTGTTTATATTCTTCATATTTATAACCACATGTATAATCTGTTCATAGCCTGTACGTACTTATACTCCCTGACATACTCATGTATACATTCTTTCATACCGTGTACATTTGTAAATATATTTATACTTGATAAGCACGTCTGAACGCAAACTGCATTTCATTGCTCTGTACCCGTGACATGTGCAATGACAATAAAGTTGAATTCTTCTATATTTGAACTTATCCCAACATTTGCCAATAGTCCACCTTAGTTCTCTCTTTTACCTCTTACTTGGTTGACTGAAAGTTTGGTCGGGTATGACGACTGCGATCACTGAGACTGCGTCCATGTTTGACAAAGTGTAAGATCTGGACGGTGTTTTCATTGTTTATCTTGACCTTTAATCTGGATCGACTATGACTTGAAAGTCGTGTTAAACTGTAGAATGAAAAGACCTGAATGCTGTGGAGGTCAAACTCCAACACCATGTCAGCTGACACACAACTGAAGACTGACAAAGTTTCACATCAAGGTTTTCAGACCAAAGTCCAGATGATCCACAAAAGTAGGATTTTCTTTCTCAAAGCAAAAATAATAAAACATCAGAGGAGAGAAAGGTACAAGAAAAAGGAAAGACGTCCTCTTTAAAACCTGTTCTTTCTTTTTCCATACATATTCAAACAAACACACTATTTAAACACAAACACACTTATGACAAATCTAATATATCACTCAGCTTTAATATCAGTAACATCCAAATTCTCTATTTTTAGTTTCACTTTGTATCTAGAGCTGAACCACAGTCAGACACAGATACACAAAAATGCAGCATAATTCACCCCCCCCCACACACACACACACACACACACACACACTCAGGGTGAAGAAGACAGTTCCCACTTCCTGTTTCCACCAGGAAGACACACTCTGCTCAGCGCGCTCTGACGAACAGGAACCCCCCCCCCACACACACACACAGAAAGATGAGTGTGTGTGTGTGTGTGTGTGTGTGTGTGTGTGTTTGCTGCATCAGTCTTCTCCTCAGAGTTGAAAAGTTTCTGTGTTTCTAGTCCGGGGCCTCTCGTGTGCTCGTCGACCTCTGACCTGTGGGTGGAGGATGAACTCGGTACTGACAGCAGACGTGTCAATACAGGCTACAGTCAGGGGGAAATACATCAGGGTCTTTGCAAACAAAACACTACACACACACACACACACACACACACACACACACACACACACACACACAAACACACACACACACTCATGAGTCATGGCAGACAGACAAAGTCGAGCTCTTCGCTCTGTTTACCGTACATGATTAAAAACTCGTAACGAGGGCGACAGACTGACAGCACATGTTCAGGTGAGCTGTTACTATGACGACAGCAGAGTCTCTCTTTCTATAAACCTCCTGAGAATTTCCAGAAAATACCAGAACAACCTGCCTCTGAATAGTTTCTCTAACTGCTTCTTCACACATGTCCCTGACAGCGTGACGTTTCCTCAGAGCGCTGAAGTGTTCACCATGTGATGTTTACAGAGAACACAAGATACCGGGTAAAAACAGGGTCCAATGATCGCTGTTTTTAACTTTTATCAATGTTATGAGTGATTCAACAGACACACCGTATCAGCAGAGAGGTGGGGAAAGAAGAAGCTGTGTGAAGAGTATGAAGAAGTTTCATAATGTGCAACAAGATCACTCAGCTCTCAACTGGTCCCCTTACATGAGCGTCATTTGGCCTGATTTATTCTTGCGAGCTGAACCTTCACTGTGGCGTATGACAAAGGTTTGCACAGATGCAGATACCTATGTACACAGTCTGATGTTCACCTCACGTCAAAAATGAAACATCTCAGACCACAAACCCCGTGTCTGGTCTGCTGGGTAACATCACGTTTCCTCTGATGTCTCCTGTCTTTAATAACTGCAGTACAATCAACTTTATCAGCTCCACTTCCAGATTAATAAACTCTACATTTTTGAGGGGGGATTTGTAACTGTAGGGAGAACCGGTGTGCAAACTAGGTCTAGAAATCTAGAGTCTAAAATCTAACAGTTCATTTAGGAAGAAACTCTGACACAAGCACAAGGCAGTTCAGTCTACGTCACCTGCATTTACCCAACTTAAAACCTCTTCATCTTTATGTGCATCTTATTATTAATCTTTGTCCCTGCCTGTGAACACTACAGGCCTTTTCTTGTCTTACCCATTCTGTCCCTTGGCTTTTCAGGCACACATAGAAACACACACCTGCTCCTCCTCTCCTTGCTCTACTCTTTCCTCCTGCCTTCTCCTGCTCCTCTCCCCCTCCTCTCCTCTCCAACTGTGGCTGCCTGATAGTTTTTACTCCTGTTACACAACGTGTTGACAGGGTTTGACACTAACTTTTTTCACATGTTCTCCTAAGTTAAAAAGTAAAGAGCACACAAAGAACTTTAGGGCCACAATAAAAATGGATCAAATAATGTTTGTCTTATTGATCAACCTTAGCACTATGATTTGAAATCAATTTCAGGTCAACTGGTCACATGACATGGAAGCTATTGAAGGAAAACAGCCTTTTCTGAGAACATGAACCAGCAATTTATTGACGGTCCCTTATTCAACACCCGACATTGACAGTGAGGGTGTCGAGTAGATTTAACCGCGCTGCTGTTATTCCTGGTTATGGAGAGAGAGAAGACACCGGTAGATCCTCAGAGAATGTCCATCAGATATCCAACCTAAAACTAACTTCACTGCTGTATTTACAGGAAAATATATCCAACCTAAAACTAACTTCACCGCCGTATTTACAGGAAGATATATCCAACCTGAAACTAACTTCACCGCCATATTTACAGGAAAATATATCCAACCTAAAACTAACTTCACCGCCGTATTTACAGGAAGATATATCCAACCTGAAACTAACTTCACCGCCGTATTTACAGGAAAATATATCCAACCTGAAACTAACTTCACCGCCGTATTTACAGGAAGATATATCCAACCGAAAACTAACTTCACCATAAAAAAGCATTTGTTACCTCAGCTGATTTTTTATGCGCACATGTGACCCTAAATACTTCTACTTTTAGTCACAAATGCGAGTGAAACGGTCCCGCTGTCAAGCCCTGGTTGAAGTTACAGTGGTCCTCTTTTAATCATAGCAGGAGCCACAACTTCCTTGAGCGTCCAAACGTTATTTTCACTGACCTGAGCTGCTTAGGATGAAGTGAAAGTGAGAGCATAATCAAAATTAAAATTAGCTCAACAGTCAAAAATCAGCAGGATGAGATTTTCTATCAGTAGATACAAATGAGGACAAGTTATCCACGGGAGGCGCCAAAACTGACACAAACTGAAAGTATCACTCAGGAGCTTTAAAGGGATATTCCGGCTTAAAATTAAGTTAGAGTCAAACACACCGTAACACCGAGTTAGCCCCCCCCCTCCAGAGATGAATGTCGTCGACCGCTTGCTTCTCTAGTTATACCAACTTTAGTAACGACCGCAGGATAGCAATACAGAGAGCCACGTGTTCAACCAAAACGCCACTCTATAGCCACAAATAATGCTCAGAACAGCACCTAACTTCATCAACAGGACATATAGGGTCACAGACATAGTACTAGACACCAAACATCTTTTTAACTTTGACTCATTTCTTGAACAAAGTGACTAAACACAACTCACCTACTCTCTTCCAGCAGCCACTTGTTTCAGGCCAGTCCATTACAGATAATTTCTTCATGGAAATACAATCAGACTGAGACGTTAAGACAGAAGAACTACCGCGTCTGCAGTGAAAAATGATTAATATGGTGATAATTACTTAAAGGAAATGATAAAGAAATAATCATAAATGTTCTTCCTTGAGCTGCGGCACCCCGCTGTAGTCCGTAATGGACTGGCCCAACAAACAAGCTGCTGCTGGAAGAGAGTAGGTGAGTTGTGTTTAGTCTCTGGTCAAAGTTAAAAAGATGTTTGGTGGCTAGTACTATAGCTGGGATATAGTTGGTATAACTAGAGAAGCAAGCGGTCGGCAACATTCATCTCTGGAGGGGGTGTCTAACTCTGTGTTACGTGTGTTTGACCCTAAATTAAGTTTACGTTGGAATATCCCTTTAATATTATATTTACAGTCAAAAGTTTAGTAAACTGTCATTTCAGGATGTGGGAAAACTGTAGATTTGGGTGAAATCATCTTTGTGGGGCCTGCTGCTGATGTGATGCAGATTATGTTAAAAATCCATAAATAAATCAGATTAATCAGTCCATCTTTAGTACTTCTGTTTTCATAGACTTTTATATTCTTCTGTATTTTTTCTTCAGACCTTACATTTTAGTTCAGGACTGACTTTTATGGCAGTAAAGGATGAGGGTACTTCTTGTACTTCTGCTGAGTCCCCATGTTTCCTCAATGAACCAATGTTTTCTCAAACATGTGATCGAACAGACACTGAGGATCTAATCAATAGTTCTGATCTGATCAGAGGTTTGTCTCCTCTTTCTGATCTATGAGGTTAAAAGTCATCTCTTCTTGAGTCTAAACATTCAGACTGTCAGACCTCCTCCTCCTCCTCCCTCCTTCCCTCCACAGAAGCTTTCACTTTCCCCCGTTAGCCCCACTGCGTTAGCTAACACATCTGGACCGTAAAACCGTCTAAAGTCGGTTGTTTAAGGGGTTAGATTTCATCCGAACCGGGTGAAGCGGACTCACCGATGGTGGAGATGAAGGTGGTGTTAAAGGCGTCTTCGCTGAACCGGAATAAGAGGCAGGTTTTACCGACGCCGCTGTCACCGATCAGCAGCAGTTTGAACAGATAGTCGTACGTCTTCGCCATTTTCCCGCCCTTTGTCCCGGTTCTCCCGGTACTTTCACGGAGCCTCCGAACCTCCTCTCGCTCGCTACGCCCTGCTGCCTCTTTGCTGGGAAGACTGGGGTCACTGGGAGCAGTGGTTGTGGACTGGGCTCCACTGAAACAGGACCGAGAGGGAGCAGGAAATGACCCCGTTTCAAGCTAACCAGAATACACGGCGTCTCACTTCCTGTCAGACCTTTCACAATAAAACACTCCAGCCGCAGACTCACAAATTTAGACGCAGGATAACGTTTTATCCACAAAACCTTCCTAACTAACTAACTAACTAACTAACTAAATGTAAATGTTCTTTAATTATACAGCCCTTTACGGCATCCCTTTCGCTGAACCAAAGAGCTTTACAATAGAATATAAAAATTAATACATAAAAACAATAAAAAGCAATTAAAAAAACGTAAAATACAATGCAATAACAGAAAGTGTCACCACGCTACTAGGTATTAAAAGCCAGCATGAATAAGTTTCTTTCTTTTTTTCTTTCTTTCTTTCTGATTTAAACAAGGAAATGCCCAAAGTAAGTTATTGTAAAAATCTGCATAAATTTCAAATTTATAAAAAATCAGGGACAACACCAGCCATTCAGAATCAAAATCAGAAATACTTGAATAATCCCCAGGGGGAAATTGCTTTTGTTACAGTAACTACAGTGCAAATAAAGTTGAAAGAGGAGATAAATTATAGATAAAATAAGTAAAAATAAAGAGATAATATACAAGTATGTACTCTATATTCTTGACTTCAGTTTTTTTTTTCAGTTGCCAATGTTTTTAAAAAAAATATTCAATAAAGTTTTCATGGTTATTTTGAAACTTTATAGTAAATGTTGAAATGTTAACTTGTCATAACTGTCAAAAAAGGGCCCATGTTTTCACTACATTACAATCCATGTTTGATACCCAGCCAGAGGTCGATATTTAAGCTAAAATAATGATTACTAATAATGATAACTTTATTTGTATTGACATTTTTTAATAAAAGAAAAAAAACAAATTCACTAAAGTATAAAAAAGCAATAACACAATGAAAAAAAAGGCATAACACAAGTTACAGACCAGATACTACTATGCTGCCTTCAGGTGCAAAAGGTTTGTGCATCTGTAACATGTCATTTGTAGTTGTGTACTTGTAAAATGGCATTTGTGCACCTGTATTTAAGAATTTGTACTTGTGTACTTGTGTAAATGTTGTGTTGTACTTGCGGAAGTAAAAAAAAAAATCAGTGTGAACGTAGCCTTATTGACAGTTCTTTGAATTATTCATAAGAAGAATCATGAATATTTGAATAAAAATATAGGTATTATTATTATTATTATTAGTAGTAGTAGTAGTAGTAGTTGTAGTATTGTTGTTGTTGATGTTGTTGCTATTAGATCTTTTTGTATTGAATGTAAAATCGATGCAAAGACGTGATCCGACACGCTTTCTCTTTCTTCTCTGGCGGCGCGTATTGAGCGTTTTACTCGCGCGAATTCGCGAGAGCTAAAAATATCTCAGCTTTATCGAATATTTGCGTTGCGATAACCAATCAGCATGAAGATTCCCGGGTGACGTATGACATCGGACCGGAAGATGCCCACTGTTGTCGAAAATGGAGGATAAACTGATAGTGTCTGTGTGTGGGTGTCCTGAATTATATGATAGTTCTTCTTTTAGTTACCGGATCCGGAGTCATAAGGTGCTCGCCTGGAGGAAAGTGAGTGAGGAGGTCGGAGTATCCGGTAAGTGGTGAAAACCTCTTTGTTTATCGCTTCATTCCCGCTGGTTGAATCGGTAAGGATCACTGTAGAAATGAGCAGAGACGACCTCACATCAGGGGAATCTGTGCACGACCTGTTTTTATTTTATTTTTAAAGAGGAAATCTGCAGGAAAAAGTGGAAGAGCCTGAGGGACACTTACCTGAAGGAGAGGAGGAAGGAGACGGACAGGAGAGGAGAGAAGAAGTGGAGGTTCTCTGCGGTTCTGTCTTTCCTCGACCCTTTCCTCACCCCACGTGAGATCAGCGGCAATACAGGTACACGCACACACACACACTGTAGTTTATTCAGTAGATCTGTATATTATGATATAATAGTTCACTGAGCATTTTTGTTTAGAGCGAGGATGGAGGTGGGTGTTGAGCTTTGATTTGTGAATATGAAATGATTTATAATAGGGGAGAGCGGGGTAAGATGATCCATTTTTCATATTTGGGATCACTCCATCAAGTCAGTCCTAGTTTTGTCTCTAACTCGTGTATCTGCAGATATTTCAGGATGTTGTTCATTTCTGTAAACCAACAGAATGAGTGTAAACAGAACTGTCATTTTCATAATAAAGCAGGACAACAAAAAACAGTGATCTCCTATGGTCAACTTACCCCATGTATGTATGGGGTAAGTTGACCATAAAAGCGGAGTAAGTTTATCTATTAAACACTATTCAACTGGTACAATAGGAATGTAACAATATAAAAATTTCACATCACGATCATTGTGACCAATATTATCACAATTATCAATATTATCACGGTATTGTTGAAATATGTTCAAAATGTTTAAAAAGTACTTAAACACGCCCTGAAATCATTTAATAAAGTTTTATTTTGAAAAAAAAAAAATTCAAAATAACACGCAGAATGAACTTTTCCTTAACCTTAAATAACAGAGGAACGATAAACCTAAGAAATTAAAAGAGCCAGAGGCAATCAACACTAGTAATAACAAAGTAATATGCCAGTGGCATTAACATAATAACAAATAAATAAAATTTAAATAAAATGACATTTCTTATTGTACAAATTGTAAAAATCTTCGGTGCTCAAAAAGATCGACTCTTACTTAAGTAAATATGAAAGGGGAAGGGGGTTGAGCTTTTCTTTGTGAATATGAAATGGTTTATTTATGCACGAATGTTTTCTGGTTGTATCGTGTTCATTGCCTGTCATGTTTCATTCATATCCTTTTTAGTCTCTCTTGACAAGTAAAAAAACAAGTATTTGATTCATAAATTAAAAAAAGTTAAATATGTTGTTTCTGTTTCACATAGTCACCTTGAAGAAGAAACCTCGGCCCAGGGAGCAGCCGTCTGAGATGGAGAAGCCGACTCTGGAAGCCCCCCAGAATCAGCGACCAGCTCCACCAGCTCCACCAGCTCCACCAGCTCCAGCTCCGCCTCCACCAGCTCTACCTCCACCAGCTCCACCTTCCCCATCTGAGGATGAACTTTTCCTCAGAAGTCTGCTCCCCTCCCTGCAGAGATTACCGCCCCAAACAAAAGAATTTATCAAATTTCAAATACACAAACTTGTTTATGAATCCAGTACAGTTTGTTATAAAGTGGAACCAATTGATCCCGCAGAATAATTTACAATCAATCAGGGCAACAATCTCTGCAGGGAACCAACCAGATTTTTGATCTCCTTTCTCCTCTCCTTTGTCCCTCACTCCTCCGCCTCACTCCTTACTCCTGGATGTAAATAGTTTTTGATTTTTAAATGTTTGTTATTTCATTGTTCATACATTTTTGTGAATAAAGCATGTTATATTTGTTAAGGATCTATGTTTCACTTTCTTCTATCACAGGTATTGAATGTTTTTCTGAATTTTTATCAACTCTAGAATTTTTTAACATGGTAGTTCAGGTCTGGATCATGTTTAAATGATCATTTATCTGAAGTGTTTGAATTATTTTATGTTTGGTAAACTGCTATCTGAGTCTAACTTCCTGATATGACATCTTAACTGGTCAAACTGATAATACATGGAGTTATTCACTGCACTATCAGGATCAGAAATACTTTAATAATCCTCAGGGGGAAATTGCTGTTCGTTACAGTAACTTTAGTGAAAATAAAATACAAAGAGGAGATACATAATAGATAAAATAAGTCAAAATAAAGACATGATATACAAGTATGTACACTATATACAACACAAAATAGTAAAACAGTCTGCATATAAACAGTAAGCAGAGTCCAGGTAAAGACTACAGACTGAGGGTGTCAGACTGTACGGTGTTTTATTGTTTTAACTTGAAGTGTTTTTTTTATATTTCACATCTTACCAAATTAAGTAAAGACCAAGACCAGTAATTTGTGAATGATGTATTATTTTCCCTCTGTTTCATGGCTGCTTAAAACTTGATTTGAATAGTTTAATCTTAAGAGAAGGACAGGATGTCGTAAAGTTATTTTAGTTAATGAGTTATTCTGAAGTCTGGAGTTTTAAACCTCTTAATACTTATTAGAAAAGCCGTGTTATTTAAACCATTCCCTTATTAGTCATAAATGATCTAATTCAGGATATGGTCTCTTTATACCAAGCAACAACATGCAAGATTGAAATGCATAATCAATAAGCATAATCACAAAAATATAAATAAGTGCACATAGATATGAGTTTATGTTGGTACTGATAAAAATATAATATTGCAGGATTTTTGTTCAGTCTTTAAAGAGCTGCTGTTGTGGTGGGTTGTCAGGGTTCTGCTCCCTCTGCAGAGAATAAGAGGTTTAGGAGAAACACCTGCTTCCGTGCAGACTCTGACTTTTCCTCAACAATAATACTCTCGATTGGCAGGAATGGTCAGTAAATGTGATCAAAATAAGTAAACCTAAATATTGTGTCAACAGTCAAAGTTAGAATGAAATGTCATATGTTTCAGTGCTTTAGTATATGTGCTTCAGCTTTTGTTTTTTAGGCTGACCTGCTCTCCTGTCTCTGTCTTTTCCGGACACTCTGCTGCAGCTTGTCTCAGTCAGGAAAAAGGGGGCGTGTCACTGTGACATCAAGTTAAAGGGGCGTGGTCTGGGCGCGCCCTCGGTGGTGGGCTGCCAGTTTGGGAGAAGATGTACTGACACTCTAATTTACACCGCCGTCCGAGATGCTGTACTAAATTATGAAGAGATCAGCCTGGAAGACAAAAAATAAAGTAAAACGAAACAAACACGAGGAGCAGCAGCAGGTTTAATGAGAACAGCAGTTCCTTTTACAGTCAGAGGAATCTGCAGAGACATGAGGAAGAGCCTCAAACTGACCCTGGAACAGTGAGGAGGACACTTGTGCACGTCCTCTGAGGAAGTTACACTCTGATGAAAACTTGTCTTTTAGAGAACATATTCAGCATGTTGTTAGAAAGTTTTACTATAGAAACAAGTCCTGTTTCTCTTTTAATGTTACAAAGAGACTTGTGGAGTCTACAGTCTTACCTCTTCTTGATTATGGTGATGTTTTATACATGAACGCCTCTGCCCAGAGTCTGCAAATGTTGGACAGTGTTTACCATGGAGCTCTGAGATTTATAACAAACTGTGGATTTTTAACTCATCGCTGTACTTTATTCTCCAAAGACATTCTTGGAAATATTCCGGACTACCTCTCCTCCTTATTGATCTTAAAGGAAGGATTACACAACCTGAGATCATTGAGATTTATTCAGTTTTTTGTCCTCAGAGTCTGAACTGAAATGGGAAAGAAGGCTTTCAGGTTTTCTGCTCTCTCTGCGTGGAATAATCTGCTGACTGAATTTAAGCTGCAAAACTTGGTGTCTTTCACTGTTTTTAAATCTGCAGTTAAGAGGCTGGAGTCCAAACTCTCAGAACGTCTCTGTTTCCTCACATTTTTGTTCTGAATTGAGTCTGTGTGATTGTCTGTTGTAACTATGTATTGCTGCCATTCTTGGCCAGGTCTCCCTTGCAAATGAGATCCTCAGATCTTAATGGGACAAACCTGGTTAAATAAATAAAACAGGCCAGAGGAGCTCATCTCTGAGTCTGTTAAGAGTTTAAACCAACGGAAAAGGACTCATTCCCCTAAATGTGGGATAGACACAGACATCTGGGATGATTTTCTCTCTCTCACTGAGTTAGAGATAATAATGATTTGGTTTTATGGTGGAGGAAAGAGAGTTTGAACATTGGTTTTAACATAATACTTCTCAAAGATAAATTCATTTTTGTGTTTGATTTTTAAAAAATTCTTTAAGATCAATTTGAGAACCATTAAAACAAGTTTTTTGGACTTCCTAAGCCTTCAGTTTTATCTACAAGGATACAAATTAGAATCTGAATATTGCTAATCTTGCAATATTGGATACCTTTTATGTTTCTATTTTAAACCGGTCAGGTTTTTACCTTTTGATTTGATTCCATTTCATGTTTTTTTCCTGATTGATTTTTATCGGCTTGTCTTAATTTCTTAATATTTTCTTTCAATTTCCCCTGTAAGGATTATTTTAGTGTCTGTAAGTCACAAATGCTTTGTGGCTGAAATGTTCTGTAGTGACAAATTCACTTTGCTTTCAAACACTTCATGACTGATCTTTACCTTCTTGTTTTCATATTTTACCTGATAAATGGTAAATGCTTCTATTGTTACAGTGTTTTTAAAACACGTCTTTTTGTTTCTTCTTGAATTCTGTAATATAATTTTGTTGATTATAATGTCACGTTTGCATATGTGGACCCTTAGCAGAGGCGAACGAGAATCTGAATATGCCAAAAAGTTAAAATTTGACCTTAAAAAATGTACAGAAGAGGATTAGGGGCCACTGAAAAAAAGAAATGGGTCAGATATAAATTTTTTACAATCATTATTCTAAGATTAAAGTCAGAATTCTGGGAAAAAAAGTCAAAATTCTTACTTTTTTTCGCAGACTGATAATTTAATTTTTTTTTAATATCAGACCTTGTTTTTTTAGTGGCCATAATCCTCTTCTGTATAAAGATGACATCCTTGTATTTGGACATACGCTGTTTGAAAGATGAGTAATTCAGCTTTGAAAACAGGATGTTGAATGTTAGCTGGATTACTGGATGATGTTATAATCCCCTTAAAATCACTGATTAATGTTAAAAATGTTCAAACTCTTACACACCGTTTCGTCCGCTCTCTTATTTCAGGAAACAACATTTATCAGAGGAGGAGCCCGAGAACCTTCGTCAAAAAGCTCTTTTTAATGAGTTTTAAAAGTTGAAATCACTCAGTGAGAAGCTGCTTTTTTGTGCTTGTGTCGTCGTTGATGTGAAGAAAAAGAAGAAGGTAGACAAAAGCGGCGAGTTCTCTCTTTCTTTATATACGTTTATATAATCCGTGGATCTCTGAATCTGAAGAGAGCAGCATGAGACAGTAACAGGAAACAATAAATAAGAGGACATTTCTGGTACGGCTACACTGCATCACCGTTAAAAAAAATAGCAAATATACCAAAGCGGAGTGCTGATATTATTATTATTATTAAGATGATATTTTGAGTAAGACACACTCCTGTAATGAACTCATTCAAACTTGGTCATGTGAGATTTGTGCGTATGTTTGCTGTGAATGTTTCGTCATGGTAACTAATCAGGCAGCTGCTGCAGAAGCCCCGCCCCCTCCGCGCCCATCATGTCACTACAGAGAACAGATTTTTTTTCTTTAAGTAAATACAGATGAAAAAAAATAAGAAGAGAAGCTGCAGCTCCGAGCCTCCCAGCGGACCGTGTCCCTGCAGCTTCAGAGGAGTAAAACCGGTCAGCAGGAGGAGGCGGGGGAGCGGATTTGGTGGGAGGGGGCGTGGCTTTGTTGGTGGGCGGAGACTCTCACAGCAGCTCTGTTACTGCAGGTTCAGTCCATGTCTTGAATGCGACGACAGATTTCAGCTGTAAACTCTGAGCACTTGGAGTTCCCGCCCAGGTCCTTCGTCAGCACCTGAGGAGAAACACGCCGAGTCAAAACACTGTTGTCATGGTAACAACCACCAAGAACTTCATATCGCCGAGCTGGATTGATGCCGTCAGTGCATGACAAAAGAAACCTGATACTCAGTTTTTAATTGGACAGACGGAGGGCGGATAAAGAAACCAGACGAGTGTGAGAGTTAGTTCAGTATCAGCAGGACAAAGTGATCGAGTGTGAGGAGTAAAACAGACAGATGAGGTTACACACAGAGGAGAGAAGCTGCGTGAACAGTCTCAGGCAGCCTGGATGAAGTGTGCAGGAGAGCAGACACTGATCCGGGTTTGAAGAAGGAGCAGTAAACCGCAGCTACGTGACATTTACAGTGAGCATGTTGTCAGGACGGCTGATCTCCGACCTTCTCGGTGCTGTTTCAGAATCCCCAGATTAAAAAAAAGGCGTGCCACGGCGTCTTTTACCTGCTGCTATTGTCAATACGAGGAATTTATTCAATGTTTCTTTTACTTTTGAGTCACAGAAGACACGTCAATCAAGCAGGCCTAATTCTGGGTTTAGGTGCCACTATTTTGGTTGACTAAAGAAGCTAAAAGCCCGACGCAACTCAGCCAAAAGTAAGACTGGGCGATTATATGATCGTGATAAATTTCAGTTCGATCACGGTGATCAGCTGTGAGCATATTTACTCGATCAAAGATAGCAGAAGTGTGCGTCACAACAGCCAATCAGAGTCGAGCTTTTCCTGCTCACTTTTGTAAGTTACTGGAGAAGTAAACAGAATGACCGAACGTGGAGCTGAGGGCAGCAGAACAGATGTCAGCCGGGACTTTGAGTCATTCTTCGAAGATGTTATTGTTGAGAAGGAAAGTTATTTAACGTCAATTGTGTGGCGGTGGTTTCGGGTATCTTCAAAGTTCCCGAGTGATTTTGAAGAAAGCATGAAAATGTGGGCGGAGTCTGAACAGCCTGTCACTGCTGACGGCACGAGTAGCATTAGCAGTTTAGCCACCAGACCAAAGCAGAAATCAGGAATTCTCTACGTTCACATCATCTAATATTTACACTTTAAGTCGTCTTCATTATCTTTGAGGGGGCGATTTGTTTTTTTTGGGGTCTTTTTACCTGCAGAAACACTCAGGACTGTAAACTAGTTCACTGTTTTATTAAGTATTTATCTATATTTGTTGATCTGTTGAATTAAAATGATATATTTTTCTAGGTTTATCTTATTCAATTTGCTTTGTTATTTACTTTGTTAATAAAATGTTGAACTAATCTCTAGTTTCTTTAGTTTTTAGTTCAGATGCTTTAAAACTGGCAGTTAAAAAAATCGTGATAATAATCGAGATCGGACGATATGACAAAATATATTGTGATCTTTTTTTTTTTCACTGGTTATCACTTATTAAACATGATACAGACCTGGTTATCACTATCACTTTAACTACTTCTTCATATTTTTTGCAGTATCAGGGTGATCAGTATGTCCTGCAACTATTTAGAATTGACTTAGATTTGACTGCGAACCCTCCGAGCATCTGTGAGTCTCACCTTCTTGTCTCTGATGGTGTCGAAACAAGCCGTCTGGATCTTGTTGCCGTGGTCGTGGAGACCCATGTGACGCAGCATCATGACAGCACTGAGCAGCAGGGCGGTGGGGTTCGCCATGTCCAAGCCGGCGATGTCAGGGGCTGTACCGTGAACCTGCGGATCGAGTCCGTCTCAGTCAATCTCGACTATTTTTGATTATTTGAACAAATCAAGAGTGAGGCGATGTTGAAGAAAAACGAACCGATTCAAAGATGGCGACTCCGTTTGCGCCGATGTTTCCACTGGGGGTGACTCCAAGTCCTCCGATCAGACCGGCGCACAAATCGCTGAAACACAAACAACACCTCAGCGTTAACTCTTCGTTTTCAGACATTTACAGCCTCTTAAAAAAACGTATTTCCCGCTGACTGACCTGAGGATGTCTCCGTATAAGTTGGGCATGACCAGAACGTCGAACTGGGTGGGATCCTGAACCATCTGAAAGTCCAGAACATGAGGAGAGGTCAAAAACCAGCTTCAGTGTAAAAGTGAGTTCAGGTGTGAAGAAAAGACGTTTTTGGTTTGACGGTGAACTCACATTGAGGCACACAGTGTCGAGGTACATCTCAGTAAACTTGATGTCTTTGTAGTTTTCGGCCACTTCACGACATTTCCTCAGAAACAGACCGTCTGACATTCGCCTGGACAGACGGACACAAAGACAGACGGTCAGTTAAAGAGCTGTTTTCATCGGCTCAGGGTTCATCTTCTCTGATTCCCACTGAGCGTTTTAAAGGTTCATGGATTTTATAACACAGTGAAGTGATTTGGCTGAAGCTGAGTCGGTCTCCCTGACACTGCAGCACAATAATCGCTCTGTTAGACAGAGTGTAGGTGGATGTCTCAGGGTGGAGGCCCTGTGAGGAGGAGACTTTTCCACTTTGTGTTTAGACTGCAGTTTATTTCTGAAAGCAACTGCCTCTTAAAACACAAATTAAAGCCGCCGTCTGCTGCAGAGCCACGTTTGCACTTTTATATTACCTCAATGTTTACATCTCTGAGAGGAGACAGAATTAAAAATGATGTTATTAAAGGCAAAAAAAGACAGTTCTTCAGGAATAAGAAGGACGATAAAAGGAACTTAATTAGAATTAACTTTAACCTCTGTGACGTCGTCATCAAACCTTGAATCTAGTTATTGTGCCCTCTAGAGGTGATGTCCAGTAAGACATGTGAGGCATGGTTGAGTATACCTTGAATTATACGTATGAAATTATACTTTCTCTTGCGGTGGGATTGTTTATATGACACACTTTATTTCTATTAACAGAGACCAGAGTTTATTTCACATGCTGGCAGACCTCATCATCGGACAGAACACCAGACTCTGTGAACTTCATGTCCATCTTCACGTTCACTTTCTTTGTCTGTCCTGTCTGCCGTGTTTCACAGGTGCAGTATCCCAGATATACTGAGAGCAATTCGGCTTCAAATTCGTATAATGACGGAAGGCGGAGCCAAGTTGTAAATAGTTTATACAGTCTTTGGATTTGCAGAATTTGCAGAGTTTTTTTTTTTTGTAGTTAAAAACAAAAACCACCATCGCATGAACTATTCGATTTTTTTAATGTTAATGACTATTCGAATATTTGATAATCATTGCCCATCCCTAATAGATAATACAACAGTTAAAGTGAAAACTCATCATCGCCACAAATGTTCACAGACGCAGACAGAGACACGGAGGCTTGAGCTCGTGATAACAGGTCGTGTCAACAGCCTAAAACAATAACTGATATTAAAAAAACAAATCTTTCCAAGTAAAAAACTTCCTTAATATGTTTCCAACTGCAGTAGACAGTGACCGCCTCGGTCAGGAGTAAGTCTGATGATTTATTATAATTCTAAAAAGTGAAAGTATTGCTCAGTCAAACACTTAAAACTCTCTCTATCCTCCATTAGAGTCATCCTGCTGCTGCAGAAACAGCTTCTATTTACATTTCCAAAACAAACAATCAGAGTGAGAATAAGTCTGAGTGTTTACAGAGAGCAGGATGAGGTTAGCTGAAGAGTACGAGATCAGAAACGACACGAGAAGTTCAGCTTTACATCCTCAGGGAGCCCCGAAATAAACACACTGAAATGTCATTTTTGTTGATGCTCCTTTTTTTAACTCTTTGATTTCTCTCATGTAAAAATAAATCAGGTCAAACTATGGTGAGATGTTCCTGATATCTTGTTGTTTTCTAAATTATCTCATTTGTTATTCTGATTCAGCCCTTTAAGACGCTGACGCTGCCGTTTCACTCACATGATGTTTGCTTTGTGGACGGCCGTCACGCTGTTTCTTTGGTTGTTTCTGGCGTACTCGAAGGCGTACTCGGCGATACGTCTGCTGGCGTTCTCTGTGATCAGTTTGATGCTCTGTACGACGCCGTCGACGATCTGCAACAACAAAAAAACAAAACAGAAAAACGGTCAGAGACACTTTCAGGAGGATAATTCTGGTTTTATTACAGAGAGTTTCTGTTCTTCTGTGTTCAAATCCGATTATTTCAGCTCATCTTTATCTGGAGCTGTGATCTCATGGCTTCACTTACTTTATATCTGAATAGCTTCATATTTACTTTGCTTTAGTTTTACAAACAAATGCAGGTGAATCATCTGTAGATAAGACTTCTTCTTTTCTGCAGTGTCAGGCTGAATTCAGGTTTGTTTTTTGGTTCGGAGAAAGGTGAAGAGGCGAGAAATGGAAGGAGAGAAGAACGGTGTAAGACACGCACATCGAGGAAAAGTTCAACAGGGACCAGGTGAGTGTCAAATCAGGTACAGGAAGTGACATCACACACAAAGAGGGCGTCTACTGCCAGCTGACAGATCTGTGGTGATGCTTTGGTCACTGATTCATGAAACCGTTTTGTAAATCTGCTCAGCTGAGTTAAAGACACCCTGGTCCTCTCTGTGAACACAGAGGTGAATCTGGTCCTCAGATCTGAGCTGACAGCGTGACCACAGACTGATCCACATCATCAGGACTGTGCGGGTCAAACAGGTGAGGGGTTCAGGAAGCTTCAATGCTCTCATTCCTCAAACTGAACCGCTTCCTCTTTCTTACCCTGAAGACGGGAAGGAGCAGAGAGGACAGCGGCTACAAGCTGACCTAAAGGAAGACAGGTGAGGGGGGGGCAGGTACACCATCATCATCATCATCATCATCATCATCATCATCATGGCTGACTCAGCTGTTATGTTGCTGTTTCTGCACCAGACTTTAATCAGGTGGAGGTCTCAGAAAATCTGTGTTTCGAACTTGATGCAAATCAAACACGTCTGTAATTTGTAAGGTTGATATTCCAGGGTGAAACAGCTGTCATATTTCAGGACACACAGAGATCATCTATTTGGAGATCATCCACACTGACATCACAGTAATGTGGGTTAGTATTTTCTACTTTAAGAACGTCTCCTTGAATTTTTCTGCCCAAACCGTGAAGGCTGCGATGGACAGAGTAAAAAAAAAAGGTTTTGACAACATTTTGGGAGCTGGATCCTCTTATTACAAAGAATGGAGACTCTTTAGATGCTGAAAATAAAAATATAACTAAACAGCAATAAAACAAACACCTTTTCCAGTCACTCACAGGAGCAGCTCCGTATCCTGAACTATCTTACAGTTCACGATCACATGAATCATCTCATTTTCTATCCATCAGACAGGATCATTATCTTTGCAGTGCTGCGTGGACATTAAAGGGCCAGTGCCTCTAAAGGCGCATCGTGTCACCGTTTAGTAAAGAATTAAAAAAAGAGTACAAAGATTTATTTAATTACTGACCCTCGGCGACTAAATCACCCACACAGAGACTCTCAAATCAATATCAGCAACCCTTAAAGATAGGGGGGGGCGGGTTCAGTCCAAACTGCTTCACTGCAGGGTGGCTGATAAACTCTATATGACATAAAGTTATGAACTGTATTTATTAGTTTTTATGCATTTAATTCACCTCATGAAGAAGTCGTTCAGCACTTTGACACTTTTAACCAGAAATGTCAGTTTGAATAAATCACAGACCTCACTTCTCCAGTGTGAACCTCCCACACCAAACAGACGTCGGGGGGAGACTCTCAAACGATAAGAGGTTAAACTAATCCTGTCCAAAGAGATTTCCAAGTGCTCCAGTAGATTGCTTTAAAAACCGGGGAGTGAAAAACTCCATGTCGTCACTTCAGGATGTCGTCAAATATGAACCCTCACTACTTCTGTGGGGGCGGCAGAGACTCAGTATGTGGGACCTTGGGCCTAAAGTCAGTCCCTGTTCAAACCCGAGTCTATTCTGTGTGTTTAAAGTAAAGTAAGAGAGGTTCAGAGGAGCCCCACAGCACTACACTGACACGTCTCTGTCAGAGCATGTCCACAGGATCCTGTTTCTGCTTGTGTGTGGATTTTCCCCCTCTGGGATTAATGAGCTGAGCTGTCGTCGTCGTCGTCTTCTTTTCAGCACAGACTAATTATTCACTTTAAGGATCCTTTCTGTGACACTTTGGACAAACTTTAACTGTCCCAAAGAGACATCTATGTGCACAATTCTACACCAGTCATGAACACCTATGAATCTATATAAACAGAGTCTATAAATCAGGACGCAGCCGCTCTCGTCTCGCCCACTCACCACGTGTTCGATGCCGCTGTACTCGCCCTCTGTGTTCTCTCTGATAGTGACCAGGTCGACGTCGGTGTACGGAGTCTTGTAGCCCTCGATGGAGATGCAGGGTCGCACATTCGCGTAAAGGTCGAAGGTCTTCCTCAGCAGCAGGTTCATGGAGGGGTGACCTGCAGCGATGGGGGTCTTCAGGGGTCCTGGAGGAAAAACATGAAGCATAAACGGTCAGCTGAGGTGTCCACATTATGAAAGGCAGTAGAAACGAACTGTCCACAGACCTTTCAGGCCGATCTTGCTCTTGTCCATGGATTCTTTAGCATCAGGAGGAATCATCCATCGCCCGCCGGGTCCCTTTATAGCCGTCACGTTCCTCTCCTCCCAGCTGATTGGTGCCTGCAGGAGAAAACAAACATGTTTAAAGACCCAGCTCCAAAGAGTCTGCTTTAATTGGAGAAAACGGTGAATTAAAACTTACTTTTGCAGCTTCAAAGATCTTCATGACAGCCGTGGAGATCTCAGGTCCAATCCCATCACCAGGAATCAGTGTGACTGTCTGCAGCTGTGGAGGAAACACAGACGGCCTTCACTACGGAGAAACCTTCATACGGAGGAGAGATGGAGCCTGTCGTCTGATATCTCACAGGGATTTAAGACCTTTTAAATCACCAAACAACTCCAGCTAATCTGTTTATATCTTTATGTTTCTACTTTTAAAGCACTTACAGGGAAAGATATCAGTGTTTGCAAACAATGAAGTTCTGCTACAATTCAAGACTTCAACAGACAGCAGCAAAAACACAGAGGGAACCAGAGCGCAGCTTTCAAGCATTAAAATCTGCAATAAAAAGGAGAAATGACCCAAGAGTCAGTTGTGTAACCAGGTCAGCTAAAAGCAAGTATCTGATTTAATGACACCAGCTCCCTCAGTTAGTTTCAGGTCATTTTGCCTTCAATTCCAGGCTGAGAGTGAAGAAAAACAAACACCGTCGACTGATTTCTGTTGGAGATTTTCGGACAGGGAGCGTGAAAAAGTCCTGAGAACAAGATGAATACAGAGATAGTGAAGTATCAGGCCAAAAAAGGCCTTATAGATGAAGGTGTTGATATGTATTAGCCCGCAGGTCGCCAGTGATGGCCATGTAACCCAACTCACAATGACAGCTACAAGCTCTCACTTTACCCATGTCAGAGAGGAGATGCAGTAAGCTGTGCCTATCTTCTGAGGACACTGAGCCAGGGTGTGCATACACAAGGTCGCCTTCACCAAGTACAGGTAATGAAATACAGCAAAAAGGCGCCATCGAAGGAGAAACACTGATTTTGATGCAATATTAGAGGACTGAATTTCAATACAAGCCTATTACACGTTGATGTTTGCATTGATACCAGAGTGACAAAAATTGAATTCCTGAGCACCCAAATGTTCATTTTAAAACTCCCACCTGTGACGAGCTCCACACTTGAATCGCCAAATAAAACATCTCAGTTGGATAGAAATACCATAAAAAAGGTAGTGAGATGGTCCTACACTCACTTCCCCTTTAAGTATTTATTTTTGTGCACTGGTAGTTCATTATTGCGTGATTGTCAGTAGGTGTCGGTGTCATGTTTGTGAACCCTGAACTACTCACCCCTCTGGAAAAGGAAGCTGAAGAGAGAGCGGGTCTCTTCGCCGCCCGCGCCACATGGGTCAGCTGGAGGAGACAACATGAAGGTCACAAACCGTGAAAAAGTTGATTACACAGACAAAACATTATTATCAGTGCATTTTATTTTGTCTATGTGTTACATCTCAGCAGCAGAAGATCTAAATAGAGAGTAATTAACGTGTACAACCAAAATTTATCATTCTCTGACAGTTTAATAGTGGTCATTATAATGGTCCTCTTTCACATTGTGTTTTTTTATGCCTTTTCCCTCCCCTTTCTTAATTTTTGTATATCAATGCCCAATTCTAGACAAGTACCTAAACAGATTTTCTTTTACAGAGGTCAAATTAACTTGGTATATTGATTTACAGCAGTAAAAACTACAGCTCTGTTACAGTTGTAAATAAAAAAGCTTTGCTTAAAAGGTTGATTTCAGTTTGCCGAATTAATCAGACTTTACTCTGCAAGTTAGTAAGTTCAAAAAAATTAAGTCTCAAGTTTAATTTCTGCTAAAAACTTCATATACCCTTAAAATCACAGATTTTCAGAGGACATTTGGTGCGGGTCTATACGTGTGGAAACCAGAGCCGATAACACCTGGCAGCGGTTATACTTTAAAAAGGCTAAGTTACACCTTTAGAAAAGGAAAATAAATGGTGCCCTCTAAAGCTGTATGCCGATAAAATCGTGTTTTAGTCGGTGTTTAACGGACCGTAGATCCGTTAGCTCCGTTAGCTCCAACACCTGTCATCACGCTGAAGGACACTCACGGGGAGCTAACATGCTAACCGGCTAAAGGCAGCGTTTAAAGTCACGTTCAGAGACAGTACAGCTCAGCACGGGGATGGAAACACCTCAGCTCACACACGAAACACAACTCCGCGCTGTTTTGAACATCCTCAGTGATTTTAAACACGAAATAAACGAGAATTTTCTCACCATTGACCTCCACACGCTGCCTGCCATTCTGCCGAGGAAGAGGATTCACTCTGATCCGCTACCGGGGACGAGAAGCCGGGGCAAAGATCCTCTGACAAACAGAGGACTCACTCTGGATGCTCCTCCCACCCACACATGCGAAGAATAAACACTCTTGACTAAAGTTATTTTTACGAAAACAGTTTACACTTTATTTAAGTACAGTGGTTTACAATGGCTTATATTTCTCAATATACTTACCAGGCTTTTTAATTTATCCTTTATTTTAGCAGGGAGGGTCCCAGTGGTACCAGAGTCAAAAAAGTCAATGAAATAAAATACGGTAAAATAAAATGACATAAAAATGAAAAAAAAGTACAATAAGATACATTAAAGGAAAGGAAAAAAACAAAATATAGTAAGAAAAAATATAATGGAGTCAAACATGATAATTAGATAAAATGGAATGAAATAAAAAAATGAAAAAATTACATAGAATAATAAGACATAAAACAAAATAAAAAAGAAATTGAAACTATAGAAAATAAAAACAAAACAGGTTTCCATCAGCGTTTATTAATCTGGTTTTGAGCTGTTATGAGACCGGGAGAAATTTTGCCTATGTGGTCTTCTCATTTAATTTTATGTATGAAATTGCAGATTTTTTGCATTATTTCTTTTTTTCTGAATCCAATTTTTTTTAATCTTTTTTTTCTTTCTGTGTTTAATCACTGTAAATCATCATTATTATAGGAGTCACAATATGAAGTTGGAAATCTGACACTCATAATAAACCGAAGAAATCTGTGATAAGCGACACCTAACTGAGTTTATATGGTTCAAAACTGGCAGTATTTCACCGCTTCGACGACCGTTCTTTGAGGAGGAGGGATGCATCTCCACATCAGTTACGATCTTTGGTCCGGCATTGAAGTCGTAGCTTGTTAGCGTCGTCGGGGGCGTGGTGACGTCAGTGCGAGCGCAGTTGCCAGGGTTGCCAGGTCCGTGTCCTTCGGCTGTCTGAGTAAAAACCAAAGACTAAAGACTCTTTTGTGTTTATTGTCTTTGAGTAAAACCTCATTATCTCTGTCCAAACTATAGAGACAGACAGGAACTCAGGGACAACTACCACTGCGACTAACTTTACTGAAAAAGTGATTACGATAACCCTTAAAAATAAAATAATATAAATGTTTGAGCAGTTCTGGGGGTATTAAAAGCAGATCCTTTTGCATAAAGATTTTACGAAAGTAAGCGTTTGATTCCCATGTTTTTGGGGTACTTTTAATTAACTGAATGTTGTTGTCTGTAACTACGTGAAGAAGAATCATTTAAAACCATAAAAATCCTCTGAGATTGGCCCATTATTAATTATTGCATTCATGTAATTCTACAATTAAAAAATTTAACTAGTTGCCACAAGTTTGGGGATAATTTAAAAAAGGTCCTCTCTGTGTCAATGAAACCAACACTGGCGTATCTGGCCTCAGCTCTGTGCTGCCTTCACGTACTGTAAGAAATATGTAGATCTTTAGTGAAATGAACTCATAATTTTGTCCTGTTTGGTTTTAAGATTTTAAGTCAGGACTGCAGGCAGGCCAATCCAAGATTTCCAAAAAAGTCAGCTCTTGCTTTGTATTTCACTTCACTTCAATCTCTCATGAATCAGCTCAGGCCTAAAGAACTTTCCTATCAAAAATGTTCTATTTTTCAAAGCTTTACTCTGACTTCAGCATGAGATGTACACTGGAGATCAAAATTAGAGAACACTTGACCTCATCCAAAATATTATAATCTTCACCGCTCAACATTTGAGGTAGTGTTTGTCGTGGCAATACTGCGCTACAAGAATAATATCTTACAACAAAATAAGGAATTTCAACAACAACAAAAAAACCTTCATTTTGCAGAAACACAAAGATCAAAACTAAAGAACAGCAATGCCTTTTGCACAAAGAAAGATGACAACAAAATTATCCTAAGGTTAGGACTGACAGGGTCATCCCTTTGGTCTTCATCTGGACCACCTGTTGCCGGAGTGTTTCAGTAACTTTAGAAATGCTCACCATCTTGTAAAGTCAGTGAAAACTGGAAGTTAGGCAGCCGGTTTAACAGGGTTGGTCCAGACTAACACTCATAACTGAGAGGTTTCTTAAAGTGATCTCTAATTTTGATCAGTGCTTTTTTCTTTAAATATCTCATTTAAGTTTTTTATACTGTGTTGGATTATTTTATAACAAAACAATACAGTGAACTTGACATTTAGGACATCGTGGGTTGTTCTCTAATTTTGATCTCCAGTGTATGTACCTGGTTTGTACCTTGTCTATGTACGAGCAGCACCTGAAGGCAGCACCCCGGTACCCGCACCGCCTCCTCCCGCACCGCTGAGGCGTCAAATCCACCTTTTTCTGCGCGCTGAAACGGCAGCTCCGAGCTCCGAGACGAATCAGGACTAGACTCGGGTCAGGACTGTGGATGCTGGACCACCTGCCGGACCGGATCATGTGGTTTTAAACGGATATAAGGGGATCTGACCGAAACGTGAACTGATGCTGCTGTGTGATGGGAGAGTCAGCCGAGCAGGATGGGCAACAAGCAGACAACCTTCACCGATGAGCAACTGGAGGCGTATCAGGTGATGTGTTTACACCGGGGTGACACGGATTATTACCGTGAATACAAACACAGAGCTCAGCTTCACGGTTTGACTCAGTGTACCACTTTAATAAAGGTGAAGATAGGCTGTGTTAGGGTTTAATGAAACAGAAAAGAGTGGATGTAAAAGGAGCGGGCAGGGCAGGGTGTCTCTCCTGTTGCTGATTGGCTGAACTCCAGCCTCCCTCTGCATCCTGCTGCATGTGATGCTGCTGCTGCTGCTGAGGGCTGACTGATGGTGTGAAAGCAGATCCTCCCAGAGGAGCAGCAGCAGCAGCAGCTCTCTGACTCACTCTGACTCTTTCTGTTTACAGGACTGCACCTTCTTCACCAGGAAAGAGGTCCTGAGGTGAGTCTCTGTGTAAAAACAGCTTCATCACAGGTGAGGAGCGGCTCAGCGGAGTGTGAGAAGAGTTTACATAACGGCCACGCCTGTCTGATCAATCCACTGAGGCTACACTCATTCAACTTTAGTCGTAGTCATAAAGAAGTCTGTAATAGGAACAATAAATAAACTTTAACAAGGGCTAACAAGAGACAAATTAAAAAAGAAAACTGAACAGCTGCATCTCATAGATTAAAACAACTTAAAACCTCTAAAAAAGTTAAAAACTCTGAACATTAAGTATTAAAAAAACTGATCAGCCTTTCTGTATGTTTGACTAAAGCACGTCTGTACCACTGGATGTTTAAAAACTCATATGTACGATTACTGAAAGGGTCCATGCATCAATTTACTGACAAAAAGTCAGATGTCACTTGTAGTAAACTATTTTCACAGTGTGATTAAAACCAAAGGACTTAAACTCTTTTACTGCTTATATTTTATCACAGGCTGCAAACCTCACAAATCATTCAGTCTTTTCAAGCCTTTATATAAAGTCCAAATTCCAAATCTTGAACTCTAAATCATTTTGTCCCTTAGCTTTTCAGACATACACAGACACACATGCCTGTTTCTCCCTGCTCTCCTCTCTCCACCTGTAGCTGCTGTCTGATAGTCGGTACTGCTAAAGCACAACATGTTACAGATACAGCGGTCCACCATAAATCTTAGCATAGAGGGAGTATGCACTTCATTCATCCAATCAGACATAACGGGGCAACCCAGCTGACCAGACAACAGTCGTTCAGTTTAGGTGATCATAATTTTATGACTTCGGGCGAATTGATTTCCGATTTGTCAGCAAGTGGGTATTTTCAGTTTGTGTCGACTTGGTGCCGCCTTGTGGACGAAACAGTTTTTGCTTATTTGGTCCTCTGCATCCTGAAGTGTAAACTCAGAATGAATGAATCAGTACGAATCAAGAAATCTCATCCTACTGAATGAACTTCATGAATATTTTATATGTGTAAATTATATTTCTTAAGCTGCTTGGCTGACGTCCCCACTTTGCTTTTGTGAAAATACGTGAACATAAATTTTAGTCTATTTCAAAAAGAAAAATCCTCATCGGAGCTTTAAATGCATTAAAAATAATGCAAACTATCAACAGATGCAGCAAAAATACAGTTTAGGTTTATGGGCTTTATTTTGTTTTGGTTTCAGATAATCCTGTTAGGCATTAAACGACTCAAGATAATCCAGAAAATGGACTCAGAGTCCACGAGTCTGCTCCAGTATCAGGACTAACAAGTTTAATATCTGTATAAAAACCGTCAAGGCTCTGTGGGCTGTTTTTCAGTGTTTTCTATCATGTTTATGTTTGTGCAGATCTCCTCAACAGAAGAAGTCCTAGAACTGTAACTCCGTTTGTTTGCGTTTGCAGTTTACACAGCAGATTTCGAGAGCTGGCTCCACATTTAGTGCCGCTGGATTACACCAACAACCCCGACATCAGAGTTCCTCTGACGCTCATCGTGACCATGCCAGAGCTGAAGGTAGAGAGCCGAGAAACACACTTTGAGTAATTTACATTCAGGACTCAGCAGCTTCACAACACAAGAGCAACATGGTGCTTAATTCAACTCACATTAAACTTTGGTTTGGACAGAGCGTCAAATAAAACCTGCTGCAGAGTGAATATTTAGAGCTGACATGCAGACGTGAAATTACAGAAGCTCTCTGTAAAAACATGCTGCATCACCAAACTGAATTTGTGTTAAGAGAGAAAAACAGACGCCTCTCTGTTTCTGTTTTGTTCCATTAAATAATGAATGAATGAATAACTGGATCAATAATTCAGGAGTGTTTGTCGTGCCGTTAAAGTTTCTCCCTGTGTGTGTGTTTTTGTGTGTGTTTGTTTGTGCCGACAGGAGAACCCGTTCAGAGACAGAATCGTGGAGACGTTCTCGGAGGACGGACAGGGGAACCTCAGCTTCAACGACTTTGTCGACATGTTTTCTGCTCTGTGTGAAACTTCACCCCGAGAGCTGAAGAACATCTACGCCTTCAAGATCTACGGTGAGACTCACAGCTGCTGCTTTTACACTTAAGTGCTTATTCCTCTGTCTCATAATTAAAGAAATTAAAGCAAAAGCAGCAAAAAAAAGAGATGAAACATGAGGTGTACGTTTCTTGAAAGATCAGAAAATAGAAAAATGTCGACAGAAATTAACATATTTATACAAAGGGAGGGAGTTTGAGCAAATATAAGATGACGTGCATTGGTTTTATTGGAAACAGTCTTGTTTGAAGACAGAGGAGCTTATTTCCACACTGGCACCAGCTGAGCAGAGAGCAGGACGCAGAGACGGCTGCAAAAGGAGGAAGATCGTACAAGGACAAACATTTATCATAGCTAACCCAGCTTACCTGCAGACAACATGATCCATGAAACTATTTCTTCCACTAAATTCTTCAAAACTCTGACTTCTGTTCCAAAATAACTCTCTGACAAAATTTCAAAATAAAAGCACCACAGAAACAAGGAGAGTCCCTCCACGGAAAGAAGCGATGAGGCTTTTGCTCCAGGAGATACTCACTAAGTGCTTCTGTGTGTATTTTTCATGCTTGTGATACAGATATAAACGAATACAAAGGCAGCACAGCCTTCAACTCATCATTATTTAGTATATTTCAGCTGAAACCCACATGCAGATCACACCAGCTGTGCCAGGGTGAGGCTGGAGATCAAATCTGCTCTAACTGAACCAGAGCGCTCGGTGGAAATGCATTAATAGTGGAAATGAGAATTCGGTGTGTGAGAACAGGTGCAGCGCAAGCGTAGAGAAAGTATAAGTTTGATTCTGTGCCACACTGAGGGAAATCTCCCGTTTGTGCTCCAGACTACAACAGGGACAACTTTATCTGTAAGGAGGACCTGACCAAGACTCTGAACAAGCTGACCAAAGGAGAGCTGACGCCAGAGGAGGTCACGCTGGTGTGTGATAAAGCCATCGAGGAGGCCGACCTCGACGGAGACAGCAAGCTCTCCTTCGCAGACTTCGAGAACATGATCTCAAAGGCCCCTGACTTCCTGAGGTACGACTCAGCTTCATCCTCTTACAGTTTTTAATGTGGATGAAGTGTCTCCACCTCCTCCACCTGGCACTGACATGGCTAAAATGCTGATTCATGAGATCCTGAACCAAAACAAAAGGGAGGAGTGAGCGCCCCGGTGTCTGACCTTAGAGAGCTGTTATTCCCTTTCATAAAGATACAGCAGGATCAGAGCAGAGACCTTTCAGTCTGATTTAACAGCTCCACTCTATCAGTACACACCTTCATTAGAGTTATCTGACCTGGTTGCCATAGTACGAAGATCCCAGAGGCCTCATTTCAGGCTAATCTGTGAGCAGTGGTCCGGGCCCATGGACTGATTTATGACTGGAGTCATTGACTGGATAAATCCAGTCCTCTACTTGAGGCTCTTCAGCCTCTTATTTTACCTTTCAGTCACGATCTCTCTGTTTGGCGTGGGCGGAGGAACGAAGCGTCACAGTGACTGATCAGGTTTCAGAGAAGTAAAAGAGAAGTTTGATGAAAGTTCAGAGTTTTATTATCGGGGATTTAACCTTTAGGATGTTCAGAGACACGCAGACCCTGAAAAGTTATGAAGTTGAACGGTATGTGTGGGCAGCTGCAGCTCCGCCTCCAACAAAGTCAGGAAGTCTTAAAAAACATAGATGCTTGGACTCAGAGACTCATTGTCCCGGGTCAGAACCAAGCAGGGTGAAGCTGCAAGGTTCTGTGGACCTCACCTGTGCAACAAACTCCCTGAACACCTCAGGTGTGCACAAACTGTCAGCTCATCAAAATCAGGCCTGAAAACATTAAAGTTAACTGTTTTCTGTTTACTGCAGCTTTCCTACAGCAACATTTCCTTTAACTTCTACTTTGCTGTTTATCAGATTCAACTGTTTTAATGATTATAAACTACATTTTAATATTTTATTGATCGTAAGCTGAGAAATGCTTCCTCTGTTCCATGTTTCTAAGGGGAATAAGGACCAAATTGGGACCTGACTAATGAAATGGGAAAAACAGGTGAAAAGCTGAGAAGCTTTAAAGAGAAAACTAATACAGTCCGAGACAGACGAAGAGAAAACTAGGAACCATCTGTGGAGCCCTGGGTCTGAAAACTCTGAAGACGTATTTCATTTTTCTGGGAAACGATGATCCTGGTGTTCAGAGCAAACAGACGAAAAAAAATATCTGTTTGTCTTCGGGGTGTCCCGATATGTTATTGATATCTGATATCTGTCCGATATCAACAAAAATCAAATATTGGATTATATCGGCCTGCATCTAAAATCTCCGACACAAGCAGTCACTTTTTACTTGTAGTAAAAATCACTCTGTTCTCCGACACGTAAACAATCAGCCGGTCGGCCATGTTGGATATATCGATGAACTCTGATTGGTCAGAAGTGGACACACAATATGCGAAACTTTAGAAAAATCGACCATGATCTGAAAAAATAAATGCCGCAATATCGCAGGACGAGAAAACGTCACTGATGTGAACGCTTGTATTGACAGGATACGGGTTCGAAAAAAATAGTGACGTCCGAAATAATCGCACAAAAAAAACCCACTCCTGCTGAAAACGGTGAAAGAGCCTGAAGTCTGAAAAAGACATTGAAGCTGAAAAACTTGTCATGCACAATTTTGTGCCAATATCGGATCAATATCGGTATCTGTCAATATTGAAGGTTATAATATCCGTATCGTATCAGGAGTCAAAAGTCGTATCAGGACACCTTTAGTTTGTCTTAATGATTTTAAATCTTTTTAATCTCTTTTTTAATCATTTTTTATGTATTTCTTCACATCTGTAAAGAACTTTGAATTGCCTCGTGTATAAATGTTTCTGTACAAATAAACTTGCCTTGCCGTCAGAGCCCTGTCAGCGTCCTCTACACCAGACTGAGTCCCTGCGTGGGCGTCATTTTTAACTCTTTTTTGTTTGTTTTTTTTTGCAGTAACTTCCACATACGAATATGAAACGATGCTGAGATCCTGCCGTGGACAGAAGTCTCACTCTGACTGTTTCCTGCTTCCACAAGTCTTCTACCCCCAGACTCCACCTCCACCTGAACCTCAGACACCACCTCGACTCAGTGCCTGTCCTTTCTATCGCCGGTGGAGACTCTCATTCCTCTCCAGCAGAACCTGAGACCTGACACAGAGTCCAGTCTGGACTCGGAGAAGCACAGGCAGTTTCTTGCCAACTCGCATCTCACGGAGAGATCGGAAGTTTTGGAGGGAAAGTCGTTACCGCATGAAACCTTTCTCTTTTTAACTCATTTATAAACTAACGAGAAGGATCGATAACCAAGATGGGGCTAATTTTCTACCAAGAGGGCTTCTCTGCAGCTCTGGTGTCTCCTAAGGACGGGTTCGCTCCCCTGAGGCACATCTGGAGACTCTGCAGAGTCAAGGGAACAGGGCTTTTTTGACTTCAGTGCTTTGCAGAGAGACCAGATCGACTGACTGGATCCTTTTCAACAAGCACAGATTTAAAGGGCAAAACAGTGAAGAGCTATGCAATCTTTCTTTGTGAAGTGCATGTTGTAAATTGCTTCTAGCTGTGGTTAATTTGTACACCTGGTGTAGTTGAACGTCTCGGTGCATAATGACAATCATAGTAAACTGTAGTTCAGTTAATGGAAGGGCTCTCTGTCGTCTCACCTGTAAACTTTGGCTTTGATAAATCTTTTCCTGCTGCCGACCAAGTTTATAGTAGAGCTTTCAGTCATTTAAGAGAAAAAGGTTTTGTGGCTTGAATCAAATAAACGATTTTTCTGTTGCTTGATGCTTCGTTAAACTTTTTTAACCGACTGGTTCAGGTGAAGGGATTTAAAGGGCAATTACGTCCGCTATTATCGGTCCAGACTTAGAGAACAGCTGACTCTTATTTAGATCATCCTGTACAGCATAAGGAGAGCACAAATCTGAGCATTAGCTGCTCTGTAAACTTTCTGCAGACTCAGAGCTGTTGAGCCGTAGACATGGATTTGTAGAACTCGACTTCCAAACAACTTAAAGGGATATTCTGGCGTAAAATTTAAGTTATGGTCAAACACACTGTAACACCGAGTTAGACCCCCCCTCCAGAGATGAATGTTGTAGACCGCTTGCTTCTCTAGTTATACCAACTTTAGTAACGACCGCAGGATAGCAATACAGAGAGCCACGCCCTCAACCAAAACGCCACTCTATAGCCACAAATAATGCTCAGAACAGCACCTAACTTCATCAACAGGACATATAGGGTCACAGACATAGTACTAGACACCAAACATCTTTTTAACTTTGACTGATTTCTTTAGCAAAGAGACTAAACACAACTCACCTACTCTCTTCCAGCAGCCGCTTGTTTGTACGGAAACCTCAGGCCAGTCCATTACAGACTACAGTGGGGTGCCGCAGCTCAAGGAAGAACATTTATGATCATTTCCTCACGGAAAAACAATCAGACCGAGACGCTAAGGCAGAAGAACTACTGCGTCTGTAAAATGATCAATATGGTGATTATCACTTTAAGGAAATGATTCGCTGCACTCGGTGATCGCTGGTGACCAAGTAATGCTGGAATATGCCTTTAAGATGTGGTAAAATGCTGATAAAACCACGTTTACATGGTCTTTAAATTATTCTAACTGAAAATGGTGCCAAGATGATAAATCAAATGTTGAAATTGTTTTACGAAAAATATATTTGTATATTTCTCGTTTGAAATTTGATGCCACTAACATGTTTCAAAACACGGGGCAGGTGCGTTTCCCACCGGGTTACATCAGCTCTTCTTTTGGGACCCCAGAGACCAGTTTCTGTTAAATATCCAGTTTATGGTCTCATATCAGTTATCTGTTCGAAATGCACCAAATGTTTTAAAACGTGACGAGTCAGGACTCTGAGAAACTGGAGAAAAAGGCTCTGAACTTCTGATAAGAACACAACTCTTTGTATCAGGTGTATAAATATTTTTTACAGCTGCCTAAAAAAATCAAAAGCTCTTGGAAGGGCTGGTTTAGAGACAGACTGATTAATGCTGTTGGGTACGAATCAATCAAGCAGGTGACAGCTGAAGTAAACGATTATATGCTGTAAAATAGTCACAGTAGAAAATCCTCACTAAGTTGTGCATTTGACTGTTTAAAGAAACTAAAGTGTCAGGGATTAGTTCACGTTGACTAATTACTCACAGACACCACAGTGATCTTGTTCGGTAAGAATGAAGAGAAACGCAGGTTTACCCGGACAGAGGAAGGAAGCGGCTGCTGCAGCTGCTGGTTTCAGGTTTCAGGCTGCTGTTCAGGGGTTGTTCAGTTCAGGTGGAGTCGTGTCGCTGCAGCACTGAAACACCAGCGGGACATTTGTTCTGATTATAGTGACCAGCCAACTGTGGTTATATCATCGTGTTCCTGCTGCAGCAGCACATCAGCCTTTAACTGCCCGACCACACGGCCTGCTGTCTGCTGGACCTGCTGCTTTCACCTGAGAGGGGGGCTGCTGCAGGAAATATGGAGATCAATCAGCACTTTAGTGTTCCACTGACACGGACTGAGCTGTTTCAGGTGAAGAGTTACACATTCATTTATATATATATACACTTATACAACAGAGATAAAGCTGCACTGACGTTTTTAATCTCTGTGTGTTTGACCCTCAGGTTTGGCGTTTGTTTTTCTGCTTTTTCCCCCCAAAACAAAGTCTCATGTTTCGTCTCTTCAGGTGGATCGATCTGGTTTCTGTCTGCAGGATTTTCAGCCTCCTGTGATCCTCAGCTTCTGTTACATATCAATCTGATTTCAGCCACTTTACTCTGCTCTCTGTGTTGGTATAAAAACACACAGGAAGTCTGCAGGGTTTTAGCTCTGACAGACACGTTTGATTTGGTTATTTTTGAACAGCGCTCATGCACCTCAACAATACTGACGACAGATCCAGAGCGAAGATAAACACGACACGTGTCTGTATAATTTTCAACAATCAGAAAAGAAACAGTCTCTCTGTGTAACAAAACCTGCACTAATAAAGGTTTAGTTAAAAAAGGTTAAAAACGTCTCATTTCATATTAAATAAATACAGTTTAAACAAACAAAATACTTTAATTTGCTTGGATGAATGAAACTCTGATACTGTGGCTCTTACTCTTTTCTGAGTTTATTTCATTTCAACAGTTTTAAGCAGTTTTTGCAGACTACCTAATGACCATCACAACAAAAATTAATGTAGAAGTTTAAAGAATGGTTAATAAACCTCTGCTTAAGGCCCACAGCCAGTGAGGGCCCCCAAGAGCAGTCGAAGGAAAATAGTATTTATGATTTTTTGCATGTATGAGTGATTCTTCCTGCATGATCAAGTATATATTATTGTAAAGATAAAATAAAGTAAAAACATTTTAGTGCTGCTGCTGATGTAGGTCTATGATTCTTACTGCCGACATGTCAAAGCTCCTCTACCATTATGTTCCTCCAGCTGTGAAATGGTCATTGAGCATCCTGAATGTGTTACATTTTGAGATTAAAATCCACATGTGGCCCCCTGAACATCATTCATCAGTCATTCGTTTGTATTTTTCGTAAGGTTGCATTGGTATTTTTTATGTTATTACCTAGGCCACCCCCTTAATGTGTAAAGACATGTCAGGCGCATTAAATTTATACTGTAGTAGGTGTGTGAGTGATCAACAATCAATATTATTGGCAGGAATAGAGGGCCCCAAAATCAAATTTTGCTAAGAGCCCCATTGGGGCTTTGTGACTGAAAAGTCAATGAAGGAAGTTATCTTAAAAATATAAAATACGAAAACAGATAAAGTGTTTTTTGTAGGAATAACAAGAAGTAGTCTTGTTAAAATGCACTGAATCTATTCATTTTATATTTTCTATATAAAGTCACAGGATTTCTACTGAAAATTTCGACTTTTTTCTACAATTTCAACTTGACGTTTATTATCTTTTTAATGTATATTGTATTGAAAAAACTTTTGCCTTTGATTATTATTATTATGTTAATTTTACTGATTATTTTTATGATTATTTTTATAATATCATTATTATTATTTTATCATTATAATGATTTATTTTATTTTTATTATTTATTTTTATAATTATTATTGTTGTTATCGTGTTGAATATTCTTCTTCTTGTATATTTGTCAAACCCGCCGTGTTTGCCTGATCATTGCAGGAGCTGATGGCTTTTCAGCGGATCACTTATGTTACACTGACACCCGGTGGCGAGAGGCGGAACTGCAAACTCTCAGATAAACATTCATTCACAAACCCATTTAGATGATAAGGAACATGAAAAACTTAAGAGAGAATGGGTAGGACAAATTTATTATTCCTCATTTTCTACAAATAAGAGAGGGGTGGCCATCCTAATAAATAAAAATACCCCATTTACTCTACAAAAATGTATTAAAGACTGTCAAGGCCGATATGTGATTATTACAGGATTCTTGTATGGGGAACATATAATGATTGGTTGTGTATATGCTCCGAATGTGTACCAAGAGGAATTTTACTCTAAACTGCTAGCTGATGCTTCAGCAATGTCTGCAACATTCAGTATACTTGCAGGAGACTTTAACTGTGTTTTGAACCCTGAGGTAGACCAAAGCCCCATGACAAAAGCCACGTCTAAAATGAGGGAGGCCACTAAAGAGCTATGTGTTGACGTACAGCTTTTTGATGCCTGGAGAACTATCCACCCGAGGGAGAGAGATTATACTTTTTTTTCACACCCACACCAAAGTTTTTCCCGTATAGATTTCTTCTTTGTCTCAAGGATGGTGTTAGATAGGGTGGAGGAATGTACTATAGGTACCCGGCTACTATCTGACCATGCAGATGTATCCATCACAATTACCCCCCTCCCCCCAGCCCACACCATGCTACTGGCGACTGAATCCCTCTCTTTTTAATAATCCCTCGTTTATGACTTTTATGGAAGAACAAATTGATATTTTTCTTTCAACTAATGATAACGAGGATACTAATCCATCAATACTTTGGGATACACTCAAAGCTTACTTGAGGGGAGCCATAATTTCATATAGCACAGCCAGAAAAAAGGAAGCTTTGAGAGAGCAGCTGGGTTTGGAGAGACAACTGACTGATCTTGATAGACAATTAAAGGATAATTATTCTACAGCCCTGTTCAAAAAAGCAGAAGCCACACGATCTGCTCTCAACCAACTTCTTACACAAAAGGCAGAAGCAAGTATCTTTTATGCAAAACATAGATTGTTTGAAATGGGTGACAAACCAGGGCGACTTCTTGCACGCTTGGCAGCTGGTAGGCGAGATGTTAGAGCTATCTCCTCCTTAAAGGACGAAACTGGGAAAAATCATTATGAGACCAAAACAATGGTGGAGATAATGAAGGACTTTTATGAAAAACTCTATACCTCAGAATCCAATACATCACCCAACTGTATACAGAGTTTTCTAGATAAGCTTAGTCTCCCCTCCTTATCAGAAGAAGATAAATCCGCTCTTGGAAAACCAATAACTAAGGAAGAGATTAAAAATGCAATCAATTCCCTGCAGAATGGAAAGGCCCCGGGGCCAGATGGCTATGGTCCAGAGTTTTATAAAAAATTAGTAAACTTAATAGATGGACCTCTGCTAAGGATGTTCCTTCACTCAATAGAGAAGGGCTCCCTACCATGCTCGTTGTATGCTGCCAATATATCTTTAATCCTTAAAAAGGGAAAACCCCCTGACGAGTGCGGCTCATACCGGCCTATTAGCCTGATGAATGTGGACAGTAAAATATTTTCTAAAATATTAGCGAAGAGACTCGAGAACTACTTGCCACTTCTAATTGGATCTGACCAGACGGGCTTTATTAAAGGCAGGAACTCTTATACCAATATGAGAAAATTACTTAACATTATGCAGTATGCAAATACTAATCAGGTACCGGGTCTTGTTATCTCACTTGACGCCGAAAAGGCATTTGATCGCGTGGAATGGCCCTATTTATTCACGATCATGGAAAAATTTGGACTTGGAGAGGGGTTTATTAAACTTACTAAGTTGATATATTTCTCACCCAGAGCGAGTGTTCTTGTAAACGGTATTAAATCATCGGAGTTTGGGTTGGGGAGGTCCACTCGACAGGGGGACCCTCTGTCCCCACTTATTTTTGCATTGGCCATTGAACCAATGGCAGAGGCTATTAGAAGACATAACAGCATAATGGGTTTCAAAATTAATTCCTCAACACATAAGATTGCATTATATGCGGATGATGTTCTTCTTTTTCTCACTAACCCCGAGGTGTCTATACCAGCTTTAATGTCAGTCATCCAGACCTTTGGATCCTTCTCTGGATACAAGATTAATTTTAATAAATCAATGGCCATGCCAATTGGATATGGTAATAATATACCAAACATACCAAACTTTCCATTCTCTTGGTCTACTTCAGGGCTCTCATACTTGGGTATTTTTGTGTCTCAGAGTATTAAGAATTTATTTAGAAAAAATTTTGACACTGTACATAAAGATATCAAGAGTGATCTTAATAGGTGGATGGATCTGCCAATCTCTTGGATGGGCAGAATTAATTTGTTAAAAATGAATGCTTTGCCTCGGCTGCTCTATCCCATGCAGATGTTGCCTTTGTTTATTTCTAAAAAGTTAGCAAGAGAGGTTGAAAAGGATTTCTCAAAGTTCATTTGGCAAAATAAAAAACCCAGGTTAAGTATGAGGACCCTACAGCTCCCGAGAGGCAGTGGAGGTCTAGCATTCCCTAACATCAGACTTTATAATTGGGCTTGTCATAGTAGATTCATATGTGAATGGGTTCACTGCTACTTAAAGGGGACAGAGGACCCACTTGAATCCTGGGCATGTGTCCCATTTAGACTATTAGGGGAACTCACTTGCAAAAAATCTGCTCTTCCCCAAGTAAGGAACAACCCATTACTTCATAGCTCTATTAAAATATGGCATGACATGCAAAGGTTTGTGGGTAGGAGGGGTGCCTTTTCCTACTTGACCCCACTCATGGGCAACAGGGACTTCCTACCTGGTGTTGAAAATGCTGTGTTCGGCTCTTGGCGGGAAAAGGGCGTGAGAGTGGTTGGAGATTTGTTTGATGATAACAATGTCCTCATGTCCTTTTCACAAGCACAAAATAGATTTGGTCTTCCACAAAAAGATTTTTTTGCATATCTTCAAGCCCGTCACTTCATCAATACGAATCTTAAAGTATCTCAAACAGAAACACTGAAGGGACCAATTGACAAGTTCATAATTAATTTTACAGTGAAGAAAGGTCTTATCACATACTTTTATAATAGCCTTCAGAGTTGTAACCAACATAGTGTTGAGGGGCTGGTTAAGCGATGGGAGGAGGACCTTCAAAGGGTATATGATGAAGATGCGTGGGAGGGATGTATTCGGACCACTCACTCGTTGTTCCTCAACAGTAAATTTAAAGAAATGCAATATAGGATACTCCACAGACAACACAGAACACCTCATGTTATGAACAAAATTGACCCCAATAGATCACCATTGTGCCTGAAATGTAAAACGTCAAGTGGGACTTATATGCACTGCTTTTGGAACTGTTCGAAAATCTCGATTTTCTGGTCTTGTGTATCTAAGGAAGTGTCAGCAATATTCAAACACAGGATATGTAAAGATCCAGGCCAGTTTCTATTAGGTCTGCCTTCAGTGAATAGAGTTATGGATGCAAAAAGATCGAAATTACTCAATAAACTTTTACTTCTGGCCAGAAAATGCATATTATTTAATTGGATAAGTGAGAAACCCCCCACTGTAACCCAGTGGTACAAAGAAATTTTCAGAGTCCTTCCTATGGAAAGACTAAGTGCCAAATTGAAAGGAAATAATGACATTTTTATGGACATATGGCGGCCTCTAATGGATTATCTGCCTAAGGATCTAAGTGAAATTATCGAGAGGGGAAACACTGGCCTAGAAGGTTACAGAATGAGGTGAATGGTGGTAAGAAATCTCTCATATCAGGTGCAGGGACATGTATGTGTATATATGTATTTATCTATTTATTTTTCCCTTTTCTTTCTTTCTTTTTTTTTAATTTTTTTTTATTTTTTTATTTTTATTTTTTTTTTTTTACTGAGTTCTTCTTATTCATCTGTTTCCACTTGCTCAGACCTTACTGATGTATGCAATGCTGTATTGTTGTTATGTTCTAAAAATTGAATAAAATCTGATTATTAAAAAAAAAAAAACATTCATTCACTTAAGATCGGCACATTAGTTCTTCCACGTTATTGACTAAATTATCGGAGTAAACAAACGAAAGCGTTAGACATATTATGACTGCTAAGAAATTTTTAAATGGGATAAAGTATTGCTTTACTTTTTCCTTGTTCACCTGTTGTTCTCACTGTAACTCCACTCTAAAGTATCACAGCGGCTTCTAGGGTTAATATCTGCTCTGTAAGGAAAGGTTATCGATCTGATCAAACTGTCTTTGTTTCTTACCACGTTTCGGAAACATCCAGAGCTCGTGAGCTTGTTGTTCTCGTGCACGAACTACCATTTAAAATTTTTGTACTCTGAAGAGGAAGTGACGTCAAACCGCCTTAAACGGCTGAACTCAAAGCGTAAAAATGATGAGAAAAAAAATCGACAGAAACGAAGGAAACTTCGTTCTGATATCAAATTCCATCAACATCTGTGTCATGTGATCTGTTATATACCACTAACTTGTCCACCTGCGCACATGAGGTTCCATGGTGTAATGGTTAGCACTCTGGACTCTGAATCCAGCGATCCGAGTTCAAATCTCGGTGGAACCTGAGTTTTGCTTTTCTCAAAGATGATCTAAATAGTTCACAGCTTTGATAGATGAGTAAAAAGAAACTCAAAACGCGAAAGGAAGTCACAACTTTTTTAAAAATTTGGTTTTTAACTTGATCAAACATGTCAAGCAGGAAAAGTGTCATTAATAAACACTGTCAGGAGATCCAACTCCCAGCAAATTAAACCATGATCTATTATCCTTGTGTTAACTTTATATCCACATGTTCATAGTCTTTTCATAGTCTAATCATACTATCAGGAACAGGTTGCATCAAATTGGACAAACAGAGGTGGAAAGTCCAATAAGTTTTAATGTTCTTGGATGAACTGACCTGAAGTTACTTGAGGTGTGTCCCCTGAATGATCTCCTGTGTCTCTTTCTTTAGGTGTTATGTGTTAGCAGGTGGTGATGTAATAAAGTTCAGAAATGAGCTAAGACCATGCTGTCCTACATCCATTAAGAGCCAAGTGTTTGGGACATCTGCAGCTCAACTTTCTCTGCCAGCACACAGAGAAATGAAGTGACTGGACTCAGCTGAACCGAGTCGGTCACTGAGCTGTCAACAAAAAAAAAAACTTATTTTGTGGATCATTACTGGAGGAAATTAGCTTAGCATTAGCACAAAGGCTGCAAACACAGAAAAGCCATAAAAGTGCGAGCATGAGCAGTGTTTTTATTGTAACCACCATTGTGATGCTGATTGTTTATAGCTGGAAATAAAATAAAAAAAAAAACACCATGCAGTGAAAACAGGAGGAGATGCTGTGAATTTTAATGAATGTTAACTTGTTCTGAGCAATAAAATGTTATTTGAGAGGAGCTGCTGGTTGAAAGAGGTGAAAACAACGCCATGTGAGAGGAGATATTCAAGATAATGTCATTCAAGGAAAGATCTCTGCAAGAGAAGCTGAGAGAATAATGTGATCTGAGTTGACGTCCTTGCAGAGGAAACTTGAAAAACTGAAAATAGCTCCATGTTGGGTGAGATTTTTACAGGACAAACTTAATAAATGTTATTTTGGGAAGATTTTTGTAGGAGGAGCTTCATATGAAATGAGATCTTGGCAGGAGAAGCTTAAAAATGTCATTTAAGGTGAAATCTTTCTGATGAAACTGAAGATAATGTCATTTAATAGGAGGTCTTTGCAGAGGAAGCTTGTGATACTGAGAACTTTGCAAAAGAAGTGCAAGTATATCCATAAGAGAGGAGATCTTCACCAGAGTAGCTTAAGATAAAGTATATGGGAGAAGATGTTCGCAGCAGGAGAAGCTTAAAATGTCATTTGAGAAAGATCATTGCAGGAGTAACTGAGAGTTAAAGAGTTTAAACCAAATCAGCTGGACATCAAAATTAAGTTTGGATTCAGGTATGACAGAGTTTGAACTCTTCTTAGGAGGAATTATTAGACAAGACTAAACGAGGGAAAATGCTACAGTTATTTAAAATAAAGATAAATGACAATAATTCAGTTTACTGGTGCGATATACGCTGATGCACCTTCTGGGGAATGTGCATATCTTGTGTTACACCATAGCTCCCAGTAAAGGCTCATTTATGCTCAACGTTACAAACTAATCTTGGTACGGATGGCGCTCTCCGTCCGTGCTTCGCGTTCTTTTCGTCCGTATTTCTGCACGTATCCTTGAAGTTTACAGATACGGGCCAGACGAAGCAGTACCACCAGAAACGGTGGGGGCAGTGTTGCTGCTGTCACTACCTGAGACGCATCTGTAGAGAGAAAGACAATGGCGGGGCTTTTTGAGGATCGTTGTTAGTTTTTCTCATCAGTACTGTGGCTACCCGATCCGTCCCAGAAACACGATAGATAGATAGATAGATAGATAGATAGATAGATAGATGGATAGATAGATAGATAGATAGATAGATAGATAGATAGATAGATAGATAGATAGATAGATAGATAGATAGATAGATAGATAGATAGATAGATAGATAGATAGATAGATAGATAGATAGATAGATAGATAGATAGATAGATGGATAGATAGATAGATAGATAGATAGATAGATAGATAGATAGATAGATAGACCTTGGTGCCCCATGTGCGGCCACACACCTCCAGAGCATCCCCCCTCGATACTTTGAAGAGTCAGAGATCTAGGATTTTGACCAGGTGGTGGCGCTCTCGGTGGCCCAAAAGGTCTCACTATCCTGGGCAGGAGGTGTAGCGAATAATGTAGATTTTTCCGATGCAAAATCTACATTATCACTCGCTCCTCCACAGTCGCCATGTTTCTTTTTGTTTGTTGTTGTCAGAAACTTTTGACTCCGGCCTGCCCCCTGGTGGATGTAATGGTTAAGATCCATGCAAATGTAAAGGACACATGGAAGTATGTGGGTGTTTGAAACAGACACGTTCATTTTCACATGTATGGTGAGCATAAATGAGCCTTGAGAAGAATACACCAGCACTACAATCTGACCCTGTCATTGACACGAACACTTTCAGGAGATGTAATTTGATCCTGTTTTCTTCAGTTAAAGCCAGTTGTGTGGCTGCAATCTCATACAGTCTACTGGAAAATGATCAAAAATAAGTCCAGAATATTGACCAGAGAGTGTTTGAAAAATCTCCCCGTCAAAAATAACAGCTGGAGGTAAATACAAGCTCTTTGGGACAAGAACTAGTCGAAACTTAAAAGCCCTGAGTTCTTGGTACATCAAACTGGCGTCTTGCAAAACCTTCAAATGTCATCTTTGTGTTTCCATCCAGAGAGTAAGTGTTGATGCAGCTTTTCTTCTTGGCTGAAGTAGAAACAGGTCAACTGAGGAGAAAGGAGGGAAAGTGTGTGTTTGAAGAATAATAAATCAAAGTACTCTGTGGGGATTTGTGTGTGCTTCTAGTTAAGTGAGAGTTAAACTCAGTGACTCGCTGATGTAGCCAGCTGGTATCCCGCAGAGCTTTACACAATGTGAGTTATTTCCATCACTTGGCTCAAAGCGACGGCAGGGAGGGGGTCCGGGCTTCTACACAGACCACATATGTTAACCGAGGGGGGGCATTTGGACTCTTCTCTCCTCGGTCTCAATGGAAACAAGCCGGATTTCCTCAGCTGCTGCTCTCCAGAATAAACGACCACATTCAAGGCGGCTACGCTGGAGATAACCGTCCACACTCCCGCCCACTTAGCGCTGGATTTGTCCTTTGTGTGCCGGTTTAGTGGCTGCTTGGACCATGACAGAGCAAACATGGACCTTTAAGAGTTCGCAGTAGACTGCCAACAGCTCCACTAACCTGACTGCCGCTGGACCAGATCCACTGAGGACCATGCGAGGACACACACCTGGTTTTGTCAAGAAAGAGTTTACCAAGAAACCAGAAAGACAGGAGAGGATTCATCTCCTAATAAGGCCTGTGTGTATCACACACTAATATTTCTTTTTCCACTGTGCAATAGAGCTCCATTGTTGTCCAAAAGTATTAAAAACACATCAGCGAGACACACTGTTTCACTTAGTAACATGTTCCCTTTATAACCACCAACACACACTCTGTAATTCTCTTAAATACTCACCCAAGTATTTCTGCAAATTCCCAGTTTGGGATCGGTGAAGTACATTTAAATTACTGAAGCTTTTAAACATGAAAACTGATACCAGTGGATGTGGTTTACAAGTTACACAACAGCAGCATCTGCAGGAGTCTGAGTTGACTTTTTTAAAATATCTAAATCCACAGAGTCCACATTTTTGAGATGACCTCCAAGAGTGGGATTTTAGAGTTTTTCAATTAAAATGAAAAAGACTTTGTGGACAAAATATCTTTAAAATGTTCAAAGAATCTGGAGAAAAAGAAGGAAAAGAGGGACGAGGATGTTCTTCATGCCTCAGTTGGATCTGCATATAAAAAAATAGACATGACTCTGTAGTTGGAGTCACCGCATGGGCTTAATAACACTTGTCTGGTAAGATCTGATGAATCAAAATCTGATGTTCTTTGTTGAAAGGAAAACTGGACTTATTTAAGACGTATAGCCCAACTCCCGATCTCCACCTTCATCCTGATCATCTCCTAAAAGGTCGTATCCTCCGATCGTAGCTGATCGTAACCATTCAAGTTAACGTGTCAATTTACACCGACTTCTTTCCGTTCCTCTGCGGATCGTCGGACTCCTCAGCTGATCACAAGAGTTCGATTTTTTCTGGACGCCGGAGCATGGCGGATAAATTCAGCACAGATTAACCCGTGCTGGAAAGGAAGTCGGGCACAGACACAAAATAAAACATCCGGCTTCTTTTCAAAATAAAACACTCCGTGTTTCAGGAGGATCGTATTTCACACCATGCAAACGGGCGGAGACGAACAAGTGAAAGGATGGCGAAAATCACCGCTGTTCCGGATGTGGTGAAAATTGGGGGCAAGGTGAAACGTCTCAAGTAGGTCCAGTTGCCCTTTTAATGTAGATCTGGAAATCATAGATGCTGCATCCTCAGTTTTAAAGAGTAGAGGGACCACTCCACTTGTTCCAAATCCACTCTGCTCTCCTAGCAGTTTGATTTTTGGGATTGCCAACCTTCCTCCCTGTTCAGCCAAAAAACAAATTATTCACCTTCTTAAAAAATGAACTTTGTATTTTGTAAACGTGTAAAAGTTTGTAAGTCACATTAACAGCAGCGTGATGTGAATCTGACTCCGTCTGCGGTCTCCATCAGTCTGATATTTCTCCATCTTCTTGCATAAGAACAGATCTTGGTCTGCCTGTTTTTTTTGATGAGGTGTTGAGAAGTGTCATGAGGCCTGTGGATGGAAATGAAACACACAAAGGGTCAAAGGTCACCGGCATGTGGTCTATTTCTCAATAGCAGCCTCCCGTCTCTTCCATGTTTCTTTGTGTTGGATGGTGATCGATCGGAAAATCACAATTCTTCCTGGAAATCAGGTCTCCGGAGAGAGGAGCAGGATGAAATACAGAAACACTTGGACTTCACGGAGAGGGGGAAGATCACTGCAGCTCTGTGGTGAAGAAACCAAGATCGTTTCTTTCAATAAACCACCTGCTGCTCTGACAATAGTCAGGCATAAACTTCTCCTCAGCAATAAAATGAGACATGTGTTGTGGTTTCTTCCCTGGGGCTCTGTTTTTATTCCCGTCATTAGATACTCCACAGTAAGAGGAAGATGGGAAATCAGATGAGATAAATTACATCAACTCATCTCTGTTTTGATTTCCCCGGAGATCGATATTTCAGCACACTCTTCGAGTCGGTTAAAACCAGAGGTATAAAGAGAGAAGGGTCCCAGGACAGAGCTGAATCACAAACTCCTCATTGGAGGAGATTAATCATTACGAGACAGATTTCTGGAAGAAGGAGAGTCATGATGCTCCAACGGTTTTCAAGTCAGGACCGCATCAGTCCAGAACTCTCCTCCTACAGAGCCGTGCTGTTGTCAGAATGTGGTTTAGGATCATCTGAAGGTCTTCCCTGAAAAAGTCTTTGTCTGGATGGACGCAGATGTTGATCCTAAACCTGTAGATGTTGTTCAGCATTAATGGTCCCATATTATACAAAAATTCCCTTTAGAATTGTTTTCTAACAATAATATGTATCCCCCCCAGCCTGTCAAAAAAACCCCAAGAATGAGAAATTTCTATCCTCTTCCTCTTTTGCTTGTTCCACCTTTCAGAAAATGTCGCTAAAACGGGTTGATTGAAACTCTCGCCCTCCATGACGTCACAGACAGCGATAACTCCTCCTCTCCAGGTTGGTGACCCCGCCCAAGATGTTTGTTCTGCCCCCCGAAAATTTCCACCAGACGCTATTTTTGTGAAGTTATTTTATTTTCAAAGGAAATGTTTCCACAAAAACTCCTAAAACGTTGTACCACTTCACTTCAGATTGTTTTCTCAACTAGAGCAAGTACAGAGCAGGATTCGCTAAGAATCTGAAGCTAAATTTTGGATCTGTACCCACTGTCCGCAACCCAACTAACAAGGGAGCTGTAAGTTTTACTGTTTTATGCACAACTTTACTTACAATATTACGTTTTCACCGAAAGAGCTCAAAGTAACGAAGACAGCGGAGATGTAACTGTTAGCAGGAGCTAATGTTACCTAGCTACATGTAAGTCACTCTGAACCAAAACAAAGTGAAAAAAAATATGGAGACACATCATATTTGTAACTAACCAATCAAAAAACGTCCTGCTGCAGAGACAGAGCTGGAATTTCTTCAGGAGCCTCTCCTTCTGGGTCAGACTCAGCTAGCTCCAGCATTAGCACTCTGTGTAAACATTAGTGTATGGTACCTAGTGCAAGCCACGCCCACCTCTTCCAGAGAGCCAGGGAGAGGCGTGGCTTGAGTTCACCAGAGAGCGTTTTCAGGCTGAAGTCCAGGAAAAAAAACGGGGTGTTTAGAAAACAAACTAAAAAACCGTTTGTTCTGGGACCTCTGAGACCGACGTGAAGCTGCTGAAAAGGAGGATAATATGGGATCTTTAAAGAAGAGATGATGCAAATTCTGAAAAAAGTCAACTTTATTTCTATTAAAGAATGAACCAAGAACATTTTACATCACATTTTTACCTTTTTTTAATGTTTTTTTTTCTTTAAATACAAAATTCACAGTTGAAGTGCTGATAAAAGATACAAGACGCCATAAATAGTTTGATTCAAAAACAAAATGTGGGCAGAGAAAGAAGAACAAAATAATAATAATAATAATAATAATTATAATAATAATAATAACAATAATGTTGGAGGATCTGATGAGAGACAGACAGTTTCCACAGAGCACAACACACTCAATGAACACAGAAGTGCAAATATATATTTACATAATTTTACAGATATCAAAAATATTCCCTCTGAACACTCGAATCTGCACCGCATTAAAGACCTGTTCCTTTAGGAATAATAAAGGGGACGTTATCGGATTCATCACAGCCAGAAAATACAACTGCTACATGATTGGATTACCTTCTGATCACGATCAATAAAAACTGAGGGGCGGAGCAACGTTCAAAGATCCTAAATGTGAAGATAGAGTTTAGGGTCTGAGATGGAGATTAAGATTTTATTTTACTCTTAGAGGAAAATGTTGAGATATTGAACAGGATGTTAACATTTTAAGATAGAAGTCAAAATATAAAAAAAAGTCTAAATTTCATTATAAAGTTGAGTTTTAAGTTTTAATATTAAATATGCGATCTTACACAAAAATGAAGTCCGACGACATTTCTTCATTTGACTTTTTTTCCTGTAATTTATTTTATTCTTGACATTTTCACGTCTTTCTTTTATCACAAAATTGTTTCTCAACTTTATTCTGGAAAACCCTCCTCCCCTTTTCTCATTTCTAAAACCTTTTCATTAATAAACCATATTTCTAATTTTTTAAAATTAATTCCACACTGTTTTTTACCTTCAAAATAAAAGCACAGTGTAAAAAGTTTCAGTCACAAAAATATGGATGTATTTACCCTTTTTTTTAATGTCAGACGAGAGACAAAAATTTCTATCTGTACACAACTGACTGTTTTATTTGTGTTTTTTTTTTTGTTTTTAAGAAAAGAAAAATAATATTTGCAACTATTCCGTTCTTTTGTGCTTTTATACAACATGTTTGATATGTAAAAACAAGTTTAGGTCTCTATTTTGGTTTTGTGGGAAACCCTTACTTTTGATTGTGTGCTTTTGTTTTGAAAAGATTTCATGTCAGAGTTCCTGTTGCGTAGATGCAGATGATACAGGAGTCTGTAAAATTTAGAAAGACAGAAATAGGATTGTTGGTGGAGGCGTCGCTGCAGCAGCTTGTTTTATGGAGCGCTTCTGTTGTAACAGAGTGAAGTTGAAGTTTCTGACTTTGTAGGAATATTATTCACCCTCGTACTTTTATCGTCTTTTAGAGTTTTAGTTTTGGAAAATTCCTTTGAACTCTCCCTGATCCTGATTTTTGGATCTGAGGGCGTATCAGGTCGAACTTCAGACACGACTTCAGGTAGAATGAAAACCACAGACTGTATAAAACATGGTTAAAGGGATATTCTGTGTAAAATTAATTTAGGGTCTAACACACCGTAAAACAGAGTTAGACCCCCCCTCCAGAGATGAATGTTGTCGACCGCTTCCTTCTCTAGTTATACCAACTTTAGTAACGACCGCAGGATAGTAATACAGAGAGCCACGCCCTCAACCAAAACGCCACTCTATAGCCACAAATAATGCTCAGAACAGCACCTAACTTCATCAACAGGACATATAGGGTCACAGCCATAGTACTAGACACCAAACATCTTTTTAACTTTGACTCATTTCTTTAGCAAAGAGACTAAACACAACTCACCTACTCTCTTCCAGCAGACGCTTGTTTGTAGCGAGGCCTCAGGTCAGTCCATTACAGACTACAGCGGGGTGCTGCAGCTCAAGGAAGAACGTTTATGATCACTACTTTATCATTTCCTTTAAGTAATAAACATCACATTAATCTTTTCACTCTGCAGACGCGGTAGTTCTTCTGTGTTAGCGTCTCGGTCTGATTGAATTTCCATGATCACGGTATGTTTGACCCTAAATTAATTTTACGCTGGAATATCCCTTTAAGTTTCATCCACTGGTTTCTCAGGAAAAGTTATCAAGTCCACAGATGTTGATTTAATTTAAGTATAAGTGAAAACTGTGAGACAGGACCTGTTCGATTTCTCACTTTTGTTCATGAATCCTCATAAAAAGACGGTGAATATTTACTTGGACTGTATTTTTATGTGTAACTCTTTAAAAGAAGCTGCTGCAGAAGTGTTGCTGTGATGAAGGCACATAAAGTCAGAGTGACTCTGGGTGTATTTACAGTACAGCTCGTCTCTCAGATCGACCCGTGGCTGCACCGCTACTTCCACCGGACCCCGCCCTTCCCCTGAACTCCTGGCGTGTCCTCACTGTCCATTCAGGGGGGGCGTCACGAGTCCAGGGCAGGAACAAACAGAAAGATTTGGTGCATCACTATGATCCCTTCAACAGTTAAAACAGGAAACAGCTCTATGAGTGCGTTACAGAAGTGGTCCTCTATGGCTGCAGGAAGTGTCTACAGTCTTGCGGCTATTTTAGCTTCTCCTCGTCGTTGTTGTTGTTGTGGAGGCTGAGGTTCAGGTTGTAGCCCGACTGCTTCCTCAGAGCGCGCGGCATCACCGTCTTCTTCACGAACAGGCTCTGGAGGAAGCGGTTGCTGATACTGGGGGGGCAGTACCTGTAAATGAAGTACATGAGGCCCACGCCGGGCCCAACGAAGTATTTCGCCTGCGGCTGCGGCGACAGCAGCGACTGGACGATGGTGTCCACGACGGGACTGAGGTCGGGGTTGGACTGGCGAGCGTGGCTCTGGAAAAGCTCCTTGGTCTCGGCCACGTAGTCCTCGCCGTACTCCTCGAGCAGCGCCGGAGAGAGACTCTGAAGGAGCTGTTTGTGCTGCTGCTCCCAGTAGGCGTGGTTACTGGACTGACCTGCAGAGACAAGAGAGCGCCGGGTTAGCGGGTTATACCTTCAAAATAAAAGCAGGTTAGGAGCAACTGGACTCTGTAGTTGGAGTCACCGCATGGCCTCAACATCAACTGTCCGGTAAGGTCTGATGAATTAAAATATGTCATTCTTTTGGAAAGGACAACTGGACTTACTTGAGACGTTTCGCCTAAACGTCTCAAGTAAGTCCAGTTGTCCTTTCAACAAAGAACTAGAAATCCTAGATGCTGCGTCGACAGTTTTATACAATATCTCCAGGTTTAGGAGAAACATCTGCGTCCATCCAGACAAAGACTTTTTCAGAGAAGACCTTCATATTTCAGATTTTATATTGAGTCCTGCTGAGAACCTGATCTGTCTGTTGAGCGTCTGAAACCTGAAATCAGATGCTCTCTCTGACTCGTGGAAATCCTTCGTCTAGATTAAATATCAGTATCAGAGTCAGGAAACAGATCAGTCTTTTATTTCAACTTGGACTCTGATACGACCACTAAAACAATCCGATTTAGGACGTGTTTTAGTGAGGGAGAGTTAAAAGTTCAATGATGCACTTTCTAAATGGATTTTACGACAGACATGTGAGCACTGAGGGAAATTTGGAGGGTATAAAAGCGCGTTTAACCCTCTCCTGATAAAGTCGACATTATTCTTATCTCAGATGTATCCCTGAGTTGTAAGAAACATGAAAGTATCAGTTTCTTTGTGTTTTGGCAAAAGCTGGAGCTTGTTATCGAAGCCAGTTCTTGTTCTTGGCAGGTTTGAAATATTTCTAATCCGAGGGCCAAGCAGTGGCTGGACTTGATTACGTCCAGGTGGTTTTCCTTTTTATGATGATGAGAAAACAGTGAACCACGATGAAGGTCAGCGTCGAGCTGAGCCATCTGTAACAGAACAAGCTAAAGTTTTTTAACGGGAGTGACACCGAGCATGCATTTAATTCTTGGACATGTTTAAGTTGTAGTAAGCAAAATCAGCTGTGGAGTACAGCTGGACGAATAAACGCTAAATTCAGAGAAGAGCCTCTTCAGAGTGAGTGCTCAGCTCTTAGTTTTTCTTTTTTATTACATCTGTTTGGCTCATCAAAGCTGTGAAGAGAAAAATGAGCTGAAATGACAAAACAGCAGAACAATTTCTACGTTTTTGTTGTTAAAATTGAGACGCAAAAACATCAAAATCCAGTTTTATGTGGTAAACTCCACCCCGTCTGCAGAAAACTGTAGCCTAGCTTACATGCTGGTATGATAACGTATACACTCCAATTAAAAAATACTGAAATATGCCTTTAAGATAAAAGTTCTGCTCATTTAAAATTACACATCTTAATATATTTCACAGTTTTCGTACATTCTCCGGGTTATTTAGTGTAAATCTTTCATACTTTATACCATTTAGCAGTAAATACTACATTTCCCATGATGCACAAGGGCAGTGTTTAATAAAAGCACCTCCTGCTCGGTAAACAAACCCGACTTTAAGATCCTGTAACTCAGATTTTCAGTATTTAAAGCTGCAAAATGAAGTAAATTTCAGAGTGCTGAAAAGTGCAGTTCCACAAATGTCCACTTGAGGCTGATTCCAAAAGTGAGTCAGCCCTTAATCGGCCCCGTTTTCATCTTGATAGCAGACATACATATTTGCAGCTTGATTTAAAGGCACCTTCACCTGCGCAGACCGTTTCTCAATAATGAGATTTTTGTGTGGGTTTGTTTCGTTACGTAACTTTCCTGTTTTGTTTGTATAAAGTGTTTCCAGACTCCAGGTGTGGCTTCTGTGAGTGAAAAGTGGAAACTGCTCCTTCTCTGCCAGGTATCATCTCACCTTATTTAATCCCTGAAGTAAACCTATCGGCTCTGTTCGTGTTTCTGTTGCCTTTTCATGTTTCTTGAAGGCAGACACTGGAAAAATCCGTCTTCTACTCACAGCTTTATAAGACGTACAGGCAACACTTTAATGGAGACTAGACTAATGGACTAAGAGTAATTTACAGCTGCTAAAAACACCAAAAAACTGCATCATTAAAATATAGTGGGCCAATAAAGTTCTAAAACAAAAATGCTCATAAAGTTTCGCTGTTCTGTACAGTTTGCTCTTGTTTTAATAGTGGAGATGAGCTGTCAGCATCTCGACCCTCTGCCGCTCAGAGACGTTCTCTCAACCTCTGCTATCAAGAAATATTACTTTAGGTCACCCAGAGGTGGAAGTGACTGGACTGGACCACTGTCCTTATCACCATCGCAGAGGTAGACAAAGCGCAGGAGCGCTCCCCAGTTCCCACACACACCAGTGTAAACAAACATGGCGTTTGCAAAAGAAGGCGATAATTTCGTGGTTAAATCGGACAAGAGCGAGTCAGTGGTGTTGAATTGGTACGACTTCACAGTTTCAGATGAAGAGCAAACCACTCCCCGGTATCAACCCGTCACCACGGAAACAAACTCAGGAGTAAACGCTAAAGTTTTTTGTCGTATAAGAGACTGTAAATGGTACTTTTTAAAAAACAACGACCATTTCATCTCTGTGTGGATGTCTATCTGCATCTCTGGAAACAATCATGTGACACACAGCGTAACTCTTTTATGGCGCCAAAACAACCTTTAAACACATGCTCTGTACTCTTCTTCTGTCTTTTGTGCATTTCCTGTGCAGCGTTACAGCGCCACTTACTGGCTTGGCATATGAACTACATCGTTTTCAGTGGTTTCATTTTGAGAGATGATAGAAAAACTTTTTATCAAAGTGAAGTTTGGTGAAGTTGTTACTGAATAAAAAAATCGAAATATTGAGTTTTTAGAGAAAAAAATCTGGATTTTATTTTGGGTCGAAATTTTGCAGCCCTAATTACACGACAAAAGTGTCAGTGCTTCTATGTAAGACATGCCTATTTGCATAGAAAAGGTCCAAATTTGCCTCAGGGTAATACACAGTGGCTCATTTAAATACGTGCAAAAACGGCTGGTGCACAGAAACGCTCTCTGTTTTTGCTTTTTCGTGAATTTCATTGCGTTTTTTTTCTTGTTTACACAGATATAGAAGATGCAGAAGCTGCATTATCTCCCTGAGAATCACATCCAGGGTATTAATTAATAAAAATATTAACTTAAATGAGCAGAAAAATCACGATGGCCGTGTGACTTTACTGACCATCATTCGGCGCTGCTGCCGCTTTGACAGTTTTTTGTCTCGTCAGTGTTTGTGACTCATTATTTGACATTTGTAGCCTCTAGTTAAGAAACAACAGATGAATCAAAAACTCTTTGGCAGCCCGCCGCCTCATTACTATCCCAGTTTGCAGCATGTTGTAACATTTCTGAGGTGCGAACTCGGAGAGCGCCGTTGTGTGAGTCAGCAGGAGCGATCGCTGACTGTTTTTCGTGTGAAGGAGAGTCGGAGCAGCGAGCGGGGTGTCAACACGGAGTCTGGATAAAGTTCATCGACTCAGTCGGCCCACGGCCAAAAGGAGCTGCTCCGAAATCCTAAAGAGTAACGGCAGGATTACGAGTTTGAACACAAACCCGTTCCTGTAGGATTAAAGTGAGAACAGGAGGATAAAGTGTGCCGAGCTGCGTTCAATGACTCATCAGATGATTATCTAAATACTACTTCGCCCACTGGCCTTCAAAGCTGCTCTGTATCTCCACATGAATCACCGGTGAAGTCCCCTGAACACAACAACTGCAGCGCAGAGAGGAGCGTCGGATTCCAGGAATGAAAAAACACGAGCGAGAAGACGACCATCGGCCAACTCTGTGTGTCCTCAGCCCTCTAATCAGCCTCCGTCCTGCGAGGGTTTCAAAACCCAGAGTCAGCGATTTAGTCTTTGTACTGTGTGTGGAAACAGATCCTCCGTCCCACATGTGGTCCTCGTCAGAAAAGTGTTCTCCTCAGCGGGGGGACCTGTCATCGTGATCAGCGTGGGGCCAAACTGCGGAGCGGCGACAGGAAGGATGGAGAGTTTGGTTTGGTCCCGACCCATCAGGATCGATGACCGTCTGATCGGCTGTTTCTCACCTCCTTCCATCACCTCCTGAAACCGCTCCAGGCTCATGTTGAGACTGAATCCAGAGTTTGGATTCTCAATCATCTTCTTCTGTTTTCTTTTGGTGCAATAAAGTTTGAAAAATGGGACCTCTGTTCACACACTAAAGGGCACTTCCAACAAATAAAGATGCATTGATTAGCATTAGTCCTCTGCATTAAAAACAGACACGGCTCTGTAGTGGAAATCACCACATGTCCTCGAACACTAACATGACTGGGAAAGGAAGAGCTGATGTAGCGCTGTGGCAAAGCTCCACCCTTTCCACCCGTTCTGTCCTTCTGTGTTTCATGTTTTCGCACCATGGTACCAAGACGAATTCTTTGTGCGTGTAAAAATCACTTGGCAGTAAACTCGATTCTGATCCTGATTGCGTGTGGCACAGATATTTGGTTGGGAGACACACAGTAACAAAAACAGCCGCGATATCTCCAGGCGCTTCATGAAAAGCCTTCAATGAATCGAGACATAAATCAGGATTTTCTCCAGGGTGTGGTCAGAAGAGAGAGGTAAGGATCTACAACGTCACGCAGCCTGAAGGTTTTTATATTGACAGTTACAGGAGCCACATATTTCCTTTTATTGTATTTACTGCCAACGTAATTAAGCCTCTGGGCCTTTTACTCCTTCGCCTTTGTGAGTGCGCCTGAAGACAGTTTTCACCGTTAAGACCAGAGATTTTCTCGCTCTCATGCTTCTGCATGATGTCCTGCATCATGATGGGGTTGTGGAGGTGCGCTGTTACCTGTCTTGTACGCGGAGGGCAGGATGGTGCAGACGTGGACCCCCCAGGGCTCCAGCTCGTGTCTCAGTGTGTTGGTGAAGAGGTTGAGAGCTGCTTTAGACGCTCCGTACGCCGCCAGACAGGGAAACGGCTGATCACCTGAAAACACAGGAAGACAGACAAGATGTTACCCACAAATTCCACCGCATCCAGAAAAGGCTGTCGGCGCCGATCGCACTCATCGTTTTCATTCAAGTTTATGTGTCAATTTCCACCGGCTTCTTTCCGGCCCCCCTGCGTAACAGCGGGCTTCGCAGCCGATCGCCAGAGTTCTGTTCTTTCCTGACACCAGAGCAGGACGCGTAAATTCAGCACAGATTAACCCGTGCAGGAAAAGGAAGTCGGGCACAGACACAAAATAAAACATCCGGCTTCTTTTCAAACGGGTGGAGACGAACAAGTGAAAGGTTTTTAGACGTCATTTCACCCCGATGACACCATGGATGAGGAGATGCTGATTCTAGAAGTCTAGAAGTAGATTTCCTCCTCTGGAAGGACACAATCTACTGCTTATATGTCTATGTGTCTCGTTATCGCGCGATTGAACGTGAATCTGCGGGTTCTTGTGAGTTCTCTTGATTCCTGTTTTTGAAATCTTCCACGAAATTCGCCTTCATGAACATCCTGGATGCGGTGGAAATTGGGGGTTAGGATTTAACCGAGTGGCGGTAAACTGATCGTTAAGAACGTTCTCAAACATACAGTTACTGTTTGATTTTCCATCGAAGACTGAGATCAACTGTGTAAAAAGTAACTCCCCTGCAAGACGAGACCGCTTCACTCACTTACTGTCCGACACTTCCATCCTTTGAATCATTACGGGAGTTTCACAAACGTTGGTTCAGCTGCTCATCTTGGTAAAATTCTCTCTAATATCCGGATAATTTGTTTTGACAGTCAGATTTCAGAGCTGTGTTCTTGTTTTTCTGCAGACTGCTGCCCACAGCCGCTCACACTTTCACCGGATCTGCAGATCAGAGTATAAGCAGATTCATTCAGGCTGTCCTCAGAGGTTACTGATGATATCTGAGCCTGTCATTAAACCCGCAATTTACAGGGTCGGTTTGACGAGGATTTGGACCTCGTGCAGGAGGAGGAGGAGGAGGAGGATGAGGAGGATGCCTCTAATTATAGGTCATGGGTTCAGATCACAGGCTGTATAAATCTGTGATTTACCCCCCTGGCTCTGAGATAAAGACGGCTTTGTGAGGAGAACAGGCTGCTGTGGATACCGAAGAGTTCCTGGAATAAGCTCACCAGTACTGCCTGATTACTAGAAACGATCAACAGACATATAGGATTAAATATAATGAGATTTAACTCATTTATGTGGGAGCGCTTATGTAATACAACCAACTCCTCGTAATACCCTAAAAGAAGGGTGGGTGTGTATATTTACGTGTGTTTACTGGGAATGAGGCCGGTGTTTCCGGTGAGATTTCCGATCTGGACTTTAAAAAATCCTAAATCAGGAAACTCATCCATCCATTACTGTCTTTTCTCGTCCTTTAATATTTTAAGTGCATCTTTAACGTGAATTTGGTAAAAAGTTTGTAGATCTGTCACATCCAAACTTTGCATTTAAGGATGAAGCAGTTCAACCGAGTCCAACCTCAGAGCAGGAGACTGTTGGTCTGCTCAGACACTTTCACGCCCCAGGTAAATATTTCCCCCAGACAAAAACACTGAGCCGCTTGTGCTGATATTGATTATTGTGTCTGCTGCTGTCTGCTGACTGTGGTCGTAAAAAGCATTGACATTTATGTTTCAGAGACTTTCTCGGGGGTTACATTCAGACAGACTTTTGCAGGATAGAAGCTGAGAGTTTAAATCTTTGCTCATGTTGATTTTAAGAGTTAATCTGTACTATTATAATGTACTTAATCACATCATGTTCGACGTTTATTTAAGTGTTAATGCTGTCAAATCAATGAAACAGCATTTGCACTTTTCAGGAGTTTCACTTTGGTTCCTCTTCTTGTGTCTTTGGTTTAAGTTAATCTAAAGATCTGTGGTGATTCGCAAACTCCGGTGTTGGAGTATTGAGGCTGACAGTCTGAGTAACGGGACCTTTAGGATGGAAGCCTCAATCTGGAGCTGAAATTCAAAGTCGGTGATATTTCTATTCTGTTTGACACGTACAGCGTCTTACTCTTGGCTCATCATCTGAGCAGTCTGGGAGTTTGTGAGAGTTTAATGTGACATCCTAAAGTGCAGCGGTGTTATATTTACCATCACCGCTGCAGCAGGGAGACGTCTCAGAGTGCAAATCAAAGATTTAATGTGTTGATTTCAGACCTCAGTTGCTCTGGGATAATTCATCGCACTCTCTCTGCAATCTTAGCAGAAATCACAGGCAGACGCTGTCGTCACTAGTTCCTGTAAGAGCTGAGATCTCCCCGTATCCTCACTTTACCTTAGCGGATGTGCAGCAGAGGGATTATTCTGATTCCAGTTCAGTTTTATGAGTTTGAAGAATTAACTTTGATGGCTTTTCCAAGAAGAAAAAGATCAAACTCTGAACACAACGTTAGTGAAATCTAAGAACCTGCAGCGCTCATAAATCTGTCGTGGGGGAGGCGAAGGTTGGTGATGGATTCGGTTGGATAAACAGGCGGCAAAGACGAGCAGCGGCTCTGTTTGTTTAGTTTGGCTGTTTGGAGGCAGCAGTCAGTTCATCTGTGGTTCACTTCATCTGGAACATTCGATTCTGATTTATTACAGCTTCTCTGCGTGTGTGCGTGTGTGTGGTTGTTGGATACACACCGGCCGGGCTGGAGATGGTGATGATGCGACCTTTGGCCTGTCGCAGCAGCGGCAGAAAGCTCTTGGTGACGTTGAGCGTGCCGAAGAAGTTGACCTCCATGCAGCCACGGAAGTTTGACATCAGGGACAGCTCGGCGTCTCCGAAGTTTACACACACGCCGGCGTTGTTCACCAGGCCCCACAGACCTGCCACACACACAGACACAGACACACAACAGAGATCAGAGGTGTGTTTACACAGCGGTGGAGAGCAGAAACAAGCACTTCAATCATAACGGACGTGTTGACACGAGTTTGAACCTTCAGTGTGCCTGTTTAATGTGGCGAGCTTTCAACACTCTTTACAGCGTGTTTGACTCTAAATATTTACGTCTGTTTAAACATCCGTACACCTTTATTTATAAAACCTGAATGTCCTAAAATAAATCTGCCAGAAGTGTGTAGAAAGTCGGGTCAGAGGAGGTTTTCTCTTTCTAGTAACGCAGATCTACAAACGTCTGAAATTTTCAGAGAACAGAAGAAACAAAAGCTCACGCCTGCAGATATCAACAGTTCCTACATCGCTGCACTTGTATAGTTCAGACCGAGCACATCATGATTAAAATAACTTTACAAACGTAGATTTTATGCTCCTGTTGATGACTAAAGTGACGCTTTGATATCTAAAAGGTGACTGAACCTGGAAACAGGTGAAGAGGTGGACTTCAGCCTTTTGTAAACATGCACTGAACTTCACCTGTTTGTGCAGTGAGGCTGTAAACATGTTTGATTAAAATAGGACTGAATGGGAAGTCCTTGGCTTTGCAGCCAGCCTCTAGTGGACACTATAGGAACTGCAGTTTTTTGTACTTTCCCTCTGAAGATTACAGCTTGGTTGCAACAAAAGTTTCTACAAAACTGGAGGAAACTGGTGTTCTGTGAACCACATTTTAAAAGTTAGATCAGGGCTGGGTGATATGACCTCAAATAATCAATATCACGATATATTGATCAGTTCACCTCAATAATGATAAATGGACGATAACTACTCCACAAGCTGCTCACCCCCTCCCACATTAACTTCGTCTACTTCAGCCGCTCCAACTTTCTCTCCGTCCTCCATCTCCTCACCTGTCTTTCCCTCTTTGTTACAGACTGGATGGGGTGGAGTCACGTCTCTGACGTAGGACAGTGTCTTAAAAGGGACATGAGACCATAGCCTACCTACACACATCCAAAAACAACTTTGATTTATTTATTTTTTGACACCGAATATACCGATATGGGTGAAATGATGTTGGTTTTTGTAAATTTTGGTATCTGTAAATTTTCGGTTTATCGTCCAGCCCTAAGTTAGATATAGAATAATAGAATAGAATAGTCCTTTATTGTCATTGTAACCAGTACAACGAAATTAAAAAAGTGCCAGACAGTCAGTGCATCATTAAAAACAAATACAGTAATAAATAGCAGTTCTAAATAAATAAATAAGTTCCGAATAAATAAAGTAAATGAGTAAATAGGTATTCAGTCAATCTTAGCCTTCCTTAAGGCATTGAGGGTAGTTATTGCTGATGGAAAAAAACTGTTTTTAAGTCTGTTCGTTCTGGATCTGATTGTCCTATAGCGTCTGCCTGACGGCAAAAGTTCAAACAGGAGGTGACCAGGATGGGAGGTGTCTTTGACAATATACATAACTCGTTATGGTAATTGCTCTCTTATAGACACAAAATTTAATCTTGTATTGGTCAAGAGATCATGATAAATTAATCACATTCCCTCTTTTATTGACGATTACAAACACGAATGATCGATAAATTATTTTAACTACATTTGGTGCTGCTGTTTGATTCTGCAGAGAGCTCAGAAAAACCGTCATGGTGGTTTATTCCTTCATCAAACTTGTAATTCATGACTCTACTTTTGTTTCTGGGCTTTACAGCTGAATAATGAGGCTGTGTTCGCCTGTTTGCTCTATAATTTGAGCAGCCCACCATAAGTAAATCCGATGAATTGAAGGTATAAAGAGCCGTGTCTGAGTGCTGGGTAATGATGTCAAGGCCGTGAACATGTGATCTTTGTGTTTATGTAACTCCTCCCGCACCTCCTCTCGGCCCTACAGTCTCCTCTGTCTCTGAGAACATAAGTCTGTAATCACAGTCAATACAGGCGCCTGTACTGCACCATTAGGTCAGCTCTCCCTCTCTCTCTCTCTTGTTCTAAACAAGCCTCGCTCGCCCCTCATCCACAGCGACTGACCCAGAATCCCACGCTTTGTTTAACGAGCGGCTGAGGGAGCTTTGTTTGGGCTGAACTGTTCCAGAGCTAATGAATGATAACCAGGAAAAGAACATCCAGGCTGGCAGGCCAACAAACACCTGACCGGCCCGACAGGTGACTTCCTGTCTGCGCTTTTCTGCGGGATAGTGGGCTTTGTTTATTATCACGGGACCGAGTGTAAAACAGACCTTCAGGAACATTTTAGAAAGAAGCAGAAACATGAAACAAAGCAGCTCTATTTATCAATAAATACAAATCTGACATCTAGCTGCAAAAGTTAAAGCTCCTGTGGGGAACTTTTGCTCCGTGTTGATTCTGGCGCCCTCATGTGGACAAAGTCGCCACTGCAGATTTTGTCCTGTTCACATGTTAATTTGTTTTTTGATTTAAAAAGTCTCACTAAATTAGTCTGACACCGACCAAGCTCCTGTGTTTGATTTCATATAACAGTGATCAGCTGACCTGTAAAGGTCCAATCAGGAACCAGGCTTTACTGTGGCACATTGACAGGAATAAAACTAGGGCCTGACTGATGTGGATTTTTTTGGGCTGATGCCGATTATTAGAGGGGAAAAATCTGATTACCGATTAATCAGACGATTTTTAAATTTTTTTATTAAGTTATTAAAAATATATAGTATACTGCAGATATACTATAGATTACTGCTCTTCACACCGACAGGAAGACCGACTGATCAAACTCAGACAAGAATGGCTAACTCTAACTTTAGCTTGCATATTACACCGTTAAATGGTGGAAAATTTTCGAAGTGAAACAGAATCTTATTCTCTGCATTTTATTTCTGAAATATGGCTGATGAGTTTTGGCCGATTACCGATTAGTCTCAAACGGGCTAAAATTTGCCAATTTAATCGGCTCACCGATAAATCAGTCGGGCCTAAATAAAATAAAACCTAATAAAACCTGCACTGACCACCTTCATCCACAGGAACTGATGAAGAACTTGACTGATAAGCAGAATCAATGAATGAAAGTCCATCCCTGAACAGAACATGACCTAAAAACAACACAACATCACATATACGACACCACTTCAACACAATCCGCTCAGAGGATTCAGATGACGGCGTATAGCTGCTAAGAACACAAACTGCAGCGCTAAAGCAAACACCCGTGGACTTGGCATAGGAACTGTTGCAGGGAGGAATGTGTAGTATATTCTGGTGTGAGGATGTTGCAACAGCTTCTACTGCTATACGTCAGCGCTTCATTCACAATATGCAGATTTACATTCCTGGAGCTCAACACTCTGTTGTGAATGTAAACACCTCATTTGGACCACAGCCTGAACCAGATTATGGACTGAGATTGGAATACAGTGTGTGTGAGATTGTAATACTTCTTAATAAAGCTTTATATTTATAAACATATATATTTATGTAATATTCAACGCACACAAACACATATGAGGGTTATTTTCTTTGGTCCCATAATGTTTGAGTTTAGCCTGAAACCTGCTGTCACACACCTTTCTGCACCGAGGGTTCAGTTTCCACTAATCACAACCTGCACAAGACACACACACGCACGCACGCACACACACACACGTATGCACACACGTATACACACATAGATAAATAAACACACCCAAACATCCGAGCACGGTTCCAGCTTGAGTGCATGGGAGTGTGTTTTACGTGACCTTTCCCTCTTGTTCTTTTATTACATCCACCCGCCCACTCACTTACACACACATACACTAACACACTCTCTCACACATACACACACACACACACACACTCAGTTTGTCCTTAAATGACCCCGAGGTAAAGCCAGAGGTCTGAGCTGACTAATTACAAAGCCAGTGGGAGCTGCAGGTCTGAGCCAATCAGAGAGCAGGAAGCCTCTGTGTGTGTGTGTGTGTGTGTGTGCTCTGATGTCAGTGCGTGAAACACGAGACTACCAACACCGAATACTCTCAAATACTCCTCACATACTCCTCAAATCAAATTCATCTCGTCCCAGATGATCAGATATTTCCTCCCATGATCCTCTCCTCACTCTGCAGGGATATCACACACTCTGCAGAAACTGAGGCGGATCAGGGACTACGACTGCACGCTCTGTAAACCCCGGTAAACCCAGGAGACCAGTTTCTGCAGTTTTAGAGTGAAATGATGTCTCACTTTAACAGGATCAGGACTAAAGAAGTCCCCGGATCATGTTTATTTGTGGTTTCTGTGAACAGCCGGTCATTACCTTTGAGGCCCAGTTTGGCCTTCGTGTCCAGCAGCGCCTGTTGGACCTGCTGCGGCTGGGTGATGTCCACCTGGAGGAGGGTGAGGCGGGGCGAGCAGGTCCTCTGCAGCTCTCTGGCTCCGTCTCCTGACAGGTCCAACACCGTGGCGAACACCTCGAAGCCGAGAGCGTCCAGACGCTTCGCCGTCACGTTTCCAAACCCGCTGTCACAACCTGCAGACACACACAGAGTTTTAATAAAGTTTAAAAAGACAAAAACACTTTTTTTGTTTTTGGAACAGTTTCACCAAACCTTCAACATCTCTGGTAATTTCTGACTCGTATTTACGGGAAGTAATCGGGGGATTTTTGGAAGTAAAAAAACTTTATCAGATGTTGCTCCAGAAAAAAACGAACAGGAGAGGAGGAGGAGGAGGAGGAGGAGGCAGAGTGTTTTCACAGAGATGCAGATGTGTGACCACAACACACAACAATTTCTGTTCTCACACAAGCTGTCAGAGCAACTACTGTGAACATCAGAGAAGAAGAAACAGAGACCCAAAGTGAGTGATTCAGACACCAAAACCAAGTTTGTTGATTCTTCTACAGCAGAGCAGGACGTGTGCTCGTCCAGTTTGAAGTCCACCTGATCAGGAGACTGTAGGTCAGTCACTTTCAGAAAGACGCGTCAAGGCTGACGAACACATCTCGTACTCTCTCTGACGATAAAGTCGTATCTAATCAGATTCTGATACAGGGCGATTCGTCCAAGTGTTACGGTAATACATGCAAACTGGGTTATTGCACTATGCTGCAGAACTACATGTGAATCGATGCATTTTACACCGAGAGAAATAAAGATTATTTTAGTGATGATAATTAAACTGAGCGAGATGATTGTTGAGTATCATTGGAAAAACAGAGATTTGCTGTCTGTCTTATAGAGTAACATCCTGAGGTGTTTTTGTCGTTCCTCTCTGACTTATTTCACAGCGTTGTTATGTGGGTTTTACTGTGTGTCAGCAGGAGGCTTTGATTTCCTATAACAGAGTGTAATAGTCGATTATTGACAGGTTTTACAGTAGGACACGATAGATAATCATTTAAAAAGCACATTGTGTCATTTACAGTAACAAGAGGAGAATCTGGATCCGTTTCAAGAGTGTAATCTCAGTTAATTGTAGTCTAGATTAACAGCCAAGTTTACAGTGCAGCGGTAGATTATTGTCAGTAGGATATCGTCTGGTTTTATAATGCAGTAAAAGGCTTGAACACGCTGCACGCTTTTCCACAAACATACAAAAAAGAGATTTATAAAAAACACTGACGGGTGAAATCCCATCAGAGCGAGTTACAAGCGAATTCCTGCAGCGCCGGCAGGGAAACCGATTCGATCCGTTTGTTTAATCTTAATCTGACGCTGAAATCACGTCGATCAACTTTCACCTATATGCGGTCCAAGAGAGCGACGTGGCTGTGACATAACGGTGAATTTCCCGCAGCAGATCTGATCTGTGGATGTGGAAATGTTTTGATAAGAGACGTTTGACAGCTGCAAGTTTAGGCAGAGAGAGAGAGAGAGAGAGAGAGAGAGAGAGAGAGAGAGAGAGAGAGAGAGAGCCTCCGAAAACCAACCAACACAAACGCAGAAAACCTGAGAGATGTGGGGCGGTATCCAAACTTTAATCTCCCTGACAGAGGAATCCTTTCAGTTACATAATGAAAGGAAGATATTCAGAGAAATTCAATGGATGCAACTTTCTTTTGAACTTTGGGTTAAAACAGAGTCTTGAAATATTTTAAAACGTAAAACCAAAAATATGTAAATCTCGTCTGTTTGAACAGATTAAACAAGTCTCAGATCAGATACTTTAACTTGATCCTTAACCGCTACTGTTAACTTTATCAAGACCTGTAAATATACTGACACCCTTCTTCCTCCTTATAATAATAATAATAATAATAATAATAATTCTTTTTAAAAAATAAATCCAAGTTCAGGCACTTTCTGAGTCCACGTCCCCCCTGAGCTTTTCAAATTTACAACGTTGGCTCGGTCAGTTCTGGCCTTTCAAGCGAACTGGACTCTCTCTCTGAGAAGCACAGAGGAAGCCCCCATCTCCGCACGTGCACATTAGTTTCCTGAGATGGGAGTTCCTCCTGAAAAAAAAAAAAAATCTCCGCCCACCCCCGAGGGATCCGTCACGTACCCCTCAGCTCCCCTGTTTCCCAGAAGTCCCAGCACCTACAACCTGATCCTATGCGGTACTCGCTGTTCTGTTTGTTCTTTTGTGCGGTGGGTGTCTGAAAGAGCTCTGCTGGCTCGGAGTTGGCACACTGCTTGACTCCGTGTCCTTGGAGGACTTCCAGAGTCACGTCCCGAGGAGAGAAACAGAGCGAACGCTGGCTCCAGAGATGAATACCAGCACTCTACTTCACATTACGGATACACACAGTACACCTGATTCACACACACACGCTGACTTCACCCGCTAACTCCCCTGATACATCTCGAAGCTGTGGTTGGTTTCTGTGAGACAGGCCTTAATATCAGCGTGTGCGCCTAAATTCAACAATTATCATAATTAAAGATACCTTCACTAAATCATCTCTTAACGTCAGTGAATGCAAATGAAAATGTGACGCAGTATCGGCCCTTAGAGAGACATGTCTCTCTCTGTCAGGTGTGGAGAATCTTCTATCCTAAACAAGAACTAACAGAATAAGAAAGAACGGGATCATTTAAAAGTTTATTATTGGGAGATTTTTCGATCTAATGTTAAAAACAAACAACAACGTCCCCTGCTGTCATCGTGTACGCTGACTTTAGTTCAGAGATGTTGATGTCCATCCTGAAAAGTCATGTGGAGATAGCATTGCACCAGCGTATCCTGCACATAGATGGTACCTGGGTGGCCCAGGTATGAGCTCTGTCTGTGATCAAGGAGTTAAAATGACAATGATAATAAGAGAGATGTAATTGTTGTTTCTGGGTTTAAAAGGCCTCAGCAGGTCTATCTGTGCAGGTCCATCTCTGTTCTGTTTTCAGACAGTCTGAATTATTGGACTTCTCGGTGAACGCGGTCGTTTTGGATGAATCCGCTCCACAGGGTTCACATCGGAGTCACTGCTGCCAGTTTCTTGGCTTCTTTCTGATCCTGGACTCTAAAGCTAATTTTGGATCATAGAGATATTTTGGTCACGAACTGAATGAGACTGAAACCGTGCACGTCTGCAGCTCGGAGGTTCTCAGGTTTCTGCGAAGACCACACACTGTCCCACATTCTTCATCTCGTACATCGCTGACCTCTCGCAGCACGGTGCCATATTTGCTCTCCAGGCCCCAGGTGGTGTGTATTTCACTATCAAAGAGACTGAGTTGGTCTTCCTGCATTGCTACCTCCACCTCGGGCCCCCCTCAGGACAGGGGTCCCATTCTAAACCTCAGGCTCACAGGAGCATCCCGGTGTAAAACATACTAAATCAAAAGATTTATACCCATGAAGCAGACGGTTTTAGGTTGCAGCTGAACTCTGGGTCGTGTTATCTCTGCTCTCGGTTATATAACTGGGCCGAGGCTCCGAGGGGATCCTCACATGAAGAAATAAACGTGATTCTGCGGAGATGGACAAACACGGGGCAGCGTCAGAGGTCTAAACACACATCTGTGTACGGGAGGAGGGTTTGATTCCTGCAGACAGCAGCTCCACCCACATGAGATGATCAGCTGTAAGTGCGTTGTCACCAAAAGATCCTATGTTAACATAAGAAGTAGCAGAAACAAGATATCTCAGACAACAACCTTGGATTCATCAATCTAAAACCGCCATCACTTCTCCACCCACACCTGAAAGAAATCGGGTTCCCATGGTCAATAAAAAAAAGACGCCGTTTGATGCTAAGACAGTTTATCCTGAACACATGTGAGAGCTGGAGAAAACATGTCTCTGCGAGGATCTGCTCAATCTGAACGTCTGATTATCCAACACTCAGATCCACCTGGAAGTCATCACTGTATCAGCGCCATGATTACTGAGAATCAGATCATCATCGCTTTCATAGAAACACAGAGAGGAATGTAACCATGACACTGACTGATGAGCGGTCGGTCACACAGAGTCCACAGTGAAGGCCGGACAATTATGAAGCGTACTGATGATTTCTGAAGCATTTTGAATCATGTTCAGCCCTGACGTTGTATCTGAACGCAACTCCTTTTCAATCGACTCTTCAGTAATAAAAAATATACATAATAAAGAAAAACTATTACCAAGTCGGAAAAAAAGCAAAATCAGAGGCGGACACAAGATGGCTACATCTACGAAAGACATTACCTTACCCAGTCAGATTTCCGGGAGCGTTTTTTTTTTTTTTTTTTCGTAGGATAGTAGGGGGAAGTCCCGCCTCCTTTGACTCTGATTCGCTTCCGGGACGGATCGGTTAGCGCCAAAATAACTTTCGTAGATGTCGCCATCTTGTTTCAGGGCTCCGATTTTGCTTTTTGCCGACTTGGTAACTGACACGCTGGGAACTCGGGCGTAACGTCATTTCATCTCCGACTTCTGACTTCCCAGGTAACTTGAACACTGCATTAAAACATCGTATAATGACGAAACGCTAACGAGTGCAGCCGTTAGCATGCACGCGACGGCCAATCATGAGAAACTAGCAAGACAGAAACGTATTTGAGGAGTTTGTTTCAAAAGTGCCTCTAATAAAACGGTATTTCTGTAAATACGTTTATGAAAATCAAGAATAAAAGTTATGAAAACCAAATACCTTGTTCTCACTGCAGCCAGGTGCTTCAATGGACGAGAAACACGAGAAAACACAATCCGAGCTTCGTTTCTCAGCATCCGTCAAGTTAACGTCTACTAGCTAACCACTACATACTAAAGAGGAAGTACTTCAAAATAAAAGCACGAAATTGTAAAGTCCGCAACATTTTAAACACAACTTACAGGAAGTGATCCTTTGCAACAATAGACCTTCATAATAGTCATTAACACAGATTAAAACACTCAATGTGCATCTGACCCAGGCTCTAGTGTTTTATAAATCCAACTGTTACAGCCCTCAGTATCGATAAAACACAGCATACAGTCACTGGTACAGTCTTTATTTCTTTATTCCTCACTTCGAGTACTGTGAAACCAAAAACAAAGCAAAAATACAAATCATTTTTCAACATAACAAATTCGTACAAAACAGTACTTAAATATTAGCACAAACACAACTTTACTATTAAAAAAAAATCACAATGATAGCATTCGGAACAATTTTCCCCAACATAATTAAGACCAATTGCAAAAACACTAACACGCCACCCAAACAATTTTACGCCACCTACCTCTCCTTGCCTACCAAGGGTGCATACTGGATCTAAATAGCCTCTTGTACTCAACCCCAGACCAACTGCACTCAATGACAAGAGCAAACAAACAACAACAAACAAACAAAAACAACAAAAATCACTATTTAAACCCTTTTTTTAATTTTCAAACTTCAGGGGGTGTGCCGACCCCCGATGTGAACAACCAACTTAGCTGGCCACTTACACCAACTCTTAAAGAGGAGGGACGCTTATGTCGAGTACAACTGATTTGATCCGAGGGCAACAAATCAAAGGCCTCACCACTCTGTGAGAGACTGCGTGAGTGAGGACCAAAACCAGTTCTGGAGGGCACTGAATCAAAATCAGACATGACTCTGTAGTGGAAATCACTGCATAGGCTCAAACTGTGAACTGTTGTCTGTAAGCACAGTTTGTCACTGCAGCCACTAATCCAGGTAACCCCATTCAAGATGGACTAAGGATTGACTTCCTTCTTGGTAATCATGCAACACCTGACTTCTTCTTAGCTCCCAGTCCAAAGCAAGCATCCCTGATGGTATGGGGGTCATGAGAGTTCACGGTATGGATAACTTCCACATCTGTGAAGGCTCCATGAATGCTGAACAATATCTACATCATGGCTCAGTAGTAGAAGAGTTCTGCACTCTTACGCAAGGCAAAATCTGGTCTCCATATTTAAAATAAAAGTGAAGTGAGTCAGTGTTTCCAATGTGGTGACCACCATCGCAGAGCTGCATAACACCTCTCCGAAATCAAAGGATGACCTTTCCGAGCGTGGAGGTCCAGGATTTACGGAGGCTTCTAGATGAGGGCTGTGAGAGGTCACATACGAAGTTGGAAACGTTCAGGTCTTCGGTTTTTACTACTCCAGATCACAGATCCCCGAAGAGGAGATTTACTGACTGTGAGGTCCACTGTTCTAAGATCGGCACAGATTGAGGCCACATGGTTGTGTTCTCATGGTGGACTGAATATTGGGCAACATTTCCTGAAATGTTCCTGCATGGTGTTTGTTCTGCTGCAGCCATCCTCTCTGTGTGAAAACAACACGGGCTCACGGCGGAGGTCGACGTTGCTTCATCAGTTGGAAACTCTGTGGTAACAAACAGTCGCCCAACTGTGAGCAGAGATCATGTGACAGGACGAGGAACAAAGAGTCAAACCTTTAAATAACTGTCGACGACCATCCGTAAACATGCTCCGTTACATAACACGCTCTGACTGTGAGGCCTGATGGTTCCTCTCTCCTCATCTGAAATCTTCATCCACTTTAGGAAGCCGCCAGCCATGATTGGCTTAATTTGTATGGAGGTGAACTTTCAAAGAACTTAAAGAGAGGAAGAAGAAAAGGAAGAAGAAGAGACGTATGAGGACAGAAATAATGAAACATATAAAGAAGTAAGAGAGAAACAAAAGGAGATAAAAGTCATGAGGGAGAGGAAAAAAAGGGGGGAGACGTTTCACAAGAAAACTGGAGAAAATAAAACTGTGAAGTAAACAAACAAACAAACAGAAAAGACGGATATGACCAGCTGATAGATGATTGAAGGGTAACTTTATGAGCGTCGAGTGGTCGTATTTCTGTTCTTGTTTCTGTTGGACAGCTTCTCCTGCAGCTGTGTAACCGGAACTTTTGGACCTGCAGCCAGAGTCTCCTGAGAGAACTGGACAGAGACCTTCACGAGGGAAAAACCACTGACAGATTCAGACATTAAGAGACTCCAGCTCTCTGTCCAAACATGGTCCTCCTGGATAGATCGGGAGGAAACGTGTTTTTTAAGACCTTCAGGTTTTTACAAAGAGGAAAGTCTAAGCAGAATCTGTAAATCCAGTGTTTCCCCGACATTCATTCACCACCGCTGCTGAATTATGTGCGCTGCTACTAAAATTTCACATGCTCATAAATAACAATGATCCTTTAATGATTTCTACTTGCACTGTGTGAGCACAACAACACACAGCGTTTTTTTCGGCTTGTTTTGAGTCATCAACGAGCGCATCAAATTCTGTCAGACTCTCTTCTATTAATGTGAAAGGTAACGTTAATATTGATATTCATATTGAAATCCAAACAGTACTGGACCCTCCACAGCAGATGGTGACAGATCTTTGTGAGTGGATGTGGGTTACTGATTTAGTTTGCCTCAGGTTCAACATGCGCCCCCTCCCCTCCTCCTGTATATACCACAATGATTAAAAGTCATGAAGTCCGGAGCCCCTGCTGTTGCCCTCGTTCTTTCTGCACCAAAACTCAAAGCCATGATGTGTTCGACTAAAACAAGAGACCCTTTAGAGTCTGAGGAACTTTGAGGATGTGGGCAAGGATTCAGAGCCCTGTAACTGATCGATCTTCAGCGGTTAGGACCGGTTCTCTCCCACAGGGCTCCTCCTCTCCCTTCACTAAGGTCTAAAGAGGCTCTATGAGGTGTCCTCCACATGTCGGCGGGACGCCAGCCTGCAGCGCTGCCCGGTCAGCGAGCCCTGTGACTTCAACCCTCATCCTTTGAAGAATGTGCCTCTTTGTGGAGCAGTTCATTAGCTTTCTAAGAGGTTTACCAGGTTCTTTTTTTTTCACCCTCTGCTCTTATTTCCAGAGTGACCCAGTACTGACCTTTACAAGCTTTCAGCAGAGCCAATTAAGAACGAGCCGTTGATTAAGATCTCAGCCCTGGACCAGGTTTAAATCTGCTCTCGGATATCCCGTTTTACTGCATCAAAGCCAGCGCTCTCAGGGCCAAGAGGGCAGGGCGAGTTTCTCCGAAATCAGACCTCAAGTACAGAGAGTGAGCTCTGAAACATCTGACACATGGATTTATAAGAGCCTGAACATCCTCAGAGGCGGTGAAGCGTCTAAAACCCGGCTGTCTCTGGATCTGTTTGTTTGGAAATATCCGAGGATTTCAGGCTGGAGCTTTAAAGCCACGTGAAGAGGTGACGTCTAGACGTGGTCGTGTGCAGACTTTTGAAGTGTGTTACTATGACACCCAATGACCTCCTGAAGCTCCCAGCTCGGCCAGTCCACAGCTTAGTCTGCAGAACATGCTGATCTGGTTTGGGATTACTAAGGCACAAAACACGAGACCGTGTTCAGGATCAGAAATCAGAGAGTCTGCCTGAGATCTTGATTTCCACTTCATGATCTGAATCTGTTTTGTGGCGTCAGAGCTAAATTTGTTTTATCACTGCCTCGCTCTTCTTACACTAGGTCTTAATAGTCTGGTCTCTACTCCATGAAAGCCTCAAATGGGAGTTATCTATTGATCAAAATCAGAGAAAGGCTTTACTTTCTGAAAACTGACAACTGGTTTGGCCAGAACTTGATCACGACACAACAACCTTGATTGTAAGATGTTGATAAAAACAGATTTTGATGGTTTGCGAGTCATTTAAGCTAGAGATGTTCAATGACACTTTTTTTCAGACCAATACCAGTACGAAAACTCACTCTTGAGTACTTACCGATACCAAGAACTGATTCCACTGATACTTTTGATACATAAAATATCAATTCACACAATGACCGATAATTTTTGACACACGGGACTCACGTTGCCGCTCCAAATATCAGCGGTGAAGCAAACAGCTGGAGCATTGCACAACAAGCTGCTAACATGCTTCTTTTTAACAGAGTCCTGTACTGTGACATCACAGTTCTCACAATTGTTCACGGGTTTGTTAAAGTCTGAACAGGACGTGACACCAATGATGATTCACTGTGGTGAAACTCCTTACATTGAAATAAGGCCGGAATTGGCCCTGATACTGATAGGGCCTCCTATCCCTGATTTAAACCAAATATAAGATTTAAAAAGAGCAAATACAACAACTCAACTGCTAAAACTAAGAAAAAAACAAACATGCAACATGTTCAAAAACATGTTGCCCGGGATTTCCATCGCATCCGCAACGGCTCTGATCTGGAACAGCAGTGATTTTTGCCCTACGCCGTTGTCCTACCGGATCTGTTTGGGAGGCAAATTTCCTGGTGGATTATGGACAGCAGGAATCATGAGAACTCTCAAGGACCCGCGAATTCATGTGCAATCGCGCGATAACAAGTTGTCTTTAGCCACAAAGGCTAACCATATAAGCAGTAGATCGTTTCCTCCCAGAGGAGGAAAACTACCTCTCGACTTGTAGAATCAGCATCTCCTCATCCATGGTGTCATCGGGGTTAAATGACATCTAAAAACCTTTCACTTGTTCATCTCCGCCCGTTTGCATGGTGTGAAATACGATCCTCCTGAAACACGGAGTGTTTTATTTTGAAAAGAAGCCGGATGTTTTATTTTGTGTCTGTGCCCGACTTCCTTTCCAGCACGGGTTAATCTGTGCTGAATTTATCTGACATCCTTCGGCGTCTGGAAAAAATGATCAGCTGTGGAGTCCGGAGATCAGCAGCGGAAAACAGAAAGAAGCCGGTGGAAATTGACACGTTAACTTGAATGGTTACGATCAGCTACGATCGGCGGATATGGCCTTTACATAGTCGTTCAGGATGTGGTGGAAATTTCACTGAGAATACATATGACTCTGTAGTCATTTAGGAGCAACATCTTCTGCCATCCAGACAAAGAGGAACCACATTATGCAGGGATTACAACTTCATGGCTCTGTAGTAGGAGAGTCCTGCTGCTCTAGATTGGGGCCAGGTCTCACTTTCCAAACTCTAGAACCTGGTCTCCTGGGTTCACTTACGTTTACAGAGTGTTGTTTCAGGCTTCATAGACCATTTTTCATGCCTCATTTGTTTACAGGCCATTAAAAACCCACTAGTTACCATCTCTGACATTGATGGAGTGTTTGTGACGTCAGCCGTCGGTCCCTGAGGGAACAGAGGATTTTCACGTTAGAAACGCTGACTCAGCCGGACTGTTTGATAAGTGCTGAAACGGGTAAACAGCCGGAGCTGATGTCGGCTCTCAGCTACAACACACCCACCTGTCAGCTGCCAATAGCAGTGCCAATTTATATTTAATCTTTCGCCTCGATCAATTCAAAACAGATGTGTTACAGTGTGCACAAATAAATTGAGCAAATGGACATTTTTTTATACATTTTTATAAGGATTGCTTTTTGTTTACAACCAGACTCAAGTAGAGGCTTGAAAATGTGCAGGTTTTTAACACTTTTGCTGCTTGGCTATCACCTGATGGCGCTGAAGTCTCTGTGAGCAATGGGCTGTTGGCAATCTAAACACTTCTACAACCAAAGCCTGCCAAGAAATAAAATAAAAAACTAGCAGATGTTAGGATTTGTACTTCAAATGAAAACAAAACATGCCTGATGCAGAAAATTAAACCCTGTGCCAATGCTTTCTGAGTTTTTATGCAGAATCAGCATCGACAGACCGGTGAAAAGCATCTTTTTAGTCAAAGTGTGCGACCCCGAGGTCATCCAGCTGCAGCTCGCAACATGGTGCAAAATAATCTGTTTAAATATGGAACCTATAAACGGGAGAAACGCAGTAAAATCTGTTGTTAAGTTTATGTAGAAACAGTTCTGTTTACCTCAGAGGTAAAACTCAACTCCTGCAGTGTCCACTCTTTTATTTATCTGGTGTTTTTCCAACATGGCCCGTGGGTGCTCACAGTTGCCCACAAGTACTGACGCTCCTGACCACCTACATTATCGGCAGCTCTGATTTATGGAGGTAAATTCTCTCCATACGTGACTGTACACAGAGAAGGTAGGAGTTAAATTCACTTTGAGGCCCCAAAGAGGCTCAAAGTTCAGCCCGCTGCTGCCCGGTGGTTTGCTGTGTGAGTGTGAACTGTACACTGACGTCCGGCTGGTATTTGCGTAACCCAGATTTCTTTCCTCCTGATCAAAACCAGCTCCTCTCTCTGCGTAGGAAGTGACTGCCGGAGACATGGGCCACACCTTTGTTCGAAGTCTGTTTGAAGACGTTTCAGAGCGGAGAAAAGACGCAGAAGATGGAGTCTGGACGTGGTTATTTCACTGAATTAAAGTGATCATAGAAGAGATATTTGTCTTTCCTGTACCGCAGGAGCATTTTAGGGAGATTTTAAAATTTTCACCCGGGGTTCACATCATTGTAACTCTGAATTTTGAATGTTTTGCACCTTAAAGACCACAGGAGAGCTGTCAAACTAACAGTATGCAAAGCCAGAAATATAGATTTAACTTGGTATATTAGTCCAACTATAAGAAGTTTGATTAAAGGGATATTCTGGCATAAAATTGATTTAGTGTCAAACACACCATAACACTGAATTAAACACCCCCTTGAGAGATGAATGTTGCCGACCGCTTGCTTCCCTAGCTATACCAACTTTAGTAACGACTGCAGGATAGCAATACAGAGAGCCATGCGCTCAACCAAAACGCCACTCTATAGCCACAAATAATGCTCAGAACAGCACCTAACTTCATCAACAGGACATATAGGGTCACAGACATAGTACTAGACACCAAACATCTTTTTAACTTTGACTCATTTCTTTAGCAAAGAGACTAGGATAGAATAGGAAATGATAAAAAAATGATCACAAATGTTCTTCCTTGAGCTTTTTTTTTTTTTTTCTATCTCTCCAATCTAACCTTTGTTTTCTTTTATCTCCAATCTTATTTTAGCTTTGAATGTAACTTTTAATCTGTTAAATGTCTTTTACGCTGTTTTTACTTTTTAAATTGTGTTGAATGTTTTGCCTGCTTGTTTCATGTAAAGCACCTTGAATTGCCCTGCTGCTGAAATGTGCTATACAAATAAACTTGACTTGACTTGACTTGACTTGAGCTGCGTCACCCCGCTGTAGTCTGTAATGGACTGGCCGAGGTCTCACTACAGACAAGCAGCTGCTGGAAGAGAGTAATATCCCTTTAAGTGTGATTCCAATTGGACTTCTAAGGTAATAAATCACATTTTTCGGGACAATATCTAAACATACTGACCGGAAATATGGTTTATTTAGCATATGCAAAACTGTGACACTATGGCCCAAAGCCCTTTTGCATCACTTCTGCTACCTGCACATGCAGCACATCAAATTAGCGAAGTAAAAGAAACATCCAATAATCATGCAAACAAAAAGATGCTTAGTCAAACAGCTGTTTTCATACCTCACACTGCATAGTTGCAAAGTGTCTGATTTCAAATTGCAAGATTTTTAAAAAAATTCTTTGTCAAAGAAGCCGTGCTGACTGTTATCACAGAACTATCCCTTTAAATCAAACCAGACATTTTCAGGTCTGATACTTTACAGACCACTTAATAAATAATGAAAACCAAAACCATCACAGCAGGCTACAGCATCTATTCTGGCTAAATGTCGACCCGTCTCCACGGTGACACCCGCCTTCGACCTCCCAGGTTACCCGAGGACCAGTTAGTAAAAAGTTTCCACTTTTCTTTTTATTCTTCTTCTCTTTCTGTGCAGATTACATGAGAGCAGGAGAACACAAAGGCAGAGCGTGGTGTTATTAAACAGCCGCATTAATCTGCAGATCTGATTACCTCGTTAACTACCACACTGAGAGTCCGGAGCCAGCTGGCAACCAAAAAGTGATTAAGTCTGTAGGGAGGGCCGCTCTAAACACAGAGCGACTGCTGAACGCTTCACATGTCACACTCACGCACACATGCACGCACACACACAAACACACTGATCTATAAACTAATCGCTCCTCTTATCAGACTCACTTCCTCTGAGCTCAGATAGCAGAAAATGGAGCAAAAAGACTCTTTGGTAACCCGTGAACGCATCGACCCCTCACTGCTGATGACACACGCTTTGACTCTTATTGTGGAGGGGAATCCCCCCCCCCCCCCACACACACACACACACACGCATACAGCTATTGTTCATGAAGTTTACCCCCCCCTCTCCAAACACACACACACATACACAGGGTCCCAAAGGGATCAGATCACCTCCCTGAACCCAGCAGCAAAACCAGGTTTTCTTTTAAAGGAAGGTTCTGTACAACGTGACCTCCACTGATCATTCACACACTCAAGCACAAAAGATCACCAAACTACAGCCTGGGACACACACACACACAACATCTCAATGTTGGAGAAGAAGAGCTGACAGAGGATTCAGTCTGATACCAGCATATCAACATCTTTCAAGGTCAAACATTTCCTTCATCTATGTAGGATTTTTGTAAAACTTTTAGATCTAATCCGACAAAGTTCAAGTTTAGACCAACAAGAAAAAGAAGATGCAAAAACAAAAGCAACTCTTTCACTTTTTTCTGCAGGTGCTTCCAGGAAACTTGCAGCTTAATTTATCTCACAGACAAGATTTCAGGTCGAACACTTAAACAAATCTTCTGCAGTGAGTCAAAACTATTATTTTTTAACAGCATTTAAACTCTGGAATAAACAAGGCTTTTTCCTAAAGGAGTTCAGGTGACAGATAAAACAAAAACATCATTTTACTTCCTCCAGAAAGTTGTAAAAGCTGATCTTAAATTCTACAATAAAAGCGCAAACACATGCACCTGAAGGAGTGGGAGGAGCCTGCTCTTACCTGTGATGAATACCGCTTTGCCGTGGGCAGACAGGGTGGTGGGTGGTGGGCTGGTCCTGGTGGCCAAGTAGATGCAGAAGGCGAGGATGAGCAGAGCCAGCAGCAGCACGGCCGGCAGGCAGAACGCCCACAGGCGCTCCACCAGCACGGTGGCCCCCAGCCAGGCCACCAGGGTGGGGGCGGCACTCAGGTGGGACGCCAGAATCTTCTTCATGGCCCCACCAATGAACACAGTCAGAACGGCCAGGTAGATCCAGAAGGGAAGAGTGTAGTCGTCCATCATCAGAGAGTCACCTGGTTTACCTGTCTGTCTGTTCACCTGTCTGTTGAAGTTTCACTTCTTCTTCTCGACTCGTCAAACAAAAAGAAAACAAAAAGAAAAGAAGTCTTCTCCAAGGTTTGAGTCTGCTCTCCCTCCTCACTGAAGCACTCAGTGTGTATGTCTCTCAGCCGCTCTCCCTCTCTGCTGCACACACACACACACTCTCTCACACTCTGAGTGTGTCGGTGGAGCCGGTGCAGAGCTCGTCCCCTGCCTCTCTCTCTCCGGCTCTCTCTCAGTGTATATATAGAGGAGAGCTGCAGGGGGAGGAGGGACTACAGGCTGCAGCCCTGCATCTAATCTGCAGCCCACACACACAAACACACTCACACACATGCACACACACACACACACACACACACACACACATAATGTAATTCAATTGTTTACTGGATCATTAATCAGTCAAGTTGAGGTAATCAAGCAGTTTCTCTCAGCGTGGAGTAAGGATTTGTGAATCAAACAGAACTTTTGGAACAGAGATGGTTTCAGTTTGAGATGATCTGTGAGAAACGAGAGGGCAGAGACGTTGGAAAAGTGAAGACTAAAGAAAGAGCAGAAACTTTAAAACACATCTGAACATCTAAACAGACAGAAAAGACACAGAGAAGGACAGAAATATTAATACTGGAGACAGTGAGGTGATACAAAGTTCACTGTCATAATGTCCAACAACAAAGGGATGACTCTGTGAGAGACTGAGTGAGCATAAAGTTCAACAAAAAAAGAGATAAGGACTGAAATCAAGGCTCTCAGGCATGACTCTGGAGTGGGAATCACTGCATTGGCTTAAAAACTACCACAGTTCATCACCACATCTTTAAATGCTTTAAAACTTTCTCATGTGAAAAGGAAACCAAATATAATCACAATCCAGAACCACTAGTTTGTTATCAATGCCAAATCCAGCGTTTCTGTTGGTCTGGGGATCTTCAGAGTCCATGTCATGGGTAGTTTCCACATCTGTGAAGGCTCCGTTAATGCCAAACAACATCTACAGGTTTAGGAGCAAAAGGACTCTGTAGTTGGAGTCACCACATGGGCTCAATATGGGGTGACCATATGCGGAATTTCCAGAAAGAGGACATGACTATGAGGGGGCGAAGTCAAGGAGTCGCGCATAATTAATTTTGAGTTTTTCGGGAAGGATCGAGTGTTTTTCAAGCGTCTCTTACTCGGTACGTCCATGCAACACAAACTCAAAACTTCAATACAAAATCCCAGACATTTGAGGGATTTTATTAACTCCCTCGGACACTCCATGTTCAGGTGAAAGAGGACTTATGGTCATCCTACTTACTATCACGTGTTTGTGAACTGTCCTGAGGTCTGATGGATCAAAATCTAACACTCTTTTGGAAAGGACAACTGAAGGACAACTGAACTTACTTGAGACGTCTCAAGTAAGTCCAGTTGTCCTTTCAATGAAGAACTGGAAATCATAGATGCTGCATCCTCAGTTTTAACCAATATCTCCAGGTTTAGGAGCAACATCTGCGTCCATCCAGACAAAGACTTTTCCAGGGAAGACCTTCATATGATCTCAAACAGGGATTACAGTCTCTCCTGAGTCCTCCTGAGGAGCTAGTTTACCTCCAATAAGCTTGAACTCGGGTCAGTGCTCCAGTTCTGGTCTGCAGAGGGGCTGCATGGTGGTGAGCCATAAATTGTTGCCCTATATCTACAGTACAGAGTGTCATTCATCAGTCTGCGGCTGTTATAAAACTCCAAATGAACACTGTCATGAACATTGCGATATACAAACACGACCTCTTCCCTACAGTACGAGTCCTCTGAGCTGAAGCCGAACTATCTTTCTGAAACTGAAACAAACTCTGAGTTATGATTAAAAAGAAAAAAAGGCCCAGTGCTCCTGCAGCAGCAGCGTGGAAGACAAATGTAGTAAACGGACTTTGAGTTGAAATCGTTCTGTCACATTTCCAACCTCAAAGATGAACTTTGTTACGTATGTAAATTATTGATCCTTCCCAGAAAGAAAGAAGATAAAACGCTTATATCACCCAAACATGCAGCCGAGGAAACAGTCTCTTCTATCAGCAGGTAGATATCAGTCTGTATTTATTCGTTCTTGAAACTTGAACACTTGGTTCAACCATTTGGCAATCGCTCTGTGACTTTCTACAAAGGTCAAACAAGGCCACCAAGCTTTTCATGATAAAACTAAAACTAAAGAAATCATGTTTTTTTTCCTGTCCCTAGAGTTTAAAATAAATATTTCTCTGTTTGCTTCATAAAGCAGAAATGCTCACACAAGCATGCCAGACCTGTTGGAGGTGATTACGTGAAATCAGTCCGTATTTTGAGACTGAGACTTTAAGTGCCAAGATTCAACTTTGGGAAGTCAGAATATGGTCACCCTGATGCAAACAGTTATTTAACCCAAGAAGTACCGAGCAGACCTGAACACACCTGCAGCCAGTCCGGCTGAGAGGCATTGCAGGCTTATTTATGCTCCCCATATGTGTGAAAATGTACGTGTCCGTTTCAAACAATGCTTCTACAAACCTTCATGCATCCTTTACGTTGGCATGGGTGTTAACCATTACATCCACCAGGGGGCAGGCCGGAGTCAACGGAGGCAGCGTTGGAGGACGGTAGTCAGCCACTAAATGCCAACTGGAGGACAGAGAATTATTTTCTCTAGTAGTACAGATGAGAGAAATTGACGAGGATTGTCATTTCCAGCCCCGCCATCGTCTTCTTCATTTCTCTTTAGAGATGGGTATCGGGTACTGACAGCAGCAACACTGCCCCCAAGGTTTGTGGTGGTACTGCTCCGTCTGGCCGGTATCCGTAAACCTCAAGGATGAAAAGAACGCAAAGCCCGGATTGAGAGCTCTGTATGTAACGTTGAGCATAAATGAGCCTTGAGGGAAGTTTTCAGAAATTCAGAAACGTGTGGACGGAGCTTTCATTTTCTTTTAAGGTCCATCTTTTCTCTGGTATCAAGCTGGTGTTCAGTTTCAGTAAATTTCAAAGACTACTTTGGTAAATCCTCCCTGATCAGTTTTCTGATTTCCCTCCTCTCCCTTCGATCCTCTCCCCTTCGAGCTCCTTGACTTGGTGGACTCCAAACTACTCCTGGATGAACAGAGGGTCAGGTAAAATCCAAGACAAGCGTGCTCACAGTTATGTGTTTTGGTTTCACTGACCTGGAGAGATGGTCAGCTTGGCCTCCAGAGGTCAAAGGTCAAAACCTCGCTCCAAATGGCTGAGGCAGCAACATTTTCTGAGAATATGTTAAAGTTTGCTTGACATCTGCTTCAGGGAAAGGGTCGCTTATTTTTGGAGCGGGTTTTATGAGATCGTTGTTAATAGTAACTGAATTAGGCACAGGGGCCCCGCGGCTGAGAAACCAGGGGGAAAACTGGCACAAAATCTTGGCTATCAACTCCTGCAATCGGGGTCAGATCCACCACGTAGCTAAGCTCATTTTAACAAACTCTGACCCAAACACCAATGTCAGAACATTTTCAGTCTTTCAGGTACAATGAGTCCAAGACAAACACACTAATTGCTCATTTAGTTTTCTATTTTTAACAGTATGATCCTGTTTCTACAAAGTCTAAAGAATGTACCACAATTTGGGTACTGGGATCATCTGTGGGGGTTGTGTTGGCAAGATTGGACCTGATCCTGATCCAGACAGGAAGTACCTGCTCGAAAAAGAACAAGAAATAATCCCCGGGGGGTCAGGGGTCAAGGAGCAGGCACTCAGCTGGAGGGAGGCAGGCGGGGAGTAAGAGGGATGTGACTTTATATAAATGACCGACTGTTTCCATGAGGACACTCGTTTTCTCCTTTTTCTGAATGTACTGAACTCTCTTGTTTTCATTTTCGTTGAAAGGTTGTCCTCAAGTTTTCCCGTAAATATGATCCTACAGGTTCAGGTTCCCGTTTTCTCGAAAGCCACTGCTTTTGTGGAAAAACTACAAAAGAAACCAGAGGACAATACGTAGGTCGGCGGCACACTGTGTTTGTGGACTTAACAGGTTCTTTGTTGATGTTCACGTAAATTCAAGGAAGCAGACGCAAAACAGCATGAACCAGAAACCTACAACTGTCATCTCGAGGAGCTCTTACCAGAATAACACTGTTCTGAGTGCGGGGGGTATATTTACCTGTTCTTGTACCGCAGGAAAGGATAATAAAACACAATCACCCAGAAATGAGGCCTCAGGGGACAGATCAGCTTCCCCGTCGGTCACGTAACAAACACTGGACAAAAGGTATTTTCACCCACATTCGGTTATTGGAAAATGAGCTCACGAAGAACTGGGGTTGGTGTTTTCTGAGCATCACAAACACTCAGTAGGTTCAGAAGAAGTCTGTACGAGGAAAATGCACGAGTTTTAGAAACATGGTTCGTCTTTTAGACCATGCTTCATCAAACCTATCAGACCGTCATTAAATCCAGTTGAAACCCCAAAATTCATAGATTTCCAAAATTATATTACACAGTAGACCTCAGCAATAAAGCACAGGTACCCCGGCTTCTCACTAGTCGGGTCAAACTTGCAACTGTCAAAAACGTTGCTGAAGTTGTGCAGACTTAAGGTTGTTACCCCTACGTTACACCTATTCTCTTCCAGCAGCTGCTTGTTTGTGGGGGAGCCCTTACGAGTCGATCACCGAGTCGATCACCGAGTTCACAGCTCAAGGAAGAACATTTATGATCATCACTTCATGGAAATACAATCAGAGTTCTTGTGTATCTTGTATATGCACTGCAGACGCGGTAGTTCTTCTGTCTTAGCGTCTCGGTCTGATTGTATTTCCATGAAGAAATGATCATAAATGTTCTTCCTTGAGCTGCGGCACCCCACTGTAGTCTGTAATGGACTGGACCGGGGTCTCTCTAGAAACAAGCGGCTGCTGGAAGAGAGTAGGTGAGTTGTGTTTAGTCTCTTTGCTAAAGAAATGAGTCAAAGTTAAAAAGATGTTTGGTGTCTAGTACTATGGCTGGGACCCTATATGTCCTGTTGATGAAGTTAGGCGATAGAGTGACGTTTTGGTTGAGGTTTGTGTGTGGAGACGTAGGCTGTATTGGCTTTGCTAATTCATGCTTCGCTAATTTGCCGGTGTGTAACGACCTTACGTGTTAATGCTTTGACCTCACATCCACTCGTAAAATAAGCTCTGTAGTCACTGAAAAAGGAAGGTCTCCAAGGCAGGGATTTTTAAAAGCTCAGTGTTATTTGACGTCATCATGATGGAAGCACCAACGAAGGACGAAGAATGACGATTCAACTAGGATCACGCCGAATCATGTGTTTTATCAGACGACCCTGTTTTAAAAAATACCTGTCCCTTTCTTTTAGCAGTAAATGTATCACCGGATCACTCAGTAGACGGCACATTTACTAATATTCACAATATTCTTGAACCTTCTCTGGAATGGCCTGATAAACTCTGTCAAGTGTGGACAGGAGGACTCTTGCTAAAGTTATGGCGTGTTTGACACAGCGGTTTGTTCACAGTCCACCTGAACTGTTCCTAAAGTTTATTTCAATTTGTTAAATCCTGTTCAGTTCTCTCGCAGGAACAAACTCCTCCTCGGTGACTTTGAGCTGTGCAGCGAAGATCCTGCCAACAGCTCACAGCGAGCGTCCGCACCCGTCTGACACGATTACCTGCCGGTGGGAACACTCCTGCTGAGCTGTTCTAACCTCTTTCCCTTAATCTGGGCGCCGTTTTACACGCATCACACCCCGCACTGACAAGAAGAAACAATCCTCACGTGTGACAGATCAGCTTTAGCGAACACAGGATGACCCCGGCCTTCATGGGATGTCCCACAACCTGCAGATTAATGAGAAGGAACAGAGAGCGGCCGGCACGCAGAGAGCTGGAGGACATGGACACAAGGCTGACTGGTCACCTTGATGGTTGTGAACACAAAAGCGAGGACGAATCCCTGATGGTCGCTGACTTTGAAAATACAGCTAAGAAAACTTTTAATTATTGATGGAAAGGATGGATTTAGAATGCTTGATTTGTGTTTTTTAGCATGTTTTCATTTGCAGTTTCTTCTGTAACTCTTTTGGGCCACCACGGCCTCCGTAGATCTTAATCTGGTGTCTTGTGAACATTATATGTGTGAGATTTTGTCTTCAGAGAAACTTTGTGCCTTTGCAGACAAAAGAAAAGAAACATCCTGCAGAGTTTTTGAAGGTTTCATGTCTTGGCAAAGTTCAGAAACTACTCACTCGATAAATACAATTAACGAAGGAACAGGGTGTTCTCCGAGATATCAAACGCTACAGAAGTTTTATCGCTTTCTTGTCTGACGTCTTCTCAGCAGCTGAGCTCAGGGACGAGCTGGACATGAAATTATACCTCAGGTTTTCAGAGCTGATTTTAAGGTGGAACACAGGGATGACTCATGCGAAGGGACGTGAGGAGATCTTGAACTCAGGATGTGTCAGCATGAGGCATCTATTATTCATCCTCACGTCTTCAGAGTCACGGTTAAGTTTGATATCTATAACAGACTTTTAATTTGCTTTTGGTCATCGACAATGTCAGCTGTGACCTCTTCTTTTTGAAGGTTTTTCTACCTCACAAGATCTAGATAGACGACAGTGAGATAATATGAAGTTAAAGACTCCTCAGATCAGAACAAGTGATCGGCGGTGGGAGGTGGGTGGTACGACCAACAGCTCGACAAGCGAGTAGGATGGTGAAAACAGATGGTTGGAGAAAGTGCACATCGTGGACTTTGTTGAAGCAGTGAAAGTGTCCACACAGGAAGACGGTTCAGACCTCTGATCCCCGTCTGGGAGCCCCTCAAAAAACTGCAGGTATGAAATATGCATCAGCGAACACTGAGATCGTTTTACAGCTCACAGAGAGAGAGAGAGCGAGAGAGAGAGAGAGAGAGAGAGAGAGAGAGAGAGAGCAGCCACTAACACAAAAACAGACTTCATGTGTGTTTTCAATTGGATGTAAAATCACAGTAATGATGTAGGAAGGACAACGAACACGATCTGTCTTGAAAGCTTGCTCCCCTCGTGTTCTCCTCGTCTCACTTTGGTCAAAACATAAATGAGTTTGAATTGAAAAGAAGCAGTGTTTGTGTTTGAAGTCACACACTTACATTAACCCTAAGGTTAGCGTGTCGTTAACAGCATACCAGCGCGTGTCCTCTTTGACCTTTGACCTGTTTTCATGACTGTCGGCCTCATTAGGATGTCAAATAACGTATAAAGACGTTTGGTGAGAGAAACAGGAATCATGGAGCAGAAACCTCGAGGACTGGTGTGAAGAGGAGGATCCTTTCTACATCAGGCAGCTGCCCCACTGTCTGAGCTCTCCTGGCGCCCTTGAGGATATTTTTAACCATATAAAAAGTATTACTTACATTTGTACACCGCTGTTAAATAACTCGGACAAGTCTCACGCCCATCTCATGCTGAAGAGTCCAAGCCAATCCAGTGGTGCATGATGTCGGCGTGCCTCCCTGACACAGAAATGACTAAGGACTTATGACTCTGTGGTCTGAATACATGAGAGATCGAACATGGAGGGTAGGGCTGCATGATTAATCGATTGTAAATTCCTGTAAGAGCGCTCTCCAGTTCCCACACACACCAGTGTAAACAAACATGGCGTTTGTAGAAGAAGGCGATAATTTCGTGGTTAAATAGGACAAGAGCGAGTCAGTCGTGTTGAATTGGTACGACTTCACAGTTTCAGATGAAGAGTAAACCACTCCCTGCTGAAAAGTCTGTCTGAAGGCGGTATCAACCCGTCACCACGGAAACGTTAAAGTTTTTTGTCATATCGGCGTTTCATCCACATGGAAACGGCGTTTCAGGTGACTGTAAACGTACTTTTTGAAAACAGGTTAGAGAGTGAATAAATCTGTAAACGACGACCATTTCATCTGCGTGTGGATGTCTATCTGCATCTGTGGAAACGATCATGTGACACACAGCGAAACTCAAAACAACCTTTATACACATGCTCTGTACTCTTCTTCTGTCTTTTGAGCTTTTCCTGTGCAGCGTTACAGCGCCACTTACTGGCTTGGCATATACACAACATCGTTTTCAGTGGTTTAGTTTTGAGAGACGATAGAAAAACTTTTTATTAAAGTGAAGTTTGGTGAAGTTGTCACTGAATAAAAAAGCAAAATCGAAAATTAAGTTTTCAGAGAAAAAATCTGGATTTTATTTTTTGGCAAAATCGTGCAGCCCTACATGGAGGGTTGGACTCAGACTTATGGAATAATAGAAATGTAGTTTGTTGGATGAGGCCTGGATAATGTTTTCAGTTATTCAGTGATTTCCTTGTTTTTCTGCCATGTCACCTTTTGGACTTCCACGCCCATTCCCCAAAATTTAATCTATTTCCTCTTTTTCAGTCCTTCTAATCATGCAAATAAAATATCTATTGAACTATTTCTTGTGAGATTTTTTTCATGTGTAACAAAAAACTTACACATTGAACTTCAACAAAACTTTGTGGCTTCATAGTGATCATCTTTTTAAAAGAATATGTCAAACTTAAAGAATATTTCCACTGATCAAACTTTGAGAAAAGCATAAAGTGATCAACATGCAGTTAAAACATAATTTGTCATCTTTAGAAATGGAGGACATGTAAGTTAGACAGTTGATCAATAGTTTATAAATCAATATGTTGCGTGATTGTAATTGATTTCCATGTGACAATACTGTAATCGGTAACAACGTGATACGGCGGCAGCTCTAATGTGCAGTTATGAGTCATTTAAAGGGCAAAACAAAACATTGGTATGTGAATCAGGAGAGATTCGAAATGCTGCTGACAGAAAGTCTTTGGGTTTGAGATTTTTGAGATCGTAGGATGATGATCTGCCCATCAGCAGGAAAATCCCTCCATAGAGTCCTGACACTGGTGGCGGTGGTGGCTGATGACTCGCTGGGAGCGGATGGATGACGAATGGAACCGATGATTCTGCAGAGACCAGGTGGAGATGATGAGGAGGTGGACAGTAGAGGCGGAGAGAAATCATACTTAAAAAGAGGGCAGCATGATCATGTAAATGTAAAAACCAGCACCGGGTTTAGGAGTGGAACTGTGACCCAGATGAGTTCTTTATTTACTGAACACACCGTCTCTCTTCCCTCCTCTGCTCTCTTTGTTTGTCTTTGGAGCTTTGGGTCAAAAATTCACGTGTAGGTCTTGTTCTTGGATTCGGTTCATTGTTTTCTTTTGATAAATTCCGATCAGATGTTCTTTTATACAGACGCAGGTTTTTTAGTTACCTTGCTAACATGTTTCGACGTGCTGGCAGCAGTCTTCCTCAGAGTGTCATGTGATGGTTGTGTGACGCGTCTTAAAACAGCTGATGTTTCCAAAGGCGTGACCTTTCCGTCAGTTTGACAGATCGGTCACGCCTTCAGCTGCCTGCTCGCCCCCTGCAATACCGCATCATGGGTTGAGAAAATGCCAGAGTCATCTGCACCAAAGAAAATAAACATCAGCGATGGAAATCTGGAAGTGAGGCCCAAGAACCATCAACTGGGATGAGGGGGCATATATGCTGTCCCAGAGGGAAAATGAACGCCGCCCCCCTGTAAACTTACATTGGCGAATAGCGATGTTCATGGACTGACTCTTATGAGCAACTTGCAAAACACTAATCCGGAATGACTGACAGCAGGGATCGCCAATCATGCACAAATAGTGGCCCTGGGGCAGAGCCAATCAAGGCCCTTGTGGGTGGGCCAAACCGAGGAAAACCAGTTTTCGGCTTGAGTGGCTGTTTGGTCCTAGTGCCTGATGTGTTTCAGTTCTCTATAGCGGAAAAGTAACAATGTTTTCAGAGATAATACCACTGTAATTAATTAATTGCAATTAACACGTTAAAGTCTACTGAAAATACAAACACGTGCTGACAGTGGGGCTACGTGCACCGTTAGGAAGGACATCATATATGTCAGTCCTTCATCCTGTAAACTTGCATTTCTTCTTTTTGATGTTTGTGTTTGTAGGACTGTCCGATACCGGCTCTTCAAGTCCTGAAAACTTTACCTTCACCATCTTAGAGTCTCCTTATGAAACTAAAATCAAGTGGATGTGTCTGTGCTCCGCATCGCTCCATCACATGGAAACATCTCTCACGTCCGTAGCGTCAATTTACCACATGTGGGATTTTGGGGAACGGTGGGATGTGCATTGGAGCTTGACTCAAAGTTTTGTGTATTCGAACAATGTCTGGACAACATGAGACTGTCAAATGTTTCTCAGATGGTAATTAGAGAGAAATGTGTTATGCAGCGTCTCTGTGTCATCCCCAGGACAAACTCTTCCCACAGCAGACCTCTCCTGTCCAGAAAACACTCTCCCTCCCGCTCTCTGCTGCCCAGTCGAACCGGCTCTGATTGCAGCCCGTTGTGCCAAACATGCCTCCAGCCCGCTCGGAATGAAAGCAGCCTATTACGGCCCGCCGTCCATGAGCCAAGAGCAGGCTGGCAGCGGCAGAAAGCATCCCATCTTCAGTCAGCCGGGCCGCTCCAAGAATCCAGTGTGCTGCCTTTCTGAGAACTGCCGAAAACAGACTGTGACACTATTGACTGCTTGTGTTTGTGCACATGTTGGCTGCAGAACAGTTTCAGACCTCATAGACTCACTCAGAGGGCTGCTCAAGCAGAAGGAAACCACCTGATCGGGACTGTAGAGGGCGACAACCGGACCAATGCACCTGCAGGTGGAGGAGACGGTGGATGGGCTCCGACCCCTGCAGAGTGGAGTTCTCCTGCTGCAGGTTTAGCATGCTTTTATGATTGCGCAGAAATATTTCTGAGGAACTCAAACAGCATCGAAACTGTCAACTTAAACCTGTATCTTTTCATATAAGTTGCAACTGCAGTTTGGGTTTGATGCCAACTGTCTTCTTGGCCAGTATTAATGACACAGACTGCAGGGATACAGGTCAGAGTCACGGGGTCAGATGAGCTCAATTCAGATACCAGTTTAGCTCAGATTAGGTATCAAGAACCAGTTCCAACTTGGAAACAGATTCAAGATTTGTGGATTTGTCACAGCACGTGAATCTTGGTTCTTCTTTCCAGGTCCTGACAGCCACATAAATCTATCAGGACTAAACTTGCAGTCCTCGTAAAGGTCCTACTTATCTACCGGGATCTGCTTACGTCAGTTGTGATGTAAACAAGGTCGTGAGAAGAGGTTCACGGCTGATCACAGCGAGAGGACACAAAAGGGGAGGCTGCACGTCCAGTACGAAGGAGCTTTTACTTCAGCATGACGCAAATATGAGAGCAGCTTCAGCAACATCTGCACATGTTTGCATCCCCCGTTGTCTGCTCTCTCTCAGCTCAGGCAATCTGGAGTTCCCTACAGCAGACACCTGAAGGCCAGGAGTCAGAGAAACAGATGTCGAAGCTCATCATGGAGGCAGAAAACCATTGACTCTGTAATAACTCTAAAAACTCCTCCGTCTTGTGAGTCACGTTTCAACGCCGTCGAAATACAACATAAAACAGTGTTTACAATATCAGCACCAAAATAGTAGAGTTTGGAAGTTTGGAAGCAAGGCCATTACAGGTCGAACAGTTGGGAGTAACTAAAAGTTTTTGTTCACAATACTTTTTTTAAAATCCAGCATGAGTTTTATGTATTTTGGGATGTATTTACTCCATGATCAGATGTTGCTTTCATGGAAATGCACCATTTTACTCCATTTACCTTTAGATATACATCGATGTCAACAGACCATTGCTAAATATATGTCAGCAAAAGATAATAAGGGCTTAGTTTAAAAATACAAAAAAATCAAAGTTGGATTATTCACTTCAACTTTTTGGCTTTTGAGTCTGCAGACAAAAATCCTAATAAATCTCAACTGCATCAAACTTCTGCAGAAATGGCGAGAAAGAAGCAACTGAGTAAAGAAACAAAGGTTCAGATTTGTACATCGAGGAAAGAAGGATACACAGGAAGAAAAAAAAAACGCCTAAAGGTGTCTAACAAAGGAGTCCACTACACTCTGAAGAGACGAGAGGAACCTGGAAGTTATGATGATAGAAAAAGACCTGGATAAAGGAACAGCACCACTCCATCCTCCAGCACCATGCTGCTCCATCTGGACTCAGACTTGTGGCTCATAAGTTTGTTTTGCAGTAAGACAATGACCCTAAGCACTCTGCCGAGCTCTGTCAGGGTTACCGAGACAAAAAAGAAGAGGAAGGTGTTCTTCAAAAGATGGTTTGGCCCCCTCAGTCTCCAGACCTTTCTCCAATTGAGCTTGTGCGGGATGAATTGGATCGATCGGTCAGAAAAACGCGTCCCACGAATCAGCAGTCTCTTTTTAATGAACTTAAGAAAGCTTAGTGTAGGAGCCATTTTTGTCTCACTGCAATACCAGTTTATGCCAGCGGGTGGTGGGTGTGTTTTCTTTTTGTCATAAAGGTGGGAACTTTGGGTCACTGGGCAGGTGTTGCCGGACGGAAGAGCGCACAGTTTTTCAACCGCTAGAAGATATGCTTTTGGTACCGCTATCTCCGTTCAAGATGCATTGCTGTGGTGTTGACTTGATATTTCTACAAAATGTGAGAAATAAAAGATCACATTAAGCGAACAAGGAGTGGACTTGAATTAATTGGACGTGCCAGTAAGTGTACTCAGCGCGTTGTTAAGTTTAGCCTGTCCTGCAGCCCCTCAGTGGCTTCAAGCTGGGGCTTAGCCACTACACTTGGAATGCAATCCCTGGAACAGACCTTAGAAAACTTGTGGAACGAATGTCTGGTATATGCCGAGCTGTTGTCAAAGCCAGAGGAGGTGACTTTAAAGAAAGTCTAACAACAATAACTCAAATACCTCATAATTATAGTCAAAATGTTTTCTGATAAGTTACTCTTTACACAATAGTCATGTTTATTGTGTTGCAAATTATAGATATGAAACTTTGATCTTTTTTTGTACAGATCTGATCTTGCTTCCAAACTTTTGGCCTGTAGTGTATAACGAGTGGACTTGGAGTGAAATCCACTGAGTTTGTGAGGCAGGCAGTTTACTGGTGATTCAACCAGAGATGTAGTTTTATGTTTGAAGTCATAGGATATCAAAGGAAAAGACAAAGGGTAGGCTGAATCTTTTATTGATCCACAAAACCAATAAATGATTAAATGTCGGTGCTCGACATTCACTAACATCTTTAGATCTTCAAACTCGACACGGACTGGAACAGAGTGCAGGATTGTGAGAGGAGCGCTCTGGTTCTGCTCAGACTGTCGTCACTCTTTGTTCTAGTTTCTGGTTACAGAAAAACATCTGCAGAGACAGAATGAGTTCATTAACACTTAACCGAAACCATCTTTCACCAACATTAAATCAAGTTTCTTCATGCTCCCTTAACCACAGACAGAACTCAGGACTCGTATGATCTCTTGATTACGGTGGATGACAAGAGCAAATGTGCTGCAGTGATTGAGCTGATATCCACAGGAGGATCGGGTTGGAGGAAGCAGAAATCACAATTTGGCTTTCAGTTTCTGCGGCACGACTCAGAGATTAATCCAGTAAAACTGCAAAGATGCAGCAGACTCATAAACACTACAGGACAAAAAGCAAACAAACAAATTTTTTCAAGGTTAGGTTTAGGGGTTTTAACCACAATCGAAGACCGGCGATCCTTAAGGGAACAAGATAGAGATCTTGGACCAAGATCAAACCACCTTATTTCATGTATCCTGAGTTCACTGGTACCAGAATGAAGTCTTTACGATGTTACGTTCAAAAGTTAAGTGAATGGGATTGTCTGGGGCTGCTACCCTCTATAGCAAGATTGGACACAAGTGTTTAGGGTCAGGGTTAGGGGTTAGGGGTTAGGGTTAGAATTACTGTCCAGAACCTTTTAAGGAGCACGTCTCGGACCATTCAGAGTCGATAGGTACAAAACAAATAAGGAAAAAAGTCAAATTAAACCAACCTCCATTGAAGCTGCAGTGTGCAGCATTTCTACGACTTTTTCAGGAACATTTAAATTTAGTGTACCATCACTTTAACACTAAAAATCATTTGTGTTTCTATTATTGAGCCTCTTATATCAACACTAAAAGTAGATCCTCTTGCTCCCATTGAGGCCACCATTGTGCATCTCTGTGTTTCTACAGTAGCACAGAATGGACAAACTACATGACATTTGCAGTTTGTATATCTAATGCACCAATACCAACCATTCATCAGAGTCCATGTCATGGACATCTGTGAAGGCTTGACAATATCTACAGGTTTAGGAGCATCAGGACTCTGTAGTTGGAGTCACCGCATGGGCTTAATATCACGTGTTCCGTAAGGTCTGATGAATCAAAATCTGACATAGTTAGTCCAGTTGTCCTTTCAACGTAGAACTGGAAATCATAGATGCTGCATCCTTAGTTTTTAAAGAGTAGGGGGACCACCCGGCTTGATCCAAATCCAGCGTCCCTGATGGTATTAGGATCATCAGAGTCCATGTCATTGGGTATCTTCCACATCTGTTGAGGCTCCAACAATATCTCCAGGTTTAGGAGCAACATCTGTGTCCATCCAGACAATGACTTCTCCAAGGAAGACCCTCCTATGATCCCAAACCACATTCTGACAACAGCATGGTTCTGTAGGAGAAGAGTCCTGGACTGATGCAGTCCTGACTTGTCCCAGACTGAGAACCTTTGGAGCATCAGGACCCAAAAACAGGATCAAGGAGACCCTGAACTTTCAGGCAGCTGAAATCCACTATCAGGAAAGAATGGGATAACATGTGACTTTCCAAACTTCAGAACCTGGTCTGCTGGGTTTGAACGGTTTTAAATCATCTGTGAACCTTCATTTTTTGTTTTATTGACATTATTATTATTATTATTGTTATTGGCTCTGAGTTTTCAAGTCCAAACTATGAAAATTCACTCCATCTAGCGTCCTTCACTTCTGAAGAAACCACAATGTGTTTGTTGCCTAAACTTCATGGAGTGATGACACAGCCAGTTGGTTCTTCTTACAGTTAGTTTCTGTGTGCCAGTCATGATTTCAGTCGACTTGAAGGTCTCAAGTTGGACATCCCAAAGTCTTTCTTCCCCATTAAATCCTGGGTGACCTTTTTGTGGGCCTCGCCCCGCGGTCTTACACCGTTTCACAGCCATCGGTGGGTTGTTAACCTTTTAACTGGGAACAACTGGCCTGACCTTTCAATTTACAAGGACGTGGTGCAATTTAAGACCAGGGTCGTGAATCTGACCACGGCTCTTCATAGGAACTTTATTTATGTTAGAATCCGACTTCAGAAAAACTGAGAAAGAAATGTTATGCTGAGTTCAAACGCTTATAAAAACACACCGTGGATAAAGTGACTAAAGTAAACTCTAGAGCAGGAGTGTCACAGTTAAACTGGGGATGTGAAGAAGCGGGAAATAGTTCAGATAAAGTGTCAAGTTCTTCAACCAAGAAGAAGCAGAAACACCGATTAGAGTCGTGACAGACAGGACACTGTGGGGAAGTGGGGATGGAGGGGATTGTTGGGATCATGTGACCACAGACGCAGCAGGAAGACAAAGGTCAGTGCTGCTCAGCACGCAGGGCCTCCCCTCCGATCTACTTTGCACGACACAGTGAACAAAAGAGCCGCAGATTTAGGTCAGTGTGTCACAGATTTCCTCTGCACAGCTCAGGTCTCACACCAGCTGCTCACCATGGAAACCGGCGCGTTCAAAGGGTGACGCTCAGACCTGTCGGGGGTCTCGGAGGAACACCTGTTGAGTCGCTGATGATGATCTAACAGGCTCTGAGTGTGAGCAGCCATCTTTGAAACAGTTTACAATGAAAACTGTGGATGAGTGAGTGGGTTCACTGCAGGATTACTTCAAGATCTGCTGACTGCCGATTTTTCTGATTTCACTCTGATGAATGTTACCTGTTCTTTTTTAACATGTTTCAGTATCTGTTTCGTTTCTGCATATCTTTGATAGATTTGACCACCGTAGAAGTTAAGATGCTTCAAAACTAAGATCTCCTCACTGCTCCTTCTCCATGTATTCAGCCCTCCAAACTTTTTTGCCCAGTTTTGATCCTGGTTTCTACAACATTAACATAAAAAAGCATGGATCCTATAGCCTGGCGTCAGCAGGGTGAATGGGTCTGGGACTGTTCAATTCATTTAATTTTTCCAGGAATTAGCAACGGTCACATGTGGAAGTAACCCTGGAAGCGATTAGCCAAACCTTCAACCAATAAGATAAACATAGTATGTGACGTAGGGCCTAGCAACAGAGATGTAAATGGACAGTAGCAATGAATTCCATATGTGCAGAGGTTCGGTTTACTTAAATGAAAAAACGTTCAGTTCGTTTAAGAAAAGCTGCAACAGCAGATTCTACGGAAATCCCTGCAGGAGTTGTGCGTGGTTAAATGTGACTGTATGTTAAATACATACATAAATAAATAAATACTTGTGTTTATTTATAGAACCCACCCCCTTTTGGAATAAGGGACTTTGATTGGACATTATGTCAACGACAGCAGTTTTTAAAGGGGGGGTATCATGCTCTTTTTTCAGACTCTATATTTCCTTCCTGATACCTCTTTAATATCTTTACTTGATTGTCAGATTGGAAACAGCCTCCTGTTTCTCACTCTGCTGAATTAAAATATCATTATTAAACACTTAATCTTAGCTGCTGCTCTCTGCACATCACGGGGTCAAAGCATGAAATATTGTAGCTCAGAGGAAACCAACCATCACCCGCACTAACACAGACGGCATTTATCCTCCTCTGGTACACAAAGAATCAAACTTTATGTGAACTGAGCTGAAGGCCAAGACCAGACTGTTTACCACTAACTCAGGTGACACAAACCGGGATCTGGGAATCTGGATCATATCTTCACAAAGTTCCTTTGCAAGATTTTCAGGATGCTTTGTCGTCATGTCTGTTGGAGTTTTCATTAAATTTCATCCCTTAAAGTCCTGGTTGACGATCTGAGAAGCAGTTGAAAAACACTGAGCCGTTCAGGCAGATTTGAAAAAAGCTGCTACGCTACTTTTAGCCGCTCAGCGCTCCGAGGAAGGCCGGGAGAGTGGGAGGGGACGACTCGGAACTACGGGTGAGGGGTGTGTCGAATACAGCGAGGTGATTGGATGGAGAGGCAGAGCAGGAGATTGACCAATAGGAGCTGTCCGGGACGGATGGCTCTCATTGGTTGATGTTTTTGCAGCCCTGCACCTGTCAGATTTTTCCCTGGTGAACAGATTTTTTTCCGATCTTTTTTCTCTTCACTTTGTGGAGATCGCACTATAGGACCATGATCGCCATAGAAACGAGGTTCATAATAATAACCAATCTCTACAATCGTCAACCATGACTTTAAGCAATTCAAAAATGAATGTGATCTCTGTGGTTTTATTTCCATAGACAGGTGTGTTGACATTGCAGAGACTCAGAACCGGTTCTAACTAGTTTGAGTCAGGAACATCATTCGTCATATTGCTTATCGGTTCCCTTGTTGAGGCCCTCCACTTAATTCTGCAGTGATCACATATCGCTGTGTTGACGTCTCTGAAAATACGATGACTGTATAATGTAGCAGATTGGCGTAAAATCCACTCGCTTCGTGAGGCTGGTAACTTTAGAATGAAAACCTTTGAGTTTTTGCAACTTCGAGTGTCTTTTCTATCCCGCAGAGAGGATCAGTGAGTGTTATCTGAGAATGTCCTGATCCAGTCCTGAAAGACAAAGGTAACTTGTTTTTGTTTGTGTGTAAATGTGAGTGAATCAGTGGGATTTCTGTTGCTAGCTGACGAAAATAAAAGCTGTTATCTTTGTTTTGGTCTGTCCACCAATCAGAGGCCAGGTTTCACTATCTCGGTATAGCAGTGTAAAGATAATCAGACTCCTAACAACATTTTTCTGTTGACACAGAAACTTGCTTTTCACAGATCGAGAATCTGCAGGGGTTGATAAGGGAATCAGTAAAGACTTGGATTGAGATGCAGAAACAGCAGAGACTAAATTTGCTCACAGCCTCAGACATGAGTGTGCATAAGTGCAGGTATAGCTGGTCTGTTTTTCAGACCTCATTGCCAGTGTGCCATAGTCTAATCCTGCCCTCCTCTCTTGGCAGTCCAGACCACTCAGGCTATTTTTCCTCACAACCTATCCTTACTTATCCTCTGCACTCTTGACCTGGACTTCTCCTCGCCCACACTGCCACTTGTTTGACCCGGCTTTACCTTTTTCCTTCCACTCCCCCCCAGAAGTTCACGATCCCGTCACTCATATAGCCTAGTCCTTTTTTCCACGCTCAGTATTCGGTCTCTCAGGCTCTGCTTTCTTTGAACTGTTGAACTCAACACTTATTGTGAAACTACAGCATGTAAGGTTTAAAAAAAGTAAATAAATAAATAGCAGGATAAAATAGAGGCCTGTGCTCCGAATAAAGTCGAACACACCCAGGTCATTTTTGGCTGATCTGGCCTTGCTGACGTTTAGTACAGCTTGTTTGCTCAACCCACTGTGACCATGAGTGAGTTCACATTAAAGAGAATTACCAACATCTTATCAAAAGACACACATAGATAGTGGTATCACTTAACTTTATTATAGGAGCATTTACCGCTTTAGACATTTTCTTGCTGGGGGTGGTGCCTAAACGACAAAAAAGTAATTAAACCGGGTACTATTCTTAACTTTTTAGGGAGGCAATGTTCCCTCCTGGGACAGCTAAATATCAGCACATGCAGGAGTAAAACACCATCATCTTCTTTAGGCCGTTACATCAGGAGCAAGAGACAACCAAGTGCCAGAAACTGCAGTTCCTCAAGTGTCCACTAGAGGCTGGCTCCAAAAACACCAAAAGTCACATACACACATCTTTAAAAACATTTTTACAGCAAAGGGATATCAAATATTTTTTCTCAATGCCTCCCTGAAATCTTATTGGAGTGTGGCAATAACTTTTAATGCACACAACAGCATTCATCCATTCAACAGCACATACTATGAGGGTAACCACATGTCCTCTTTCACCCGGACATGTCCTCTTTTTGAGGGGGCTGTCTGGCCTTGTCTGGACTTGTCTGTGTCGCCTGGACTTACTGAGTAAGAAGCACATAAAAGACACTCGATCCAACCCGAAAACCTCTCAGAATTTACTACGTGCAACTCTGTCACTCCGCCCCCGCGTCGTTGTGTCCTCTTTTTGGGAATTCAGAATATGGTCACCCTACATAACACACACATACAAGCATTTATGAAGGTCCTTTTATCTTTTGCATTCAACCAAAGTTTTGTTCGTCTAAGTTGAAGGTCAGTGAAACTTCTTTAAAGCAGAAATTATGAGACATTTCTGTAACTCTCTTTATTCGGCCACCATCAACACAACAGGACAATTTTTCAACGCCAGGATTCCAGCGCACGCAGAACCGTAACGCTCTGCTCTATGTATTATTATTATTATTATTATTATTATTATGTATTTGACAGCCTTCATGTTTTATATTTACATGCTGTGCTTGGCCAAACTGATGAATTCATCCAAGAAGAGGGGGTTTCTTTCATCTAACATGGTTAAGGTTGACTTGATCGTGAGGATTCGTTGTGTTTGTGTAACCCACCAGATAAGGGTTCCTATCAGATCATGGAAAGACTCTTTCTTTTCCCGCCCAAGTCCTGCACTGGAGCATGCTCAGTGCTCTTCACGACCTACCTGGTGATCAGGTGATGATCCTCCTTTTGTATTTTTGTTTCTCTCTGTTTTAATGTGCCTGTTTTCTGTCCTCTAACAGACATTTAAATCGGTTATTTCATGCTCACAGGATTGAATTATAGACTCGATGTGTGTTTTGAAACAACACTCGGCTGTGTACTCGAGTACACGTGCTGTTTGATTCGACTCGGTGGCTTGTGTTGTGAAATTTCAGGGAATGTGAAGGAAACCAGAGACCAAATCAGATTAAAAATGGCAAAAGGAAAATGTTAAACAAAAGAGGAATGTGGCCAAGCAGCATGGGAAGAACATTTCTCTCATTCAGAGAGTTTTTCTTTTTTTATTTCCCTCAAGCTCTCTGCTATTTCTATCTTTGAGGGGCAGCCTTTACTTTTACAGACCTCTCCTTCCTATCTGGCTTCTGATTGGTCCAAAGCACTTAACAATCAACTTCAGGTTACAGGAACAACCTGATCACACGCTGCATATCAAATTCTAGAGACATGTAGAGGGTAAACAAACAGTTGTGAGGGTAGGTACATATTTCAACCTTTTTTTTGATCTCCATATAATAGGGACTTTCTTGTCTAAAATTGTTCTGTATGTATATTTGATCGGATAAACAATCTCGAACAAGAAATCCTTGGTCCTGCACATTTGACCTCTGCCTGTTGACACTGTGGAAAAAACGCAGGTGTCCAACGGGAGCCGGTCTGGGGAAATAACGGCAGGTTTTTGGACACAGATGTGAGAGCGGCCTAAAGAGCTGATGAACTCCAACCATCTGTGGTAGGAAAAGTGGAGCAACATCCCGCCCTGCAATCCGTGCACAAGCGGCGAATCTGCTGAGAGCATATCGAAGCTGCTGATCCACACAAGGTCACTGAAATCTTTATAGTAGAGGAACAAAAAGAAAGTTTAGTTTGACATGTCTGCACGCTTTATCCCCTTAAGTTTTCAATCCGAGGTAAATTCCTCAGCTCAGTCTCCCGAACTCGGAGGGGAGGAACTGTTTGGGCGAAATGAGCAATTAGAGATCGTCTTACGTATTAGCGTCTGTTATGAAATGGTCTCATGAGCTCTTTGAGTCTCTGCTGCGAACAGTCTGACCTGGTTTCGACCATTTCCTCCTGCAGGATTCAGGGATAATTTGGTAAACGAGTGAACAGGGGGAGTATCCGAACAGTCGGCTCTCAGTTACATCGCAGAGTCGACTTTTCGTTGGGGTTGAAGAATGCTCTCTTTGTGGAGGTGGATGTACTGCCACAGGATCCGTGTGTGTTTATAGGATCTCATTAGAGGATGGCGTGACACAAGGACCTCCAGCGTGGACACAAACCAGATTGAGCTGCTGTCTAAACACTGCATGTCCACGGTAAACAGGAACAGAAACAATGGCACGCCGCACACGCTCCATTTAACAATTACTGCTGCGGCGGTAAACAACGTGTTGTCTGTGTGAGCCGCGCTGCTCTTATGTGAGCTCATGTTCAGCTCATTCTGAGACATGTAAATGAGTCTGTGACAAGTTTCACCAAACTCTTTGAGCAATTAGACCCTAACAAGGAAATCAGCCGGGAGTGGACAAAGTCAGTGTGAAAGGTCACTTTGTGGCGGTGGTCACATGATCAGAGTCAGAGTGAATGTTTAACCTGATGAAACCTTTCTGTGTGAACACTGACGCCCAGGGTCTCTTCATGTTTGGACTCATTTTATTCCCAGTGTTACCAGTAAACCAGTAAACCAGTACGAATGCAGAGAGAGGGAACCAACGGTGTGACGCTGTCGGACTCAAAAGACGGCACTTGAAGAAGCAAGCGTCGACCTTCCTGTGCAAAACAAGATGGATACATACATAACAAGGCTGTAAACACCTTCTTCACAGTGATGCACCTGCAATGCATGATGGTAACCACAGGTGTCACAGTTTATACACACACACACACACACACACATATACACACACACACACACACACACACACACACACACACACACACACACACACACACAGGGGGTCTCAATCATGAACTGTTAATAAATCTGTGTGTAGACTTATGTGTGTAGACTTATGGGGTATTCTCACCAAGCACGAGTAAAACCATCTGTGTGAATGAATTGGATGCAAAGTTGATGCAAAGATGCGATTAGACACTCGTACTTCTCTGGCGGCGAATCACGCAAAATTGAGCGAGTAGTTCATGCGAATTCGTGAGAGTTGAAAATATGTCAACTTGAGCGAATATTCGCAGCACGATAACCAATCAGCATGAAGATCCCCGGGTGACGTGAAAACGGACTGTAAGATGTTGACTGGTGTGAAAATTCATAAATCCTTTTCCTCACAGTAGACAGATGGACAGACGCTCTGCAGCTGGGATAGAGCGCCTGTAATCGGTATCCTGGAGGGATATCCTGGCACCGACCCTCACCAACAGGTCGTCAAATTGGGTTTGGGTAACTTGAAAATAACACTGGAAATGGACGTCATCCAGGTGCAGCTATTGGAGGAGACCCAGACACGGCAGCGTCTACATCTCTGACAGTTTTGGTCCTTCCACAACAAAAACAAATCAGCAATCTGCTGAACGTGGTTCACTCCGCCCCTCTCTCGTATCCACAGCTAGCAGTCTGGAGGAAGGTGAGTGAGGAGGTCGGATTATCTGGTTAGTTGTGAAAATCTGTTGTCTATCACTTGATCCCGCTGGTTAAATTGGCATCACTGTTGAAATTAGCATGAGGGGCTATCCACGGCTTTTAAGCCCTCTGTTGACCTGCGAATCAGGCGAATGGACTAAACGGTTCTATCCAATAGAGTGAATCATTCGCGTAAATTAAGCGAGTAAATACGCTCAATTCACGCGTCAACATACACGCAAATTAAGTGAGTCCATGATTTTACTTGCGCTTGGTGTGAACGCCCCTTTAGACACAACAGTCCTCAGACACTAAAAACCTGAACTAGATTAATTACCCGCTTAGATTTGATCGTAGACAGACAACGCTCAGTCCGAGTCGCTGCGTCGGCTTCATTCTGAACCCGCTCCTGTTGTGTTCGTTGGGCCGAGGTGAAATAAGTCAAAATCTAATAATTTAGCTTTATTTAGATTTTTTCAATCATGTTCACGTTTCAAATGCAGATTGTGTCTTTACTGGTGCAACTTCTTTTAGGTTAATTTCACAGGTTTGTTCTGTAAAACACTTGTGTTGTATATTTATTACTCTGTAAACTTTTGTATTCTTTGTTTCCCTTCCTTCTTGTTAATTTTTGAAACACTTCTCTTCTTGTTTTGTAGTCTGAAGTGTAAAAGGAGAAGAAATCCTTCCCCCTCCTGCTGCAGAGCGGCTGCACGATCATCTCGTTAGAGGATAACGAATTAACGAGGGTTAAGTGAGCGCTCAGTAAACATCATGTGGATTGATCTTTCTGTTAAGGTGTCCACTAAAGGATCAGTCGTGTGTCTCTCTGACCTGTCTGACTCCGGTTATCTAAAGCTGTTAAACAATGATGGCGGATGTGTTTGCTAAAGCTGACGGTGAACACACGGTTAGCAGAGGGTCCCTGCTGCAGGCCACCACCAGGTTACTCAACAGTTAATCTGTGCGGTCTCGGGCCTGCTGGCACCAGCTGGGACTGAAAGCCTCTGATCCTCGGGCCATTAGTCTCCATGACTGAGACACTAATACTGTCCCAAACAGAAATCCTGTTCTTGGATCTGGTTCTTATTTACTGTGCAGTTAGAACACCTCATGTGCTTCCCTCTGTCTGTTTTGACTTTCGAGGATTGAGAGGTCGAGGTCTTCCAGGGTTTAACCTGTTCGCTTTTAGTTCAGATGTTCTGTAAAAACTTTTTCCATGACACGCACCACTTTATTAGGTTCATCTCGATAGAATCGGGTTCGACCCCCTTTTGTTTTCAGAACCGCCTTAATTCTTCATGGCAAACTTTCAACGTGGTGCTGAAAACATTCCTCAGAGATCTTTGTCCTTAAAGGGATATTCTGGCGTTAAATTGAGTTAGGGTCAAACACATCGACCGCTTGCTTCTCTAGTTATACCAACTTTAGTAACGACCGCAGGATAGAAATACAGAGAGCCACGCCCCCAACCAAAACGCCACTCTATAGCCACAAATAATGCTCAGAACAGCACCTAACTTCATCAACAGGACATATAGGGTCACAGACATAGTACTAGACACCAAACATCTTTTTAACTTTGACTCATTTCTTTAACAAAGAGACTAAACACAACTCACCTACTCTCTTCCAGCAGCCGCTTGTTTGTTGGGTAAGTCATTAACGGACTACAGCGGGGTGACGCAGCTCAAGGAAGAACATTTATGATCATTTCTTCATGGAAACACAATCAGACCGAGACGCTAAGACAGAAGAACTACCGCGTCTGTAAAATGATTAATATGGTGATTATTACTTCAAGGAAATGATGAAGAAATGATCATAAATGTTCTTCCTTGAGCTGCGTCACCCCGCTGTAGTCCGTTAATGACTTACCCAACAAACAAGCGGCTGCTGGAAGAGAGTAGGTGAGTTGTGTTTAGTCTCTTAATCTCTTAGCTGTTCTGAGCATTATTTGTGGCTATAGAGTGGCGTTTTGGTTGAGGGCGTGGCTCTCTGTATTTCTATCCTGCGGTCAGCAACATTTATCTCTGGAGGGGGGGTCTAACTCGGTGTTACCGTGGGTTTGACCCTAAATTAATTTTACGATGGAATATCCCTTTAATTCTTTGTGGCAAACTTTAAACGTGGTGCTGGAAACATTCCTCCAAGATATTTGTCTTTGACGTCCTTTGTCCTTAATCACATCCCAAAGGTGAGATATAGGGACTGTGGAGGCCACTGGACTACAGGGGACTCAGTGTCATGTTCAATAAACCAGTTTGAGATGATCTGAGCTTTGTGACATGGTGAATTATCCTGCTGGAATCAGCCGTCAGAAGATGGGTACTCTGTGGTCCGACACGGTCAGCAACAATACTCAGGTAGGCTGTGGAGTTTAGACCAAGATCAAACAGTACTAAAGGGCCGGAGTGTGTCAGGAAAATGTCCCCCACATCATTTGACCACCAGCAGCACCCACAAAGGGGAAATCTGTTTGTGTTAACAACACAGACATTATCAGCAAAGTGAACAAACACATTATTAACAGGAAGTGAAGCGTGTGGATCCCGATCATAAGGTCGAGCACGCACTCTATCAGCTGTGATGTGGAACAAATTCGGGCCAATCAGGAAGTCGCCTGAGCTTCAACTCAAACCTAAAAGGTAAAACAAGAGTTTGTTTACATGTTTAATGTGGTAAACAGCCAACAGTTTGTTTAAATCCATAACAGCTTTACTGGATTATAAACCTTGTTTGGTTGTCCTGATGTGTTGGAATGACAGAATTCCTTCACAACATCGGTGTTGTGAAAAATACGACTGTAGAGCCTGACGTGACCTTTCACAGCAGAAACACATGACGCTCCAACCGTGGAGAGCTTCTCCGATCTGAGATCGTCGACCATCAGCCTTGAGTGACCCCTGGCCAGTGGCCAGCCTTTGTCAGCACGCTGCGAGTAATCTAAACAGGATTTAACGGAGCGTTTAAAAAGCTAAATAGATTTCGAGGAAATCAATTAGAATGATTGAGGACCAGGAACCGAAGACGTATGGAGGATGTAGACGGGTAAGAAAACATGATCTAGTTTTTGGACCGTAAGTTTAACCCAAAAATTAAAAATATGAACCCTGGATGAAGAAGTTGATTTTAATCTGTGAGTTATTTCGTTTTCAGGGTGAATTTGCACCAGGCTAATATAAGTCTGACATTACACTGAAATGTGTGGACTTCCTATAAGATCAGAGGACAAGACCAGGGGATTTTTAATGGTCTTTACATGATACGATTTTTATCACTCAGCTGATTTTTGAAGGCTTCGGAGTGCTTATGTGAGGTTTGGAGGGCGTGTTAAAGCCTGGAAAACTGCAATCAGACTGAATGAACGAAATCGAAGAGTTCCCTTTGAGTTGTGTTGTAAAGAGTTATATCAGCTTATATATTGTGCAAGGGAGGTTAGAAGCCTCAAAAAGGCTTAAGAGGTTCCTGCCGTCTAGGAAAAACAAGAGCTGTCAAAAGCAGCCACAGATTAGTTGAAAGGAACAATTACATAATTTTATGTTTACAAGACAAAATGTTTTACCGAAGGATCCGAGAGTCCTGTGACCTTTTCAGAAGCTGTGAATGAGGATTGTTTTGGTCCATAAACTAAATCAAGTACGTTTCAAAACTGACTCAACCCAAACTTTTAGTCAACTTTGGAGAGGCGGGCCTTCAGCCTCCTTATGCCAAACTTGTAACTTATTATCTTCTTACGGACACCATGATAATAAATGTATTACCTGCACAGGATCCCTGAGTTATTCAGACCAAACTGGTTTCTTGAATCTGGTTTTGAAGGACTCTTTTATTGGAGGAACTTCAATTTT